TACCCTTTTCATTTATTTTAATCCTAATTTCAAGATTTTCACGAATCCTTCCCCTTAATCCATATTTTCATATATAATAATACATATATGAATTACGAGGTGTTATATTGGACATTTCGAATCTACATGCTCCAACTTGAGAGAGAAAGAGTATTAGATGAACAAACACTGTTTTGAAAATATTCTGCATTTAATGTATACATAATTATAGTAATTAAAAGGATACTAATGTTCTAATCAAATCACATATAATTAAAACATACAGAATAAATTTGAACAAAAAAGCTTGATGATAACAAAAAGTTTTTTACATGACCAGAATACAATTATCCCAAATTCATAATCATGTAGATGCAAATATAAATTATATGATTACCGGGGATTAGTCCATGTGGAACTTATGAGATTATCGAGGGGACAATCTCCAAAAATATAAATTATATGATTGTCCAGATATATCATCTTCATCTTTTTTTCAGATACCATGTGTTCCTTAGACTCAGAAATTCTACATAGAAATTCAATAACATTTGCAAATGCAATTTCCATTAGTTGTTATAGATGAATGATAATGTGTTTTAAGAAATGGAAGATAACGTTAGCAACTAAACACACAATGTCATCAGGATAGTTTTCAACATCCTAGAATTCCATGAATGAAAAACCATTGATATGTAGGTTGACATCGACACTCGAAGTCACAACAATTCTTAGATTAAAAATAAGCTTGTAATCATTTTGCATTGGCTTAAATTTTTCAGAATTAAGGCCAACACTAAAATTTCGTATTACATACATTCCACCATTCCGCTTAGGGTTGCTAAACGATCCACGGGTCTTTCAAGGGCCTTTGGCCCAACTCATGAAAGTCTGAGCTTACATGTCTAAAATTAGTTGTTGGAATCAAACTTGGACTTGTATAAAAGTTTGTTTAATAAAAAGGCCTTAGGCTCCAATTCAAAAGTCTGACCTTAGAGTCTCTTAGGCTGACATAGTATACTAACTTTTATTTTTATTTTATATTTTTTATACTACTCATAATAGTCTTTTCTCTCTCTCCTCAACCCATTTCACCTCATTTTATTGGTTAAACAGACTTTTTAAATGATTTTGTTCTATATTATGTTGTTTGGATATGCAATGAATTTATAAATCTTTGTGAAATTATTAGTGTTGTTGATCGTATATTTTGTTTGGATAAATTTTTACTGTCTTATTTTTTTAACAGGCTAAATCAGACTTTTATTTTTTATAAATAAGTCAGATCGTAAACCGATAATTATATTCATAACAAATAACATGGTATGCCAAATTGATATATTTAAACACAGACTTACCCTTTTAAGACCAAAGCCCGACCTGGCTCGGCCCATTAACACTCCTACCTCTACTAGTTGATCTTTTATCCTCAGGGAAATCTCGTACAGTCTCTTGAATCTTACCACCCTGTTATTACAAAAGGAGGACCTATAAGCAATATTTAATAGTTGTAAGAATTAAAAATGACTAATATGCATAACAGAAGTGCGTAACAAAAACTCACATGTTCATCTATTAAAACCATCTTGACATTGTCTCTCATCTCAGGTCGATGAAAGTTGGGCTGCCTACAGATGCTGATAACCCTAACTTTGATCCTCTGTTACTCTTTAGATGGTGTCATATAACGTATAAGATCAAATCTCGTAGCCATGTCATCAAATATCGAAACACAAAGTATAACCAGCGAACATATGAATATTTCCTATTTAATAAATAAGAGTCGGCCATGAGTCAAGCCTATATCATGAACCTAACTTGGGAAGGAAAAATTCAACTATTGCTGAGTCATTTAGTTTTTGTTTATCATTTAGTTTATGTGGTTCATATAGTTTCTGCTTTTCATTTAGCTTCCATTTCTTATTTATTTTCTATTTTTCATTTAGTTTTCGGTTTCATTTAATTTCATTTTTCATTTAATTTTTGTTTGTCATTTAGCTTCTGCTTTTCATTTAGCTTATGTTTTCATTTAGTTTACGATTTTTATTTAGTTCTCATTAAAGGTATATAGTATTATTTTCTATTATGATTAATATTGTTAAATAAAGCTTTAAAAGACTCAATTGATCATAATCAAAGTTTTGCGGTCGTGGATTTTTAACTTTATAACTCTTTGGTTCCTTGAACTTCACAATCCTAATTCATGTGCACTGAAAGTACATTTTTTTAGTATTATGAGAGTAGGTACTTTTTATTAAAAAATAAAAAAATAAAATAACCAGGTGATATTAATCATAAAAAAATGATTAAAATGAATATAATAAAATGAGTTAGTGATCTATTGAAATAAATTTTCAGTGCATCAGATCAGATGCAGTAAAAATTCAATATATTTGCTCAATCATTTTGTAATATGTGAAAAAAATATTACATCATCTATTTTTTTAAAATGATATGATATTTTTTTTGTTCATGTATCACAAAATAAATCGACAAATACACTGAATTTAATGCATCTTATTCACTAAAAATTCATTCGATCTACTGAGTCTATAATATTAGGAGAATGCTGAGATATTTTTGTCCAAAGTTATCTGCCCCATGCTTACATCTATAGATATCCCATGAGGTCATGTGCGAACATAAAACAAAAACAATTGAAGTTTACCTTGAAAATGATCCTTCCAATTCCAACAATCAAATTTCACAAAGTGACCCTACATAGAACACTTGCAGACGTACATATTATAGGTGATTTTCGACCCCCAATGCAATGGTTTTGCACTACAACAGATACATGTTTAGGCAACAAGTGAAAATTTCCAGTAATATGGAAATATCGAGGACCAAATACATTCTTTATTGAATATGACAAAAAAAATAACTCATTTATATTATTTATATTTTTATAATTATTTCCTTCTATATTATTTATTTTTGATAAGAAAATACCTACTATTGCATAGAAAATGTGGTTGTGAACACAAGCACCAAAATCGTGAGATGCGCTATAGATGATTTTGCAAGAGACGTAGAGAGAAGTAACATGAGTGTGACTTGAGATGTCCAAAGTCAAAGACAAGGTATACAGTAGCATTAATGCGCGGAAATTGAAATTAGGGTAATGTTTTTTTCTGTAAAAAAAACATGATCTTATGTTATAGACTCTTCGAAATTTGAGTCATGAATTTTTTTTTATAGGCCTAATTTAAAAAGGTCTCGGTAGAAAAGTTTCTTATTTTCAACCACATAAGATTAGACAATCCCTTGAAATTAACTGCCCACCAAATATAATCAATCTCAAACTGAATTTAAATTTAAATGTTAATAAACTAAAAAGTCTTCCTTGTGTCAATCGATATATATATATATATATATATATATATATATATATATATATATATGGGATAAGATCAACTTACACCGGTGTAAGAATAATAAATCTTACACCAAATCTTAACCATTGATTTCCGTGCATCCAATGGTTGAGATTTATTGGAAATTAAAAATTAATTAATGAGTGAGACCTAATAAATCTTAACCGTTAGATATAAAAAATCAATGGTTAAGATTTGGTGTAAGACTTATTATTCTTACACCGGTGTAAAATGATCCTGACCCTATATATATATATATATATATAGGGTCAGGATCATTTTACACCAGTGTAAGTTACACTCTCAATCTTGACCATTGATCCCACTTATATTTAAGGACTCTAATTTTTTAGTAATGTGAGCCATTAGATACAAATAGATCAATGATCAAGATTGAGTGTAAAATTTCTAACTCTTACACTGGTGTAAGAAGATCTTGCCCCATATATATATATATATATATATATATATATATATATATATATATATATATATTCTCTCTTTAAAAAAATAAAAAATAAAAAATTATTACTATTAAATGTCACTTGATACATTGAGTTTTAATGTTGAAAATACATAAAAGAAAATACTACTCTTATTTTATATGAAATAGTTATCTTATGTTTTATCATTTCAAAAATCTCATCCTCTTTTTCTTTTACCCTTTAATGATAGCCTCACTTAACTTTTCTCTATAGCACGACATAATTACTCTCCTATAAAATGAAAGTAATATTTTTCATATATAATTTTTATGATGGAAATAAGAATTTAATCCAAAGATAAAATCCTTATCCCACTTCATTAAATAAAATGCGCTTAAAACAAAAATGTCTCCCGTTTCCTCTTTACTTTTCAACAACACTCTTCCTCCTTCCTTTTTTACCTTAAATTTTAAAATAATATTTGAGAAGATTAATTAAGATGGTTTATGGACAAAAGAAAAGGACACATATGGGTTTCCACTCTCCAACACCTTCAAATCACAATAGACTTGGGCCAAACTTTCATGTAAGAGCGGCCCAACCCAGCTTTGATTGGATGATGCTAAAACTATCTTTTGGTGAATTGCCTTTTCGGTCTAAGCTGTCTTGTTATATTCCAACCTCCACCCAAAAAAAAAAAAAAAAAGTTTTTTTTAAAAAAAAAAAAAAATACAGATTTTAACTATTTTAAAGCGGATTTTCTCATTTGATTTATTTTCCTTTAGCAATAATAAATTTTTTAATCACATTTTAAGCAACTATTTATATATCTTGTTTTTAAAAAAGTAATGGCAATATCAAAATGAATTTAAAATGATAAACTCATCACAATATTAAATTAGCTCACAAATATCAAAAAATTAAAAATAAGATAGCATTATCTTTAGAAAAAAGAAAAGAAAAGAAAAGATAGGAAGTTAATATTTAATTTGAATTGAATATTCAACATTGAATAGAACAATACCCTTGTGCAGTCCCTAACGGGTGCCATATTATAATTTATAATTACCTCAGCTACTTTCCAGACAAATAAAATGCTCTGGCCATTTAGAATCACACAGCTGCAAGAACCAATACCTAAAACACTTTTTGGTCCTTTTATGAATCAATACCTAACTTTTAATTTTTTTTTCCACTAACCTATCCCATGTTGCAAAGTCTAAAACTGACCCCCTTGGAAGGTCTGACCAAACTGCCAGTTAGATGGTGCCACGTTGTTGCTTGTTAGAGTTTTACCGTCACTGGTGGTGACTTGGAAAGAGAGGCTTTGTCCATTGATGTAGGAATTGCTCTGCCAGTTTTGGCCCCAGTTCCTTGACATTGTTTGCCAGCCAGTTTTGGAACCTTTGATGGACAGTGCATGGACGTCTCCTGCATCCGCGACGTTGGTGATCAAAACCAGGTTGAAGTAAGAGTGGCCATTTATGGTGAACCTCATTCCTCCCTTTTTAACACAAGGCACTCTGTCATCATCACCAAATAAGAGAAAAAAGTTCAATTAGTAAGTTGGTAGAAAATTAGAAGTCTTACATTCAATCTTAACCATTGATCCACTTGTATCCAATGACTCACATTACTAAAAAATTAGATATAAGTGAGATCAATGGATAAGATTGAGAGTGTAATTTACACTGGTGTAAAATGATCATAACCCAATAAAAAAAAGACTAGTCATGTTATGTAGCAGAAAGAAGAAAACATGATTTTGAAAGATAAAATTAAAGGGAGTCAACTTATATATATTTATAGGAATAACAAGACTTATATTCAATTTTAATAGTTCATCACTAATAAACTAGAAGCTAAAATAATTGTGCTATTTATGTCCCTTATACAAGTTCAAATTCATCAACATAAAAGTCCCATGGTGATGAATAGGCCATGTGTTATAAAGACCAATAAGTTCTTGATCTTTATTTATGTCACAAATGAGAGAGGGATCAACCATCAAATTCCACTCTTCAATTAATATAAGGTAACAATATTCATAATTGTATAGCTTTAAGCTTGAAAAAGTTACCAAATTTATGGTTTCACTCTTACCTTCTAAATGCAACAGGCACAATTCCAGCTTTATATTGAGCAATTTGCAGGAAGGCTGGTTCTGCCATATCAAAGTGTTGCAGAGGAGGGTTGCACCAACCACCATTATTATTGGGCAAAGCCAAGTTTGGTGGACAAAAGTTTGTAGCAGTAACAACAATGGTGCCAGGCTTGCACCATCTTGGGTCATCAGCACACTTCATTTCATAACAACCCCCACAGCTCAAGCCATTGTTGAACAAAGCTGTGCTTAGAGCTGCAGTGTTAGTTCCATATCCTTGACTGTACAAGTTCCCATAACCACATGCACCTCCTGCACTTATCAAATAGAAGGAATATAACTAAACAAGTAAACCCCACCATCTCAATAACCCTAATCTCTAATGAACAAATGAAACCAACAAAATCTTGTTACCAAAGATATATAGAAGCTAAACTCACCCATTGTGCCAGAAGCATCACCGCCGCCATAGAAAGTGGCGTGACCACCCTGCCAACCGCCATATTCTGAGGTGGCAACTTGCGAGTGCATGTCACTTATGAGAAAAATGAGAATAACTAGCGCAGTAGAACATGTCAGGGGTGCCATTTGAAAATTTCTTGGTTAATAGTAGAGCAAGAACAGAGGAATGAGTAGTTTGTTTTCTCTGCTGTGAGGCTGAATGCAATAGGGGGTGCCTCTATTTATAAGCATCATTTGGTGACTAACATGCACATTGCTGGGTTTTCTTTTTACTTTATTTTTGTTTAGAGTAAATATCATTTTCGGTCGTAAACAAATTTTATGATGTCCGTTTTAGTCTTAGCAAATAAAAAGGCTATTCGTGGTTCCTAAGAAATTCAAAGTGGATCCATTTTAGTCTGTTTGAGAGACTAATGTGAGTCTATTTTGGATTGTGAGGGACTACGATTTCAATTAAATGTGTTCATTTTGAATTTCTTAGAATCACGAATAGCCTTTTTATTTGCTAGGGACTAAAGCGGGCATCGTGAAATTTGCTGAGGACCAAAAAGAATATTTACTCTTTTGTTTATTTTTATTTTTCATTATGAAGCCAAGGAACAAGTGACAAATCAAGTGCACATGCGCTGGTTCTAGTTGGGGTTCCCAACCGCTAAACTTGTAGGCCAGAGCCCAGCACATGGATTTGCAACTTTCTTTCTTGCCAACTTTATAGACCAAAATTATATTTTTTGTAGCCACTAGTTTAGGTGTTTATTTCTTTTCTTTCTCTCCCCTTTTCCTTATGCAAAATTAATAACTCAGGTACTATTAGGTGGTGCTTGGTGTTTTAGAGTCCGAGTGACAAAAATTATTGTACTCTCAAAGTCTCAATTGAATTGTGTAGGGTAGGAACTTAATTGAAGAAATGATAAACTTAACAATATCTTTTGCACGTGAATGAGTATCTGTCTATCTGGGCAATCAAAAGGGGGAGCAGCTAAGTGCTTTTACATTATATATGCTCTCCCTTTTCACCACACAAAGGAGGATAGTATCTTATATATATGTTACACAGTTTGGCACATAGACATGATTACAAGGGCATGCTCATTAACTATGTGGTTCTTGAATATAATTGAAGTGTTTGATTGATAATTTAATTGTAACAGAGCCTTGCCTCCACTCTGATGCAATTAAGATTTGGAGTCCCCTAGACAAATTGTGAAAGTAGGAGTGATACATGACTTAAGTTATCCCCATGCGTCAGAGAAGAGAATGATTGCTAGTTACCTGAATTGCCGACTTAGAATTTTTTTCATTTGATAATGTGGATATTAGTTGTTGCATATATCACACTCGATTATTGCTTATGTATTTGACAATTGACACCCAACATGCATCTGGATAAACCATAGAATAGAGTCATACAATTTAATCTCTTGGAAATCTAATACATATGGCTTGAATAAATTATAGAATATGATCAATAGAAAAAGGGGAAATGAAGAGAACCTACAGACCCATCAAAAGATATGCCACCTTTTTTTTTTTACTCTGATGGGTTCCATGATTTTTTTTTCTTAGCTGGAGATAAAGGAGAAACATATTGCCCATATAAAAAACACAATTTGTAACAACTAATATCCACAAATTGAAGAGTTGAAAGTGATTACGAACTATCCTATACTTCCTAACTTTATATCTGTACTGTAACACTGTTATTAGTTAGGAATTCTCAAATTTTGTATTGATTCAGTTACAAAAATCCAACGTGTTACTTTTACAATAATTGAAAGAAGAGGAACCGTCATTTTGAAATATTAAAATTACACTTATTTTTTTCATTTTTAAATAATTTCTTAATTTGACTAAGTTAATATTACTTTTTAAAATTTCAAATAGGAGAGAATAATTAGTTCCCTATATGTTTAAGTAAAGTTTTTATGCTTTTTATTTTCTTGGTGGCATGGTACTTTTGTTTTTTTATTTATTTTAAATGAAACCAATTGTGAATATAAAATTTGAACAGTAATAATATTTTAAAATTTTAACAGCCATATCCCATATGAAAATAAGTTATTTGTTAATTTGTTTTCTTTCTTCCCTTCTTTGAGAAGTGACATTAAAAATGTTTTTAGACAGTATATGTATTTATGATCAGATCGGTCATGACATGAACAGCACTAGTTCACTGTACATTAATTTAACCGTGATTAAAAAAGGGATAATTAAATATGTATTTTTATTTTATAAATTTTTTTAATAAATTAACGTGTTGATAAAGTAATACATATTCATAATTAAGTAATGTGACAATATATTCAAGTTCAACAATAGACATACTATTTATAAGTTCATAAATATATTTGTTCACATAAATTTATGTTTAATAAAATCAAATTAATATATTAATCTAAATATATTGCATAAGGTCAGGATCATTTTACACCAGTGGAAGTTACACTCTTAATCTTGTCAGTTGCTCCCATTTATATCTAAGGGCTCAAATTTTTTAGTAATGTGAGTCATTGGATACAAGTGGATCAATGGTCAAGATTGAGTGTAATACTTCTAACTCTTACACCAGTATAAGAATATCCTGCCCTTGTTGCATATATTATCAAAAGTTTCTATTTGTAATGAAAATAATTTTTAATTGTATTCAATTAAAGTAAGTAATACATATTAAAGGGTTTGTTTTTTGTCATGTCACATGACAATTGACTTTTTATCTGCCTACACAAATCAAGTGTGAGACTCACATAAAATCGGATTCGGAGGATACGAAACCGGATCTTGTTGTAGGACGAAATAATATCATTCCTACGACATGACAAAACTGATTTCGCATTAAAATATGTATGTAAAATAAAAAAGATCACCGGTTGGACAGGTTCCTGCTTCAAAACTAAGCAAAAAATTTGCACTGTGTCACAACTCACAAGTTACTCTTATCCTTTGATCTTGAGTTTATGCCAGGGGAGTAGTGTCAGCAATTTGTCCATGAAAAGAAATTAAAATGATTTAAAAAAAATGAGTTGGAGACCAATGATCTCCATTTTTCTTCTGGTTGACCAAGTTCATTGTCTTTGTTCTGTATATTTATTAATTTTCAAAGAGAAATCCCATGAAAATGTCGAGTCAGATATGTCTTGCATCGAAATATTTACTAAATTTTTTCCCCATTCGGTAAAGGCATGGGAAAAAACGGGTGTAGCGAAAGTTGTTTAAAAATGAGACATTTTCTGTAATGTGTGTACCGAGAATAGAGAGAAATATTTTTTTAATTCAAGTGCCAAATTTTTAATGGGTGTCGCAGGTACACCGGGTATAGAAAATAATCTCTGTCTTGCATATGGGATGAAGTGGCTAATTTTGCTGAGGCTTTGTTTTGGACGTTAGGTCACATGCAATAACCAACAACAATTAGGTATGGTTGAAATTACAATGCCAATGATAAAACCGACCTAAAGGAAGGCATACATGGTTCGGGTGTGGTCGAAAACAAGGATAACATGGCATTTAAAATACCGCTCTCATCTCTCTCACTCTCTTTTAAAAAAGAACATAGACAACAAAAAAAAAATTATGAGAAGGAACATAAAAATTATTATTATTATTATTATTCTTATGATGATGATGAATGTATAGACTCTGTTGACCCCAAAACAAACGTAATTAAATTAATATAGAGCGGAAATTATGACTATTGGATCATTAAGATAAATAGTAAAAGGGTTTTGTATCTATCATTTAACATGACCACAACAACTTTCTTACACACACAACATTTTGTGGGACCCACAATTTTTGAAACCAAAAAAAAAAAAAAAAACTCTGGCACGCAAAACGAATTTCTATAACATAACACAATCACTTTTCCTACAACATAACTCTTATTAAACCCATAGTAAAAATTAGAAGTTAAGAATCTTCCTTGTTGCATATATTTCGAGAAAATTAGTGAGTTTCGAAGCGATGAACTATCATGTAAAAAGTTAAAAGAGTTTAAGGGTTTTTTGTTGATTGAATTTTTAATGTACTATTAAGTATCAAATTTATCGCCTATATGTTCCGTATTTTGTTGATTGTTGAGAAAGTCAATCTATTTAAAATGTCGATGTTATAAGAAATTACGAACAAGTATTGGTGGGAAAATTTACCCAAATGAGTAGTTCAGAAAATTCTTCGAGAATACTAACTTGTAGCATGCATTTCTGTTTCCAAGTGTAAATTATAGTTTTCTTGTCGTTTGATCCATTTTTATTTGGCCATCTTATAGGTTAAAGCATGCATACCCATTTTTTATTGAGAAATTGGCTCGTACGCTTCACAAAATTGGCTTTCAATCAAGCAAAAATGTGACCCCTCTTTAATTATTAAGGTCCCCAATCAGCAGTGCACCTATCAGCTGTTTTATTCAGATGAAATCCTCATCAGAGGATCTTCACCTCTATGTTCTATCACTTTCTTGCTTAATCTTTGAGTGTACACGAGGCACATGCAAGTTTCGGCTTGGCATCGTCTTAGTGCATGTTTGGATCCTCTTTTTTTAAGCTACAAGCTACTTATAAGCATAAGCTAGACCAAACAGGTTTTGAGAAAAGCTCTTATAACGAAAAGTTTTTTTTTATAATGAAGAAAAAAACTGAAAACTAAAAGCTCCTAGGAGGAGCTTTTTTTTAAGCTCTTATTTGTTTTTCTTGAATTGTGTGCTTTTTTTTAAATGAAGAGTGATAAAGATAGAAAGAGATAATTTTCTTAAAATATGTGCTTTTAAGTAATTTTTAAGCTAACACTTTTATATAATTTCTAAACAGCTTTTAGCTTATTTTTTTAAACTTTTTTTTTTAGCTTTAGCTTATAAGTAACTTCTAGCTTAAAAATAAGAGGATCCAAACAGGCTCTTAATCTATGTCAATTTTTTTAAAGTGATTTTAGGAAGCCAACAATCATATAAACAACGACAAAATTGCTTATATTTTCATCGCAAAATCAATCATATACGACGCATTTATTTTCTGAATTCAGTGAATATGTATGTACATGAACTTGAGAGAGAGTCTTCTCTGACTTTGCTTCTTAATAACTTCCCATTTCAAAATATCTAATGGTTTTCTTGTCTGTTCTTGAACGAACATGCCCCCTTCGTAGGTTTTAGATCTTCTTTTGGCACCTTTCACCCCAAGAATTATGCTTAGGTATAACCATATCCAATTTAAGATATACATGTAGTTATTCAATAGGATAATATTAACATATGGATATGCACCTTACATGCAACACTATTCTAGGTTTTTGTGTAGCGTAGATAAGGACAATTTTTTGACACGAGGAACAAAAGGTTTCCCATTTGAAAATGACATTTCTTTTCTTTTCTTTTCTTCTCTTTTCTTTCCCAATTGAATAAAATAATATATATTATAAAATGAACAAAATAACAGATGAAAAGAAAGTAGGCTGGGAACTGAAAAAGGGACGTAAGGCCACGCTTTTATATCTAATAAATAGAAGTACAATAAGACAAACCAGTTTTTTTCGGCTTCTGCTGTGGGTATAGGGGTCAATGAAAGTTCCCTTCACAAGGTGATTGTCCCAAATATGGTCCCACTCATAGCAAATTAAGGACATTGCAGAGGACTTTCTATGCGGGTTTTTGGTCCAATCAGAAGGCACTCATGGAATGCAATATACTCATGTGAAGGATAGGGTTCATCTCACTGAGCAGATTCCTTTTTCTGAAGAAGACAAAAATTATATGTAGAGCTGGTGAGCTGCTGCAATGTAGCGCTAACATATAGATCATGCAATAAAGTTTAACTATCTCTGCAAGATAAAATGCTAATAACTCAGTTGGTATATAGAAAGGCGAAAAGACCTTCATTCGATCCCCATCAATGTTATCTTTGGTAGAAGTATAAAATCTTAATTCTTGATCCACTCCGAACTCAGAATTAGTACTAAAACTAGCTCAAAGAGTCAAAATTTATAAAAATACTTGGAGAATCCTATTCCTTTCAAAGAAATAATTAAAATTGATATATATGAATAAAAAAACCAACAGCAAGAGAATCGGATTGCTGAAAATTTGTGACGATGTATAAAGGAAAATGAAAACCTATCTTCTCATCAGCCATGTTCACAAAATTAACTGTTCACTTTAAAAATGAATTTTCAAAAATATACAGTGGGATAGAAAAATGATATTCTTGCTCAACTTCATCGCGTTCATTTGTGTTCGTAGTCTTTCACTTAAAGGACTAGAAATAATATTATGGTTGGTAAGAAAATTATCTAATGTATTTCTGAAGAATAAAAGTAGTTTACAGAACCTATCCCTCAATCAATTGGACTGGGGATTTATCCTCCCTTTTGATATACTACATACGATTCTGTTGAAAATGAAGTTGATCTTTGTGCAGTAATTGCACCATTACGATCTCATTCACAAGAAATTACATACGGATCGGAAAGCGGTGGTCAAGTTAGTAGCGATCTACATAGACACATACCTCATTTCTAACTACTACGGGAAAAGGAAGTTAGGAAATGACGAATCTCAGATATCGAACATATTATAAATTTGTCCTGTAATAAGGAAAAATGCATAGGCTAGGCATAGTAAAAGAGAGTAGCACCTAATATAAGACCGTGAATAACAATTTTCAGAATATGTACAGAATATATAAATGAAAAACAAAACTTAGCCAGATCCACAGCGATTTATCGGCCCAACAATGCAACGCGATCCTTTTGTACTGCCTGTGTTAGGTTGATATCAAAGAGCTCACATCGTATAGGCATCTCCATCTCATAGAAGGGGTTCTTCAAAACATAATCCGTGTACAATTCATATATGAATTTCAACAAACTTTCCATATGTTGTGTTCCAGGCTCACAGACCACAAAAAACTTTGTCCCTGTGGGGGAGAAGAATTATTTTCATAAGGCATGACTTGCATCAATATTTAAAATATAGACTAGGGCCAGAAAATCATTAAATAAAGCTTCACTTTGTCAGAGACATTAAACTGAATATCAGCACCACAATGAATGTGCAGGCATATTAAGATAATAAGTCTACAGTAAAAGCTAAAAAACAAGACGTGGAAACTGGTACAGTAGCCGAACATCTAGAAATATTTTTAACTATCAAGTTCATCATCATCTAAATTAGAAGAAGCATTATGCTACCTTTATATAGACTAGGAAAATCGTATAATACATTCATTTTTCTCGGGTCTCGATAAGCAAGTCAACAATAGGCTATGTTGCACCGATACGATACAGGACACGAGACACGAGACACAACACGACACTTCGATACGTTAATTCTAAAAAATGTTAGATTTCAACACGTTAGGACATGTTTTGATATTAAATAATATTTTTAATATATGTATTGTATAACTGTATATTATATTTAATATTCAATAGTTTAACAAAAAAATGAAACTAAACTTATAATACCCATCAATTTTGTAAAGAAACATAAGATGTAAATATTTACTGATATATTTTCAAATTGAAAATCTCTTATACATTCCAGTGAGATTTATTCGGTATCTATTTTTAATTTTTAATATCAATTTGGTAAAACATCGATCAATTTTTTCATGATATATAATAAAATTTCAAATATTATAGATGTCGGAGCGTGTCAGAGTGTCGAGGAGTGTCGGACATGATACTTCATGCTTTTTTGAAGTGTCTGTCGGTGCAACATAAACAATAGGTATAGAAAAAATTTGCAGAGTAAGTGCTTAATTAATATCTTATAAATGATGGTACCTAGAAAATTATTTACCTCCCACCTCCTTCCAACCTAATTGATTATGATTATTTGTACCCTAAATTTTATGTCCCAGCCTCTTTGCACATATGATTTATAAATTTCAATATATACAACTATGCGAAAGTATTAGCGGCTTCATCTCAATGGGACTTAGCATAGCATATCAGAACCTGGAAGATAGCAACATGGTTCTATAGCTGAAACTACAAAGCACCTTATATGAGAAAACTTATGTTACCAATAATTATGTAGAGCTTCTGAAATATTTATTTTACTAAACCTTCTTTCATTAAAACCCGGCCACAGTATAGTACCTAACAGCTGCATACCAATGTGCATAAAAACCAAATGCTGGGACTAGATATACCAATCTGTAATATGCACAGGATGTTCGGCAGTCATTCTTCATCTTATTCATCATGTGAGTTAGAAAGCCAAACATATTAGTACGAGTTATATAAAACAATACCTGTTAGTGATTGGAAGCAGTGAAGATCAAACGTGTCAGCTTGGAGAAGTTCAATTCCTGAACAACCAGAAACAGGTGATAACTGCTGAGAGATGGCATGCATTGAATGCCATAAACTAGCCACCCGCAGGCTATCATTGGTATCCATTCGTCCAGAAGACCCATAATCCTAAATATCAAAAAGTTTACAATTATTCAAAATCATGCTTTCCAATCATAAAAAGCGCACTACTGCAACTCAACGACAACAACAATAAAAGTCTTTTTCCCATTAGGTGGGGGTTGGCTATAATTATAATTCATTTGAATCCAATGACACCATTGTGATTTGTCAAAAATTGAGTTTTCAGAAAGGCTATTTCATCATGTCTTTTTTAATGCTTTTTGTTAAAAAAATTTCTTGGTCTTCCTCCACCTCTGCGATTATAACATTTCATTAAAAAAATTTGCTGCAATCCTGCAACTATAACCAAAATAATGATTTTTTTTTTAATTCAAAAGACAGGATAAAAAGTTGAGCTATCATTGATTCCATCTGCTAAGTGAATCCATATACTGATTATCATAAGATTCAACAAGGTAAACATAGTGAAAGTTCTAAGAAGCATATAATTTATACCACTAAGCCACTAACATATACTAACACAAATGAAAATACAAAGGTATCTAGGTTATCTTTAATAAAACTTATCAGCTGAAGTTCACTCTACAAGGTCTTCATGTGACCTGATTAACATTCCAACATACTCATCAAACAGAAAACGAAGCAATAACAATAATACTTTCTGATACCGATTTTGAGGAAACAGAACAAAACAATTTCTTAGGAACCAAACAAAAAAAAGAATTTAACGTCCACATAAGTGAGCAATGTGGAGAAAGAATTTAGAATAGCGTAACCTTATAGTAGATTAATCCACCAGACTTATTGATGATGTAAAGACTGTAAATTGCTGCCATTTCAAAAGCCTTTGCCAGAATCTGAAATAAAGATGAAGATGAAGTTTAACAAGGACATTTTGTCACTAAAATCTAGTACTTACCATACAACACAATCTTGAAATATATAATCATTTTGTAAAACAATGCTGTCAATGGCCTATTACACTGTGATTTAGATGATGGATTGGAAATTTTCAAGTAATTTTCAAAATGCAGCAAATTAACTTCCTTCAATTGCAAAACACGTAGTTTGGGCAATTGAAATCAATCAAAATTTTGTTGCAGAATTTGATGAAACAAAAGCAAGGATTATCTAAGTGGTAAACAGCATGTATAATATAATATTGATTATTGAACGCATAGGCTCCCTGCTCCACCTACATCACATTTATAGATGCAAACATAAAACAATATTCTAATTATTCACACTAAAAATACAGAAACAAGCCTCACATCTATAAATGTAGCTGGTCCGGGACACCACGGAGGGTCAATTTAATATCACATTCAAGAAATTTTAGTAGAGAGAAAAGAAGTGAAGTACAACTGGAGGAGCATAAGCTATCCATCCAATTCAAGATGCAACAAGGAACATGAAAAACCCAAAAATGCAGCAAGACTGCTCAATCTCATTGCACGTTAGAAATAGCAACTTCCTTGTAGCAGCCACGAGCCCATGAGCAGAAACATCAATTAAAAGCCTAATGTTTATGAACTATATTGAAACATAATACAGAGGGAGAGAAGAAGCAGTTTGAGACCGACAAGTTTGCAACAAGTCATTTGTATTACTCCTATTAAGTACCACAGTTCAAATAAAAGATTAAACTTTGAGGGCGCTTTGGACTTCCAAATGGGTTTGTTTTTCAAGAAGGAACCTTTGATGGTTAGAAATGTGAGTTAGAAACTGAAAGAGTAATTTACAAAAAAACACTCCACAAGAATCCAATGACCAAATTTCCCTGCCTGAATTGGTAAACAGTTTATGACTTTTGCACAATAAGTTTACTATTTGCAATTGCAGTGTATTCTGCCATTAGAAAAAAATTCACATCATGCAGATAAAAGGTTGTTGATGTATAAAGATATTAGAGGAAACCAACAAAAACCTCCGACAAAGTTTTTCCTCCTATACTACTGAACGTAGTAGTGGTGGCTACGAGCTATGGCTTATTGTTATGGTAAACATGCAAAGCAACCAACCCGCATTAAATAATACATACCCAAACCCGTTCTTAAAATCCTATAATTTTCCCTAAGCCAGTTCCATCCAGTTAGAAAGCACCAGAACCCTAATCATCCCATCCAATTATTATTCAACATGACAGCAAATAGCCACTCGATTAAAATATTCAGAAAGAATCAAATTATCAATGTGTTAAGAAACTAAACACAAACAATTCAGAAAAAAAGTAAATAATATCAAAGATCCATAAATTGGAGTTACAAACTTACAAATACATACTTGAAAATATAATTTGGGAAAGGAGCAAGGAGAGGATACATCCAATAAAAAAACAATCAATACTAAACAATAAAATCACATTTCTCGCCCTATTTGAACTCGTACGGGAAATCAGGTGTTATCCACAAAAGTATAAGTCAATCCAACATAAAGAGGAATAATTGGACACACAGTCAGTCATGTGATAAACCAATGATCAAAATCAAGATGTAAGAAACCAAGTTCATATAAGAACTAGTCCTAAAACAACCATGTTACACATGATCTTCCGTTTATCATTGGGAGGAGGATGAAACAGATAAAGAATCTGGCTCAACATCCTCAAAGCTCTGTAATTTGGCTAGTTAAGGCCAGACTGAACTAAACTATAACAAGATCTCATACTAAAACAATCAAAGTTTCAATGGAAACAACTAGTTTAATCTTGGTTCTAATCAATCCAAAACTCCTTTATTTCATTGCTAAATCTAACGATTTCGTTTGAAGAGATTGACCGGAAAATCATAAAGAATGAAACAGGAAAAGCAGCGTATGCAAATAAAAGGTGAATGAATCAGTAACGCGACAATCTCAGATGCAAATCGAAACGATGGATCACAAAAGCGACGCGCATTGAAAAAACTGAACCAACAGCTACAATTACAGCGAACGATATGAATGCACAGGAAACATACACAAAATAGGGAGGAAGATCGACTGCGTGAGACAGACACGGAAAATGAGACGTCGACGGCGGCGCCGGCAACTCTAGCGGCGACGGCGGGCACCGGAAAGCAGAAGAAAACTCAACTACGGTAAAAGCAACTGAAAGCTAAGCAGTGAATGTGCGAGAGAAAATAATGTGGCTTTAGTTGCAATAGATGACGTGAGGATACTCGTTTAGCGCACGAAGAAGAAATTAAAAAATAGAGTTAACACCTTTTTAGTCCTCGGCAATATCTACGAAGTCCTTTTAAGTCTCTGACAATAAAAAAAGACCAAATTGGTCCCGGAAAGTATAAGAAGAGGGTCACTCTACATATTTAAGAGTTGACATAAGGACTAACATGACCTTTTTTTTGTAATTTCAGGGACCAATTTGATCCTTTTTTATTTCCAGAGACTAAAAAGGACTTCGTAGATATTGACAGGGACTAAAAAGGCTGTTTACTCTAAAAAATAAAATAAAAAATTAAGTGCATATTATTTGGATGAGCTTATTTTAAATAATTAAAAAGACGAATATTTATTAAAAAAAACTCTACAGAAAAATATCTCCCAAAGTATTATTATCTCTTATGCGGGGAAAATAAGTCATTTTTACTTTCTTATATTATGAGGTTTTCTCTTGTTAAATTTAGGGTGCATTTGGATAAAAAAAAGGCTTTTGTGATATACTTTTTTTTACAAGCTACTTTTTTAAAAGAAAAAATTCAGAGAGAAGTAAATTCGTAAAATAATATATAAATTTTTTAAGTATATTTGAATTAGAAATAATTTATTGAAAACAAATCCAAACAATTTTATTTTTGATTTATTTACTTTAATTTATTGTTACTTTTTTTGGTGTAACTACTATTGAATTCGTACATGCCTTTCTTGTAATATAATCTAAATTCTAAATATATTTTTTTATTTTAAAAAGATCTAACAAATTTTATTTTTTATTTTTTTACATATTTTTTTGTTACGTAATTAATAACTTCAATTGAGTCCAGGCATGCATTTCTTGTAACATCATTTAAATTCTAAATATATTTTCGGAATATAAATAAATTAGTTTACTAACTTATTTTATGTAAATTCTAAATAAAAGATTTTATGTAAATGTCCAATATTTAAAAAATTGTCACAACTTTAAGTTTTAGAAAAATAAAATTTAACTTTCTATGAATAAATATGGTTTCAACTCAAAAATTGGAGAATAGTATATATGCCAAAAAAATTAATATTAAATAGGTTCTTTTTAAATATCTTTATCTATTAAAAAATAGTGATAAAGCATTAAAAATTAAATTGATAATTTTTAAAATTAAAATTAGTTTTACAAAGACACAAAATATATTTATTTAGGACGAGTATTTAAAATAAATAGTAAAAGATTATTTAAAAAAAAGAAAAAAGAATTAGGTTCCCTCATGTTTACTTCCACGAGAAACCATGGGCCACCATTCATTTGTGTTAATTTCACGGCAATTTTCCTCCGCAGTATAATTGTCATTCATGACAGAACTATATATAAATTAAGGAAAATATTTTTCTCATGTTGTAGGTAAGTAGTTATCTCATGTTTTAAAAATAAAATTATAAGTGAAACCCACAGATATGAGTAGAGAGAAAAAAAAATGGCGAAACTCAATCTTTTTTTATATGTGTAGGAAAGTTGTTTATTTCATGTAAAATAAGATAAACATAACCCATAAATTAACTGTAATTATTGGAATGTCATTTTATAGAATTTTGTGTTCCTTCTCTATTGGTTCTTCACTCTCATCCTTATTTTCATCTTTATTGAAAATAAGTCGTCTAGTTTGTCTAGCGCAACCATCATGTGTTAGCTAACAGTTTGAAACTTGGATTCCGTGTTTTAACTTTTTTTTTTTTTTTTTTTTGGTAAACAAAAGGCCGAATCCCAACAATCAAAACTAAAACCTACAAACTACTGTTCTTGATCTACCAACAGCAGTTATATCACCAAACAACAAGTGTCGTATGCCAGGAGGAGGATCCCTCCAAATTTGAAACGTAACGGGATCTTCCAAATCCAGAATATGATTTGCCCTCCAATCAGCGCAGGTATTCCCTTCCCTGTACGTATGCATGAAGTTAACAGTCCAGCATCTGCTCAACCATGTCCGTATACGAGCTATCAAATGACACTCACGGACTGCTCCACCATTCATGGTAAGCACAATGATTACACTAGATGAATCACTTTCAATAATGATGTTACGATACCCCTCTCTCCAAGCCCCTAAGAACACCCCACAACTCAGCTTTGAAGGGAGAACAAAAACCCAATCTATAGGAATACCCTCCTAGCCACCTCCCTTGGGCATTGCGAATCAAACCACCACAAGCAGCAAGATTAGAGCTGCCTCTAGCAACTCCATCAGTATTAACCTTCACTACATCATCAAGATTAGAACTTTTTTTTTTAATTAGAAAATAATTAACTTTTCAATTGTTATTTCTGTCATGCTGAGAGATGACAATAACGCATCATCAGAATTTAAGGTTTTTATCAATCCATATATAAAATAATAAACTACCGAAATTTGAAAACCCTAAAAACTGAATCCCTAAACTTGAAAATACTAAACTAATATTGAACTACCATACACATGGTGAATGTTACAACTTATTGACAAATTAATACTTCACCAAACAACATGACATTATATACACATCCCGCATCAATAAAGATCATGTAAAGCATATACAGAAAAGAATATATTGTAATTTAAGAAAGAGAAGAAAACCAATATATTTTAAAAAATATCAGGATGAAGATCCTTAATTTTCATCTCCAACTTGCTATAAGCATACCTGAGAAATCAATAATAAAATTTGCTTCAATCAATAGCTTATCAAGAAATACAAAGATTCAATCAGATTATAGTATCAAAAAACACGAGTACAATCAAATTTGCTTCAATCAACTTGCTAGATAATGCAAAGGTTATTAACATAATAAGCCAATGGGAATCAAAATGGACAGATACGCATACCTTAAACCCTTCGCAGTCAATGCAGTCACTCTTTCAAACTAAGTCTTGCATTTTGGACCTTCACTGATAACTTTAACTTCTGTTCTTCCATATCCCTTAGCACAGCCAGCAAGTTTGACCTATAAACTTCACATCGTTGATTTGTAATCTCTAACTCTGCAGTCAACTCTCGGATTTTCTTTTGCTTTTCCTCCTGTTGAATAGGATCCAAAAGGAAATTTTGAATTATACCACAGGTATTGACAAATACAAAAGCCACATGTAAGATGAGGTTCTCAGTTCTTACACTAGTGGGCACACATAGACACAATAACATAAATTTGATGCTATAATTCCACTAAATTACTGATAAAAATGAAATTTAATATTTACAGCATAATATAAAAGCTTAACAAGATATGCAAAAATACAAGTTGGCACTAATCATGTCCCTCTTCAGTCACTATGGACGAATGATCTCACCTTTTGTCCATGTTCAACAAAAGCAGGCTCAACTTAAATTTACTGGCAATTCAATTTCTATTTCTTAAAATATTAACATGGGATTGTGAAAGGAGATCATCATAGTCATAGAATAAACATAAGAATAAATGGTAATCACACTCCAACAAACATTTTATAACCAAAAAATTTGAAATATGGATCCTTCACATAAAATCATATAAATAGCATACATTTTTTTAGGTAATAGTGCATTCAGCCCCCCCTAAACTTTAACCATTTTGCAAAATAACACCACTAAATATAAATTCGTCTCAATTAATCCTTAAATCTTACCCAATATACTGATAGACCCTTCTATTCAGCTACCGTTTACTCATTAACAGAAGATCTACATAACAACATCTGATCCATTCATTTGTAAAAAAACTTGATCGTTTATGACAGGAACCCACGATGAAAATAGAGAAAAGAGAAGAATGATTTTATTGCTTGATTGAAAATGAAAAGAACAAGGAGAAAGATCTCTCCTCCAAGGGTTTCAACTTCACAGAGGGTTTCCCCTTTCTGAAACAGAGCTAATACTCAGCTTCCAAATGATAACAAATCAGCCTCCTAAATCTCCTACATTCCCTCTTATTTAAGCTAATTCCCTACCTCTACAACTTCAACCTCTAACCATTCTAAGTAACTAACTACTCTCTCACCCTATCAGTTTAATATTTTTTTTTTAAATATAACCTAAGAATTTTTTAAATAATTCAATTTAAAAAAATAAAAATAGAAACAAGCTTTCTGGGTTGTCTGCAATTATTGGTATGAAGTCCTACCACAATGCCAGAAATATCCAACCAAGTCACCCAAATAGCAATCACGCACCACAACTTTCAATGAAAACAAAACAACCGAAAAGGAAAAGAAAAGAAAAGAAATCTATAATCCCAAACCACCACTTGGAGTCACCACCCACAGTCGCCTGACTGATCACAGCTTAAAGCTGTGTTGCACCTCGTCTGAAACTGCACACACCACAGAGGAGCTCCCTACCCAAAATAAGCAAACCCATACATTCCACTGCTGTCGTCGATAAGCCAGAAACATCAATTGCCGCAACCCAAAACCGTGAATCACCACTACCCGATCGCCTGAACCACCAGCCGGACCATCCTGTACCGGCAACCACTTATAAGTCTCTCTCTCACTTATTCAGTTGGGATGGATGCAGTGTCCTTGTGGTGTGCTGGCAGGTGAAGTGTGGTTAGGCGGCGTTTTTAGTATTAAGAAATGTAACCAGTAACCCATATAAGAAATGGTTTAAGGAAGAAAATGACAGAAACAGCAACAAAAGTGATTAATGATAGAAGAATCGTGGTTTTATTGTAAGATGGATACGGGGATGAATGAGAGGGTGAGGGATTTCATAGCAAAGCAAGTGCTTAATTGGCAAAGAGGTTATCATTGCTTGATTCAAGGCCTTTTCCAGTCAAAGATCTGATTGGTGAGAGAGGTTCCTCTTCAGGAAAGATTTGATCATCAAGGTCACGCCACCCATATTAGCCTCCTCCTTATTTAACCTTCCCAGTTTCCGGCCAAAGATTTTAGATTGTTATTGTTAGAAATATTAGAATAGGAAATATTAGATATGATTAGATTTGATTAGATTTGAATAGATTACTTCCTATCTGTTAATATTCTGGGCTTCTCACTTAAGCCCATTAGGGTCTCTATATATTGTAACTCTTTGTATTAGGTTAATACACAATTGAATACAATATACACATTCTTACTTTCAAGTGTTAGTTTCATAATTTACTTGGATTGCTTTTTCTCTGTTATAAACATTTATTGAATAAACAAAAAAGTTGAGAAAACATGGATAATGAGGATTTAACGAGATGGATGAATAGTGTTTTGAAAGGTCATCAAGTGGTCGCATCGCATGCTAAGCACACTTTCACTAATGAGTTAAAGGGTGCTAAATAGAAGGGTCTATTGTTACAATGGGTAAAGTTTAAGGATTAATTGAGACGAGTTTAAAGTTGGCGGTAGCATTTTGCAAAAGGTTCAAAGTTTAAGCGAGCTGTATACCCATTTTCCTTTTATTTAATATCAAATATCCAATAGTATTGACTTAACACGTAGAAAAGGGGTTACCAAGATAACTACAACATGTATGATCTCCAAGTACCTAGCTCCCCAGAGAGAGAGAGAGAGAGAGAGAGAGAGAGAGAGAGGGAGGGGAGGGGGGGGTTGGCTCCTCCCCCCTTCTTTCCTACAATTTTGTATGCTTTGACACAAACAATAGTATACAGTAATTGTATACTTCTTTGGATGCATCTCATTGTAGAATTTATCAAGCAAAGACTTTCTGTACATGATTGCTCTAGCGAGAACTTCTACCTATTGCTAGGTTTATGATCTAAGGAAAAGATCACAGGTTCAAAGAAACTAACCACAGATTGAAAGCTTGGAACATCTTCATCTGCTGCAAGCAATTCACTTCTGCCTCCATTGGCTACTGCCTCAGCTGTTCCAGTACTCTGATTTTTTATGGCAGAAACCTTCTTAGCAGCATCTTGCAAAGCTTTCATTGCAACATGATAAATTTGGATTGATTTTGCACCTTCTTCTACATACTTGATTGCTTCTTGACGCAGATTGTTATAACGAGCCGTTACAGACTCACGTGAACTGCTTGGCGATTCAGATGCATGTTCATCTAACAATGCACCAACTTTTGCATTCCTTGTCCAGCGTTTCAACACATACTGAGATGGAAGTGTGAGAACATTTTTAGCTCTGAAGACTGCCAAAATATGCCTACAAATGATACCTGAATATTCAAACATCTGACAGCTGCAACTAGCTTTCATCTCAAAAGAATTAAAAGTGACAATGTGAGATTTTTGGTTTTCTCCAAATTTGGCAACTCGATAAGTAGTGATAGTTCCTGAATCATCAATTTTTGTAGCAGGATTTGCAAGAGTCTCTACTAACTCCTCTTGGAATTTCATGAATATCTTTCTCGTGTAAAGACTTGCAGCTTGTTTTTCCATAGGAGATGGTGTTTTTAAAACTGGGCTGCTATTAGTTGTGTCATAATCTGCTTTTAATTCCCTTTCATGCCAAGTTGATACAGCTTTCTCATATTGTCTCACCAATACCTGTAGAGTTGTAGATGCATTTACATATCCATCAAAGAAAAAATTTAAACATTCATTTCCCTCATTAAAAGATATCTCCCCAAAGAAAGTATCCCGCAAGTAGACAGGGACCCAATGTCGTCGTGCATTGTACATTGACTGAAGCCATTCATTATCCACGGCGTAGTATCTTTCCAAGAGTGAGTGCCAATAAGACTCAAACTCATCAATGGTCTCACTTTCATGAACACATTTCCTGAATTCATTTTCAAAAGCAGGATGTGATTGACATAAATGAGCCAGTTTGCCTCGGGTTTCTCTAACTATGCCCAATTTACAGAACCGATGGCGAGTTGGAGGGAGAACTTGGGCAACAGCAACTTGTATGAATGGGTCCAAGTCTGTTGTAATGGAGACAGGGTGGCGTTCAGACATGGCATGGAGCCAAGTCCTGAATAGCCATATAAATGAGGACTCAGATTCATTGAGAATCAACGCACAACCAAATAACACAGGTTGCCCATGATGATTAAAACCAGTAAAAGCAGCAAATGGTACCCGGTACCGGTTAGCCCTATAGGTTGTGTCCAATATAACAGCATCCCCAAAATAAGAGTAGTTCATTCTAGATGTTGTATCAACCCAAAATATATTTCCGCCCGAGTGATCATTGTCACCCTGAACTGCATAAAAGAAAGCAGGAATCTCTGCCTGCATGCGCTTCAGATAGTCCAATACATGATGACTCCCACCCCCAAGGGTACGCTGTCTAGTGCTACTCATATGTGCTGTAAAGCGGGGAAAAGAAATTGTGATCAGGATTATACAAAAAATGGCGGATTACCGGGCCAACCTATCCAAAAAAAATTATTCGAAACCCATAAATTACTGCTTATAAGGTAATCAATTCAGAATTTCTAACCCAAAATGAAATGGCAAAGATTGTTTGACTCTTCTGTGTTTAATCCTGGTACATTATATTGGTGACGAGATTAGTAAAAGGGAAAAAAAAAAAGGTAATCAACTTTCACAGAACTAACATGGATAAAGAATTAGCCAGATGAAATAGAAGACCCCTACAAACTCACTATCATGTTAGTTAAAAAATCTACAACATGTGATATACAAGGGCAACTCAAACTCCTTCCCAAGAATACGAAAATCCCAATACACTTAAAAATCAATAAAACAAATAATTTTCTGAAATTCTGCTCCTGCACATGAACAACCGATAAATTGCAGTAACTAAACAACTAAGAACAAGTCAACAACGCAGAAATGATTTTTGAATAAAAAATGATGCTCACAGCGGCAGTAAGCGGTGGCGTCGTGACGGTGTCAGTTCGTGTGATTGCGTCACCTACACCCTGAGGTTCTGCGGTGGCGTCCTGAGTGTGTGGCTGCCGGCGGTGGCGCAGAGAATGAGGCGTGTGATGCGGCAGAGCTCTGAGCTTAGGACTGAGTTCTGGGAAGTGGAGGAGAAAAGAAACGGTTAAGTTTTGACTAGGGCATTAAAATGAGGTGGGGCAAGGAGTAAAATATTTGGGTAGGATATGCTTTCTATCACTTCTTATCATTAAATTTTAATACTTGATTATTTTATTAAGTTTCACTTAAATTAAGTATTTTGAATTTGTTATGTTTTAGTTGATTATTATTTTATATTTCTATATTATTAATATAGTATTCTGGCAAGATTGTCATGCCCGATTATCTCAAATCACTATCGGATGGGACCACCACCACTCTACACATGGAGCACATATTCTCTAGTACATGTATCCCTTCATATTCCCCACACACACATGACCCTTTATACGTCATGGGTCACGCAACCGCGGTGCACGCCACGGGGAATAAAGGGACTTCAGCTCCCTTGCGTCAAAAATTCCGTACTAGTGTTAATTTGCAAAAGTATCTCCACGCTGAAACACATCTGTAAAGATTGACGAGAGTAGAGCATTCAAACACGTAAGGTTGACTGACGTGACCAGTCCCGCCACATACAACGACGTGATCAGCAGCCACATACAGTCTGCATCTATCCCGCCATTTGGTCTGACTCATTTGAGTCCCGCCATATCAGTTGGCGAGACACACTGTCATCCGCCACGTGCCTTGACGTCTCTCACTCATTTGCACCTTATCCCCTCACACTGCGCACCCCTTCAAACCGTCTTCTTCTGCTCTCTTACCCGGATCCTCCATTTTCGTAACTCGGTTGTGGAGCAATTGTGGGAAACAAATTTTCGTTGGCCAAATTTTCTTCTCCAGTCCGTTGGCACCTCAGCTGGAGCAAAGTGTGCACGTTCCCATTTTTCCCCTTTCCCGTTTAGTACTCTCTGGACCACAGGTAGAGTGTTGCTTATATTATCTTGATTTTTTTATATCTGTGTAGTATTATTTTTTAGGGGTTATGGTGTTGTGTATCTGCATTATTTATAGGTGGATCTAGTTTTTTTTTTTAAGGGACCACAGGTTTGGTGGTTTTTTTTGTTCGGGGGCCACCGTTTGGTGTTGCATGTGGTATTTTTTTTGCATGTGTTTTTTATTAATGAATGTTGCATGTAGTGTATTCATTTGGAGAGATATATGTGTTCTGAAATTGTTTTGATAATTAAGACAAAAATAAGGTGGCATGAAAGGAAAGTGATGTAGCCCCAACATTATATCCATAAAATAAAATGAAATAGTTGTTTTAGTAATTAGTAAATTTGTTTTAATTAGTAAAAACTGGCTCATTTGTTTTGCCTAATTAATAAATTAATTACTAATATTAAGCAAATTATGTAATTAGTAGTATTGTTGTAATGTTATTAATTTCCCTTTTCAAATATTTTACATTAATGAGGAAAAATATTTTTGGAAACCTTAGGCATCAAAAAATTATTCCTAACATAATTAGTAATCAATGTAATTTGGCTTTTGGAAAACAGTAATTAATGTAATAATTATGTAGTAATTTTAATTAGTGTTTTAATTAATAGTAATCATATTTAAATTTACAATGCTTTGTAATCCATGTTAGGAAACTAAGTTTTTGACATTGAAAATTATAAACATGTGTTATCAAAAAAAAAAAAATTATAAACATGAATCTGAAATAGTAATTTTGATTTAATATATTTATAATTATTACAATTTTTATTTATGGGAATCGTAATAATTGTTTGAATAAATATATAATTGCAGTTTACATGTTAATGAATAAAACCTTCAAAAAAAACATATTAGCTTAAATTAGTAACAACTAAAAAAGTAATTAAATAGTCATTACAATTTATTGAATTAGTTAAATACATGCAATTAAATCTTTTATACAAAATTATTTATTAACATTACAATGTTCCAGTCATTTAATTACTGTATATTTGCCAAAATTAATAACTTCGACGATATACAGTAGTAAATACATTGTAATTATTTCCGATATGTTGTTGTAATTATATTTGCAGTCATATTTTATTAAATAGTAATTGTAATAGTAGCTTAATTATGTAGTCCCTATATTTATTGATAAATTTTGCAAATTGTTGTTAGTTAAATGGCTAGTCATCAACCTCGCATTGACCCCGATCCGAAAGAGTGGGGTGTACTGGATGAAGATGTGCAGCAATGTCACGGATCGCAGGTGGTGTGGAATGAGGGACATTTAAAGTCTCTGAGAGTTAGACGAGCGTCAGAGGGTAGGGGAATTAAGGATGTGCATAACCCAGATGACATCCCCCAAGACCTGCAGCAGCATTTGATGCATGCAGGTTTCTGGCATGCGGCTCGCATGAGAAGATTACCGGTATGTTTCAGTTATGAATTTTATTTTGTTTATTACAAGTTACCAATAATTACAACCTTTATATTTTTTTACTTAAATGATTGTTGGCAGATTGACCATAGGCTGATTACTGCACTGGTTGAGAGGTGGCGGCCAGAGACTCACACATTTCACATGCCTGTTGGAGAGATGACTGTCACTTTACAGGATGTTGAGGCCATTTTAGGTTTACGCACTGAGGGTCGGGTGGTTTCTGGCTACACCCATGGGAACTGGGCAGACGTAATCACGCAGTACATGGGAATATCTCCACTTGCAGCTGATTTACAACATGGGAACCTTAAGATGGGTTGGTTGACTCAACATTGGGGTCAATGGGCTGCGCATTCAGCTACACACGAGGGACAAATTAGGTACACTCGTGCCTATCTTATGCGTCTCTTCGGAGGTTTTTTGCTGTGTGACAAGTCAAGTTCAGTAGTCGCTTGTCGGTACATTCAATTATTAGATGGGGACTTTGAGGATACCAGTATGTACAGTTGGGGATCTGCGGTACTCGCAGTACTTTTTCGTGAACTATGTCAGGCAACATCTTCAGGGGCCAGTGATATTGGGGGATATACGTTGTTGTTGCAGATATGGGCGTGGAGCAGATTTCCTACCATAGCACCGCTTATTCCCCTACCAAGTGACCCAGCCGATCACTATGGACGACGGTACACTATAACATTTGTTTTCACCATCATTTTAAATTTTTTTGTATCATTTGTCTATCATTCATTTGTGTGGTTTGTTGTATTATGTTTTGTAGGTTTAACAATGTCGTATCGCGGCGACACCAATTTCACCTGAAGGATTATCGGATTGAGCTTGATCAAATGGGAAGAAACACGGTACGAATGATTAATTTTGTTGGTTTTTATTTGCATCATATTATATCGTGTTCTATGGCTTACAAATATTTGCTTCTTATAGGTTGTCTGGGAGCCGTATAAGGAGGTTGGCTATGAGTTTCTCGGGGCAAATCCTCACATGCAGAACTTGTGGAAGGCTGTTACACCTGTACTCGCCTTCCACATTGTCGAGATGCACCAGCCTGACCGTTGCATGCAGCAATTTGGCATGCATCAACACATCCCTAGACCTACTGGTCGGTTGAGAGGTGCACATGATCTTACGTTACGTGGTAAGATCACTGAAAATTGGGAAGCGAAGATGGCCCCCCACATACATTTGTGGAACACTAGACATGAGCGTATTGAAACAGGCGAAGCCTGGGAGGGCATAATGTCCCCAAACTCTGAGTACATGACCTGGTACTTCAGTCACACTCGACGGTTCATGACGAGGCAGGTTGTAACACCCCAAATTCTGACAATTTATAATAGCATAAATAAATTCAATATTTTTATAAATAACAGCGGAAGTTCAAAATAATCGAATTTGGGAAGTGTTACCGCCGCACCTGTACAGGGACAAGTGCAAGGCTAACTCTATACATTCAAATCAAAATCTAAGACTACAATTTTTTTTTATACATAATATTTATGACAGCTAGAAATCCTGAGTCGTATCCTCACTGCCCACTGCTAGCCCGATTCCTTGCCACCTGATTTATTGAAAATCTGCTCCCCCGCAGCCGCAGGATCATTGCAGTCAAACAATCACAAACAGTCAGCAAAGCTGGTAATCCCAATCAAAATACAAAAATAAATATAAATAAATAGAACTCATAATAATTAAATCAAGTAATATAACTCAAAAATTCAAATCAAGTATCAACTCGTTATTAATTATATTAATCTTTATTTAGTCCATTTATTGTATTTAGTAAGGGTAATTTATCAACTAACATATTCAGCACAACATTAATCATAATATTACATAAATGGTAATATTCACAACTCAATGACATTCATCATAATCAAATCAAATAACATTTCATTATTAATCATGTTTAAGTTCATTGTACTTAGTGGGAAGAGAACCATGGTAGACCCGGGAAACCCTGCCAGTCTACCCCGTGACCCGGGAAAAAACCACTGTTACCAGCCACGTATAATCAAAATTGGCCATAATCAATTCACATCTTCCTAGTGTGCACACCTCTTCCCAAAGTTGCTACTAGTACCCCGGGAAAAAACCACTGTTACCAGATACCACTTTGGGAAGAACGGATATAATCTTTTTCACATCAGTTTCACATCGGAGGCATAAAGCCCAAAAGTTGTGTTCATCACCTTGGGAGGTACCATCCCAAAGCTATCCTCCCACTATTAATTTATTCAATCACATACAATCAATTCAATCTTGTCACGATTCTCATAATTGTCAAATAGTTTTCATGATTTCCACATCAATTTAATCAAGATTGTAATTTCCAAAATGAATCTTTCAATAATATCATAATTTCCAAATCCATTATCCAAGAATATCATAATTTTCATATTCAACATCTACCAGGGTAAAATTCAAGTCCAATCATCATATCATAATTTTTCAAATCAAAATTCAAATATTCACATCTATTAGGGTAAAGCCAAAATCCAATAATTAATCCAATTCATTTATAGAGGTTAAAATAATTTAATTTAAATACCCTAAGGGTACATATAATAAATGAAAACATTCTAAAATTTCCTAAGGATTAAGATTACATATACATCAAACATATAACTATCTGAAAGATTAGGACATACCCAATAAAATTTCATACACAACAAATCTACAACCACCTAGAGATTAGGATTACCTGGTCTCCGTTTTCGCTAACTTCTAGAAGAAAAGAGTAATTTGGGGCAGAGAACCGGTTGGTAACCAGAAGAGTATAAAATAAATTAAACTAAGTTTTTGAACTAAGAAGAGAGAATAGTAGAGGAGAAATGTTGAAGAGTGAATTGGTTTGGTTAGACTAGACCTCTATTCATAGTTGAAGTTTAGGGCTTACACATTACTGACTCAATGCTGACTCATCATATATAAACAATTTATGTTTGTTGACTCATCATATCTAAACAATTTATGTTTGTTGACTCATCATATCTAAACAAATTACTAATCAAACATAAATACACAAATCATCAATCAATTAATAAATCAATTAATCATAATTTATCATCTAATATATATATATATATAATTATATATTATCACATAAATAAAATAATATTACTATTATTATCTTACCTCTTATTATTTTAACTATTATTAACTCATTAAATAAAAATATTAAATACCAATATTATTAATTACAAAAATACTAAATATCATTATTATCCAAAAATATTTATTATTATATTATTATTATTATTATTATTTTATTAAAAGAAAATATGGGTGTATTACACAGGTCGCAAAATTAGGCCATGTTGTACGTATATGTGCTTGTTCTTGCAATCGTAGTTTTGTAATTTTGATTAATGGTATTGTGTAGTCATGTTAAATTTAATAAATCACTATGTTTCGTGACACAGGTTGATGGAGTAGAGTGGATATGGTGGATGCAAACTCCCCAGATAAGTGCTCAGCGCGATGAATGTCAGGTGCAAGAGGTGTGTGAGTAGTCACTGCGTGCAGAGGGAGAATTCGGCCGTGTTGCAGAGCCTGGCCCAATTGCACCATTCGGGCTATTAGCTGAGGTACCTAATCCAGAGATAAATGTACCACCTCATGCGAAGGAGGGTAGGGGCATTTTTCGTCGACGACCACGCATTGAGCACCAGTCATATGACATCCCAGCAGGTGGGCCACGAGCCGTTGGTGTTTATAGACCACCCATGTGGCCCACTATGGCATTTACTCCTATTGAGTGGTTTCCGCCCCAGATGCCTACGCAGATACCCACAGAGATGCTTAGGCAGATGCCCACAGAGATGTCGACGCAGATGTCGACACACATGTCTCGCAGTCAACATCAGTCAGGACAGGACACCCAGGACACGCAGGACGATTTTCTACAGGCAGCAGCAGAGGATTTCGATATGAGGCACGATCCTGATGCAGAGAGAGTGGGTGGTGTCATTCGCAGGAACCCTGAACGTGATGCACGTTCCAGACCATGGCCTACTTATACTCCACCATCATAGCATGTGAATCCCTATCTATGCATTTGAGATGTGTTTATGGATGATTGTACTTATGCATTACTATATATTACTGATTTCTTTGGTTCATGTGTGGTTTCATCTTTAGTTTGGTAGACTGCTTTTATGTGGGAAACGATATTTGAGATGTGCTGACACAAGAATGTTTTCCAACCCATTTAATGACTACCCAACTGTTGCTATTCTTCGGTTTAATTGCCCTTACTCGCCAATTGCAGCCTTCTTCATGCTTATGGCATTTCATAGACAACTTCGTGGTAGTACTTTCAACCACTACACCTTCTCGATGCTCATTCATGCAGAAATGTTTTATAGCAACTTGAACATCGCTCTTTGACCGGAACTCTTGTTTCACATACATTTCGTCTCCTCTTGTCCACGGACCACGACCTAAGCCTTCGACATCCAATATGTCTTCGTTCGGATAATCAAAATTAACAGCCTCATAGTGTGGGATGTCATCCCAAAATGGTGTCATATCTACAAAAAAATACAAAAACAGATTTGGCAAATATTAAAGTGATTATATAAAAAATTAATCATACAAGACGATACAAGACGTTCAATGGCTAACTTGATGATGGTGAAATAACCGCATTATTGGACGTAGGGATAACAGTCTCCTGTGTTATGGGATTATCGTGATGTTCATCATCACCTCCATCACTATCATTCTGATCATGGTCATTTTCCAGTAGAGTGTCTTCATCTTCCTCCTCCTCTTCATTGTCAGGTTCAACATCTACCATATAGTCGCTTTCATCTTCACTTGCAATAGTTGATTGTGTGGGCTGGGGTTCCGATGATGACGACATTTGTGTCTGACTGTTAAGGTCCAACCCACGTGTCGGTATTGACATGTCGTCTGATGTCTCAATATCGACATATAACTCAACAAATTGAGACGTAGTAGAGTTTTGGACAAATGTTCCAAGAAAAATGTCAATGTCCTCATCATCAGTTATTTCTAAACCTGCATATTTTCGATTTCCACATGGGACTCGACCCGTGACTGAAGAAATTACCTGATTTTGTTGCAACTTCAACTTCTGACGAATCTTCTGAAGTAGATCTTCAATGGACAAGCCTCAGACAATATACATTGCTTTTTTTCCCCCTTCGAATCTCAACCCGCCTACACTGTTAATTTTAGAACCATTATAATATACAAAAGACCGATATTGTTCCATTGTACTGTGTATTTATGCAAATAACACAAAAGGAGATCTGATGAAAGTAGAGATTAAAAAAAAGTAAATAAAAAACATTAAATACACATTACAACAACTCATACAAAAAAAATTACGACATTACAGCAAGGTGATGCAACAAAATTTTAACATTACAAGCAAAGCAACTGATACAAACAAAATTACTAGAAGTAAAGAACCCGTCAGTCAAAATCATATACAAAAATAGCAAACATCCCGAACTTTCAAAATGTCCCATACTAAGTAACACCGGAAGACCCTATATATAACCAGGCAGATATTTTCGTAAGTGTCAGTGGCGAGATTAATTTTGTAGTGTACGGGACGCTACCCCACGAGTATCGCGTGGGGGATGTCGAAGGACAACGTAAACCGTCACCCAAGGTGGCGGGAGTAGGTACACGTGGCTGGAACGCGTCACATTACCTGCGGAGGTTTTGTACACGTGGCATAGTCTCGCCAACTGATATGGCGGGACTCAAATAAGTCAGAGCAGCTGGCATGATTCATGCAGACACGTGAGTTGGATCCTATGTGGCTGCTGATCACGTCGTTGTATGTGGCAGGACTGGTCACGTCAGTCAACACTACGTGTTTGACTGCTCTACTCTCGTCAATCTTTACAGATGTGTTTCAGCGTGGAGATACTTTTGCAAATTAACACTAGTACGAAATTTTTGCCGCTCCCTCGCTATTCATCTTCTTCATTCGCTCTATGCTTGACTTTCACCTCAGCCATAGCCATAGCTCTCAAACATCTCCCCTTTTAGCATTTTGAACTCTACTGAGGGTAGTAAGAAGATAATTTAGAGCTTTGATACATATCAGTGCCTCTCTCATCTCCTTCAGATCAATATACTTCACTTTCTTAGGACACATATTCGTACCTTCATATTCTGATTCAGTTTAATGGCACCGTCTGTGGGGAACGATAAATTCTGATTCTCGTTCTTTGATCTCTGTTTGTACTAATATTCTCTTTGGGATTTATGTTTTTGAGCTTCAAGCAGAAGCAATGGTGAACACTCGCCGCATTGCTTACTCAATTCCACATTCGTCTATTCGAGCTCCAACTCCACTACATCCTCCAATGTCAGGACTCATGGTTCTAGCTACCAGGGAACTTTACGAGAATCTGGTGAAGGAGAACAACATGTCAGATGATTGCGAACGTCACAAACCATGTGGCGCAACCAGTGATCCAGCCCATAGAAAGGCAAGCTGAGAATGTTGGGATGCTTCACCCTCATATCCATACTATTATTCCCCCCTGACGAACTTGCCTCTACCTTAACAAGTTTATGTCCTTCCACCACTAGCCACTTCCAACATCGTTAAGCTTGTTCCACTACCACAAGCTTTGCATCTAATGGTGGTACTCTTAGGGGGCACTTGGTACGCGCCATTTTGTAGAATTCTCGAGAAATTAAATTTTTCTAAATTTTTAATTTTTGAATATTATCGTAACTGAATATAAAAATCATATTTTTAAAAATCAAGATTCTCTGACAAAATTTTTTTTCTCCTCTACCAAACGCCTCCTTAGTGGTTTAAGGCCCATCCCTGAACCCCGTCATGGCAGCACTTTTGCCATTAATCCAGCAAATCATAGGAGCTTAAACACTTCCCCTTTAGCACCTTCAGCTCTATTGGGGCTAGTACAGAGATAACTCAGAACTTTGGTATATACTGTTGTCTTCCTCATATTGATATACTTCACATCTTCTTGGGACACAAATTCATACCTTCACATTCTGATTCAATTAGTTTAGCATTCCAAATTTAGGCATTTTTGAATTTAAATTTTTATAATTAAATAAATTTCAACAAGAGAGAAGCTTATTTTAGCTTTTGAATCTAACTAATAAAATACTACATTGTTTATACATTTATGTTTTGATCGCACTCGTATAAGTAAAATAAGATTTGTCGATATTTTAAAATCTAAAATGTAACTTGTTTTAGAATATAATTTTGCTAAATTTGTCATGATGATAGTTAGAATTGCAAGCTAATCAGTGTCTTAAGCATGTCAGGGGTTAGTTCCACTAAGGAGAAAAAAGAAAATAAAATTAGAGTGATAACATTTTTACTTTATTTTCTTATTTTCACTCTAAAAATAGAGAAAAAAGTAAATATTGTCTGATTCTGAAGTTACATGGACGAACCCAAACTAACTTGGTTCTAATTTAATCTTTGGGGTCCCTGTGGCTGCGGCTTGACCAAACCGATAAAGAGCACTCATGTGTTGGTTCCATGCCTGGTTAACTTAAACGTAGGTTCAGGAGCCAGAGGCTCTCTCAGCCAGCAAATGACTAAGCTATGCTTATATTTTGCTTCATGCGCGCTAATAATTCTCAAATCTCCCACCCTAAGATGAAATTGAATCTGTGAACGGACTCATTCAGATTTTTTGAGTTCCTTTCCTCGTTCACGTAGATCAGTGAATGAATGCCTATGATCCAATCTCTTCCATTGTATTTTTCATCACTGAAAGAAAATGTCCGCATCGCAATCCCTCGGTGGTTCTTCACGCTGCGGTAGAGTCCTCGGTCCATCACTCGACAAGATCATTAAGAACGCCGCGTGGCGTAAGCACTCTCGCCTTGTCTCCGCCTGCAAATCCACCCTCGACAAGCTCGAATCCCTCTCCGACTCCGATTCCGGCGAATCCGAATCCGAATCCCAATCACCTCTTTCAGGTCTCTCCTCCTCTGATGCCGAATTTGTCCTTCAACCTCTCTTTCTCGCGCTTGACTCTGCTTACCCTAAGGTCGTTGAGCCTGCTCTCGAATGCACCTTTAAATTGTTCTCTCTCGGACTCGTCCGCGGCGAGATTGGTCCACAGTCCGGCGTCGTTTTCAACATAATTGATGCCATTTGTAAGTCCGGAGGGCTTGGAGAGGAGGCGATTGAGCTTGGCGTGTTAAGAGTGTTGCTTTCAGCTGTGAGATCTCCTTGCATTTTGATTCGTGGAGATTGTTTAATTCAAATTGTGAGGACTTGTTATAATGTGTACCTTGGAGGTATGAACGGCACCAATCAGATCTGTGCTAAGTCGGTTCTTGCACAGATCATGATCGTTGTTTTCACCAGAGTCGAGGAAGACTCCATGGATGTCTCCGTTAAGAGGGTTTCTGTTAATGAGCTTTTGGAATTCACGGATAAGAATTTGAACGAGGGAAATTCCATTCATTTTTGTCAGAATTTCGTTAACGAGGTAATGGAGGCCTGTGAGGGTGTTCCTCTCAAGCCATCATCGTCTATACCATCACCTCCTCTGGAAGTGCAGACCAAAGCAGCTGATGAAACTAGTACCGAGAAGTTGGATAATGAAGCTGGAGCTGATGAAAGTAAAATAAGGGAAGATGGTTTTCTTCTTTTTAAAAATTTGTGCAAATTGTCTATGAAATTCTCATCTCAACAGCACCCTGACGATCGTATCCTTTTGAGAGGGAAGATTTTGTCATTGGAGCTCCTTAAGGTAGTCATGGATAATGGCAGCTCAATTTGGCGCACGAATGAGAGGCAAGTGGTATCATACTTTCTAATCACTTGTAACTACTATTTGTTGGATATAATTATTTCATCTCTGTACTGTGCATAATTGTTCAGACATTATGATATTCTATTCATGGACTTTTTTAAATTGGGAATTTCATTTGTAGAGATTTGATGATGGAGAAACTAGTGAATTAGAATTACTTGTGTTTGAACTTAGAATTCTTCTGGCATGTTTTCATGTAAATCCTTCCTGACAAACCCATTTGAAAGTCACTCAAAAGGTCATTCGAAGTGTCCAATATTTCCTTCTTATCAGGATTAAGACTGTTAGACTTAGAGTATTTGATTGTATTGTTATAACATCTGATTAGGATATGTGTGTTGTAGGAGGTCATGTATATGTATAGTATCGATTAGAGGCTAGTGTAAATAAGGAGAGGAATCCTTGTAATTATCTTGTAATTATCTTCTCTCTAACATATATAGAACCTTGTGTGGTCTGATTAGACACACAATTTCCCTCAATATTCAAGTAAGACAAATGATTTGTTGCAGAAAAAAAAAGATTTAAAATTTTGTTGAGAAATCTCGTTTATGTAGTCCTTTGGTGTGTTTGGTTTAGGAAATGTCTTTGCCCTTACACTTGTTACAATATGGGCTTACAATTATGGCTTTTTGTTTGGTATTATACTCATTTGTGTTGCATTTTCTTATGTAAAGAGAAGTCTTACAGCCTTGCTGCAGTTTTGAATCTTTCATGTTCCTCCTTGTGTATAGAATTTTCTGCCCTGGAGAGGTATTTTATCCTACCCTAGTTATATTCTCCTCTCTTTTTTTTTTTCGTCTAATAAATTTCCATTTTCAATAAAAAACATTTCTGTATTATTTTTAAGAGATAAGCAGTCTAATATACAACATTTTTTATTTTTAAGGATGTGGTAATTTAATTATATGTATAATAAAATAATGCACAGAAATTTACCTGTAAGGCTGTGTAGAATTTCTTTGTTATTTTTGTTTTCATTTTTCTTTATTTCCTTTTATTGAAAAAGGTTTGTTACTGCTTCAGTCTTCAACAGTGTGTTGGTTCAATCTAAAACGAAGAATTTTTGGATGGAACTTGTTTCAGCTACTGGCTTATTAATCTTTATATAATTGCTTCTGTACAATGTCATGCTTTAAAGAATATTTATTGTATATCATTATCTTTGTTTTATTTTTATGTTTATCTACCCTTTTAATTTCTAGAAGTAATATATTTTATATATGGTGCTTATCTTTTCACTAATATATGTGAGACTATAGGTGTGACATTCACTTACAAATTTACAAAAATGTTTCTCTTTCTAAAATCTTTCTAAATCTCTACTTGAGGGCTGGGAGGGAGAAACTCTAACTTTCTTCGGCTACAACGTCCTCCATCCCAGTAGCTTCTTCCTTTCTTTTTAGCTGTTCCAGTGGCTGTTTGGCCCTTCTCTCTTGATAAATATTAGGACCCGAGAGGCATATACTGAAATCTATGTGTAAATTTGATAGGATTCTGTTCTCCTATCTTACTGGAAATAGGTATTTTATTAATGTAAAAGGAAAATCTACAATGCAAGGAAAGACAATGAGCAAGAATTGCCCCCAACTTGAAGACCCTTCTCCAAGTTCTCTGCATAAGCAGCCCAGAAAATTACATAAAACCAACCTATCTTCCTAACTTATAGCCTAGCCTATAAAGACAATCCTACACTACGATATCTTTCCATAACTGCCTACTACTGCAGTTAAAAAAAATAAAAATCTACCCCCCATTAACATTTCCCACAACCTCTGTTAACTGCCACTGTTTCTTCTGACTTGATTCCCATCAGAATTACACAACGGAGGCTCTATTATATAATTGAATAAAGAGAATTACAAAGAATAATACACAATGTTGGACTTCGTTCCTCACGCTAAACTACTCTATGTAGAATATTCTCAACATCTCTCTCTTCCCATCATGTATGCACTTTGACCTATATGTCAGGACTTTGGAGTGTTTTGTACCTCCCTTCACAACTGTCTAAGATGTAGGTGTATTCACGAGTTAAGTTGGCTTTTGGAGTATTTTTGGATCCAACCTAATCATGAAAGCTGGGGGTGGGTTGAGCATATCAAAAAATGTTATTTATCAGTCAAAATGCATTACTCATAAAATAACATGATGAAGTCCAAACATATCTCCTAGGCAATTACCATATAAAGAATTCTTTACATAAATCAACGTCTCAATCCAAACACATCTTAGCCAATAAGCCACTAACCATAACGTAAATCAATAAGTCATAATCCACTAAACATGAAGTGGATGGTCCTTGGATTCTTTGGTGGGTTTGCATATTGTTACGATTCCCGAAACTGTCTGAATTTTCAGAGAGATAGAGCTGAGAAACAAAGAGCGAAAAATAAAGAGCACTACTCTATTGATCTGCCAAATCACAGACAAAGGACTAAGGAGATATCTCTCCTTCCAAGGGTTTTCCTTTTTACTACTGGCCCCCTGCTCTATTTAGAAACTTACAAATCTACATACCTCTTATACCCTCTCCTACATTTTAAGCTTACTCCTTGTGCCTAACAACTTTAATTGCCCGACCACTTCACTTATATAACTAATGTAAATAACTAACTACTCTCTGGGCCTTATCAGTGCCATCCTCTTGAAGTTTATAATCGTCCTCTAGGTGGAAATTGGGGGTTGCCTGTGCAAAAGAATTTTCGTTATTCATGAAATATTAGGAAATATGGAAATCAATTCTAGGAGATCATCTAATATACTCTAAACTATCTTAAAATATAATCATGATGTTATGAGATATCTTCTAGATATTCTAACTGGAGGCAACTTAGTATCCTTGAAAAGTGATACTATGATAAGCAGGATGTTATTCTAGGTTAAGTGCAGAAGCAGAATATTGATCCATGGCATCAGTTAACTATGAATTCATGTGTTTGAAACAATTGTTCCTAGGATTATGTTTGAGAAATAAAGCATATGTAATACGCCTAATATGTGACAGTTAAGCGGCCTTTAAATTGCCTCCAATACAGTTTTACATGAAAGAACAAAACACATAAAGGTGGATTGCCACTTCATTCAAGATAACTAGTTTTGTCAATTTGAATAACCAACTGACACATGAGTTTGATAAGTCTTTTTGGGGTCCTCGAATTTGCTACATTTATAATAGCTTGGTGCATATGATATACATGCTCTAGCTTGAGAGGAAATGTAGAAATAATAGCTTATAGAATGTACTTATCTCTTTACTAACAAAAATACCACTTTTGGTGTACAATGAAATTCAGTTACACATACATGAAAATAATTCTTTCCCTAAGATCTTTCTTTTTATATATTATTGTTAATAATTTGTCATGGCACTGATATTTGCTTTAACATGGTACAGGTTTCTCCATGCTATCAAGCAGTATCTTTGCTTGTCATTATTAAAGAACAGTGCCCTCTCGGCAATGGCCATTTTCCAGCTTCAGTGTTCCATTTTCATGAACTTGTTATCAAAATTCAGATCAGGGTTGAAAAAAGAAATTGGCATGTTTTTTCCCATGCTTATCCTCCGAGTTCTTGAGAATGTTCTTCAGCCCAGTTTTCTGCAGAAAATGACTGTCCTCAACTTACTGGACAAAATATCTCAAGATCCTCAGATTATTATTGACATTTTTGTCAACTATGATTGTGATGTGGATGCTTCTAACATATTTGAAAGGTATAATGTTTTTGAAATATTTTGTGTTGTGATATCATGACAGTGGTCACTTTTCAAGAATAGACATAGGTTAATACTTTGCAAAGCTGAGATGATAATTCAACTTGATTGCCAAACAAAAGAGTTGATTAATAGCCTTGTTAATGCTGATTCTGTGGATTTTCCCGTTTAGTAATACAAAAAAGGATGCGTTCTAGAGTGGTGGATGGTAGCTGAGTAGGTTCAAGGAGCATCCTGGGGAATTGTATGAAGTTTAGATAATTGTAGTTATTGGATACGGAGAGCTGGGGGTGGGGGATTGTTTGGGTGTGATTGGTGTAAGATTAGGTTTGTTGAAACACTTTTTTTTTTCAGGGTTAGGAAGATTTGAAATTAGTTCTGATAAAATTTTATTTATTTATTTGGGGAAGGAGAAAGTCATGGTTGGAAGCCATAGCATGGGTATTAGTGTCAAACAACTTTCCTTGCATGTTTATTGAGAATTTTGCTTATATGGTATAGTTGGAGCATTGTCTCTTTCCAAGAACTTAAGTGTATTCAAGGTCCGTAGTGTGAATGTAGTAAACAGTTTTATTTATTTATTTATGTTTGTTTGTTTGATTTTGCATCTTGTTTTTTTTAGTAAGTATTGTGCATCTTGTTTTAGTATTTAAACTCTTATAATTCCATCAGATATTTGCAGGATTGTCAATGGCCTTCTGAAAACTGCTATGGGACCACCTACAGGGTCAACCACAGCTTTGTCTCCAGCACAGGATTTTACTTTTCGACATGAATCTGTGAAATGCTTGGTCAGCATCATTAAGTCAATGGGAGCATGGATGGATCAGCAGATAACGATAGGAGATTTGTATCTAGCAAAGAGCCCTGAAAGCAGTAGTGCAGCAGAGATTCATCTAATACTAAATGGAGAAGAAGGAAATGGTTCTGATCATGAACTACATCCTGATGTAAACTCTGAATTTTCAGATGCTGCCACGCTAGAGCAGCGTCGGGCATATAAAATTGAACTTCAGGTTGATATTATTTGGCAGGAAGACAAATTGTTATATGGTCATCATGCTTAAATATCATCTTATACTTGCATAGCATTGAGTAATGACTGCTTGATTTTTCATAGAAACAAACCTGTATTGTGTCTGTAAGATTTTGTGTTCTATCTCCCCTCCTTTTCCCATGAATTCAATTTATACATAATTTTATCTTCCTGAGCTTCAAATTCTTACAGTCTATGCTGATGCTTTTTCTGGGTTAAATGCAGAAAGGTATATCGCTTTTTAATCGAAAACCTTCCAAGGGTATTGAATTTTTGATAAGCAACAAAAAAATTGGTAGTTCTCCAGAAGAAGTGGCTATTTTCCTGAAGAATACTGGTGGCCTTGATGAAACCAAGATTGGTGAATATTTGGGGGAAAGGGAGGAGTTTTCTCTAAAAGTTATGCATGCTTATGTAGATTCCTTCAACTTCAAAGGGATGGATTTTGGTGAAGCAATACGATTTTTTCTTCAGGGCTTCAGGTTGCCTGGTGAGGCACAGAAAATTGATCGCATCATGGAGAAGTTTGCTGAGCGCTATTGTAAATGCAGCCCTAGTTCTTTTAGCAGTGCAGATACTGCCTACGTTCTTGCTTACTCTGTGATAATGCTCAATACAGATGCTCATAATAATATGGTGAAAGATAAGGTTTGACCTCCTGAATCTTCTATATCATGTCTTAGGCTCAGCTGTTATCAGCTTTGTGACATTTCTTGGTGTCCACTCTGGGTGTGCTTTCATTTCTATTGGGCTTAATTGAATTTTGAGTTGTCTATACATCCTTTTACAAATTATTTTACTGATGAAAATTGAATATAATAATTTTTATCACAGAAAATTATCCTACCAACTACCAAGGCAATGTGAATTATACATATTTATTCTGAATACAACTTTGAAAATATCAATTATTTCCTCTTTCCTTTCCTTTTATCTTCTTGTTTAGATGGGTGGTAACTACGGTAAATTACAGCATTCGTGTTGAATAAACTCAGTGATCATGATAAGCTATCATGTCTAATATCATTTTGTAAATGACTTTGGCAATATTTATTTATTTATTTATTTTTTTAAATCTTTTACACAATTGACATTGTAAATTCATTATATTTTGTTTGTAATTCTACAACGCAGAATATGGGTTTGAACTTGATTTTGTGGTGTATATTCTGTGTTGATGGCTTTTCAGATGACAAAGGCTGATTTTATTCGAAACAACCGAGGAATAGATGATGGAAAGGATTTACCAGAGGAATATCTTGGGGCCATTTATGATAAAATTGTTAAAAATGAAATTAAGATGAATGCTGATTCTTCTGCACCTCAGAGTAAACAAGCTAATAGCTTTAATAGATTGCTGGGATTGGATGGTATACTCAATCTTGTGAACTGGAAGCAGAATGAGGAAAAAGCAGTGGGCGCAAATGGGCTTCTCATTCGGCACATTCAGGAGCAATTTCAATCAAATTCACGAAAATCAGAGTAAGCTAAGACATTGCTCAATGTTTGGATTGTTTTTGGGGAAGTGCACTCAGTTGCAAAGCTATACCTGATAAACTCTTTGTTTTTTAGAATGTGTGTTGTTTTGTTTGATTTATATATGTAAGAGAAGTTTAATATAAAACTATTAATATGGGGCAGTGAGGATTGAACTCGTGACCATTTGGTCCCATGTTCTGATACTTTATAAAGCAACCATTTCAACCCAAAAGTTTAAGTTGTTGGATTGCATTGTATGGTATTATTGCTTGGGAACAAGTGGTCACGAGTTAGATTCTCACCGCCCTCATTATTCTAGAAAACATTTCACTGTGGAGTTTCTTAGTATAGGTAGGTGGGCTTGTGCATTATCCACTCTTCAATCCCAATGGATTCTAGTGTGAGGGTGTGTGTTAGGAAAGTCTAATATAAACCATTAATGTAGACATCACTTACAAGCTTAAGCTTTTGGATTGAAATGATTGCTTTACAATACAAATTTCTATTTGGCTACTTTACATTAATATTTTTTAGTGGAATTTTTTTTTTTTTTTTTTTTTTTTCTCTCCTGGCACATACATTTTGTGGTCTAGTTCTGCAATCTGTATCTCATCCTTTCCAAATGTGCATTTTTCTTTTTCTTTTAGGGGGTGTTTGGTAGGGGGATTTTATTTTGTTTCCTAGGAAAGTGGGGATGGGATTCAAAGGAGACCATATTTGGTAGAGGTTTGGAAAAAATTTGCCTAGAAAACTTATTTGCATGGGAATGTATTTTGTGTGTAAAATTAAAGTAAGAATAACACATGAAAATTCTAATTTGCCCACAAGTTTCCCTGTAATATTTTGGCCTACCAAATAACTTTTTTTAACTTTTCCAGAAAATTCACTTTCCCACCATATTCCCAGTAATTGTGATTTCTAGGTAAATTTTTTTTTCTCCTCTACCAAACACCCCCTTAAGCTATCTGCTGGATTATTTATGAAATAAGTGATGTTGTATTTATCCTTGCATTTCCGTAGTTAGACATTCTATTTACATGTTGTTGCAGATCTGCTTATCATGTTGTCACAGATGTGGCAATACTGAGGTTTATGGTGGAAGTCTGTTGGGGGCCTATGCTGGCGGCATTCAGTGTAACACTGGACCAGAGTGATGACAGGGTAGCTACTTCTCAATGCCTACAGGGATTTCGACATGCTGTGCATGTTACTGCAGTGATGGGCATGCAGACTCAAAGGGATGCGTTTGTTACATCAGTTGCCAAATTTACTTATCTGCACTGTGCTGGAGATATGAAACAGAAAAATGTTGATGCTGTCAAGGTAAATGAATCTTAATTTGGTTGTCATTGATACTTCTCAAATCAAATAATTTATGTTTGATTTTCCTTCCAAATGTACAATAACAATTACATATTTCACATCATATATTAAGTATTTACATCATTCTAGCCATATTGTGCCATATCGGGAAAGCAGTAATAAATGGGTCCCACTTTGATTTGACTAATCCTTTGTACGACAATAGACTGTGACTAATACATCATTTTTTGCAATTGACCCATTTAATTTGATGCATATGTCATGGTAATATCTTCCACTTCTTAATTTTCTGCAGGCCATAATATCAATTGCTATTGAAGATGGCGATCATCTGCAAGAAGCATGGGAACACATATTAACATGTCTCTCCCGAATTGAGCATTTGCTACTCTTAGGCGAGGGTGCCCCAAGTGATGCGACCTTCTTCAGTTCATCTAATCTTGAAACAGAGGAAAAAGCGCCAAAGACATTAGGTTTCTCTTCTTTTAAGAAAGGAACTCTCCAGAATCCAGCCATGGTGGCTGTTGTTCGTGGTAGTTCGTATGACAGTACAAGTGTTGGGGTCAATGCTTCTGCACTGGTAACACCAGAACAAATAAATAGTTTCATTTCAAACTTGAATCTACTGGACCAGATTGGGAACTTTGAATTGAACCATGTGTTTGCTCATAGTCAACGGTTGAATGGTGAAGCGATAGTAGCATTTGTGAAAGCACTTTGTAAAGTTTCCCTCTCAGAGTTACAGTCTCCAACGGACCCTCGTGTGTTCGGCCTCACTAAAATTGTTGAAATTGCGTAAGTTTCTTTCTCCTTATATAAGATAGACGTGCTCTTTTTGCAACATTAAATTGTGTCAAGTAATATTTTTATTGACATGAGATGGAGCTTGCTAAGTGAATATAAACCATGTAATTTGTGCCCAGTTGGGGCACCATTTTGTTTCATACTTCTTATATGTACTTTTTATAGTGGGTTTTGGTATGTAAGATGTTATGATCCTACTCTAAGGTATGGGACTTGGAGTCCCATATTGGTTATATGGGTGATTAATGTGGGGTTTATATGGACTTGTGACTCTCTTACCTCTTGATCTAGCTCGTGAGGTTCTCCCAAGGTTCGTATCTGTAAAGAACCAATTCAACCCAAAAGCTTAAGCTATTAGGTGAGGGCCTTTTTAATGGTTTATATCTCAACACGTACCCTGACACGAGAACTCACTGGGCTTGAAGGTTGAACAATGCACAGGCCCACCTACTTGTGCGAACAAAGAAATTCCACTTGAAAGAAAGTGGGGGGCGGCGAGGATCGAACCTGGGACACGAGGCTCTGATACCATATTGAGAACCAATTCAATCCAAAAGTTTAAGCTGTTGGGTGAAGCTACATCAATAATTTTATATATTTCAACACGCCCCCTCACACGAGAGCCCACTGGGCTTGAAAGGTGGACGATGCACAGGCCCACCTACCTGTGCGAAGAAAAAAATTCCACTAGAAAGAAAGTGGGGAGCGTGAGGATCGAACCCGGGACACGAGGCTCTGATACCATATTGAGAACCAATTCAACCCAAAAGCTTAAGTTGTTGGGTAAGGCTACATTAATGATTTTATATATTTCAACAGTATCAATTGGTATCACAACTTTCCATTATGTCTCCCTGTTGAGATATATAAAACCATTAATGTAGCCTCACCCAATAGCTTAAGCTTTTGGGTTGAATTGGTTCTTTACATGGTATCAGAGCTTCGGTGTACCGGGTTCAATTCTCACCGCCCCCCATTTTCTTTCTAGTGGAGTTTTTTTCTTCGCACAGGTAGGTGGGCCTGTGCATTGTCCACCCTTCAAGCCCAGTGGACTCTCGTGTGAGGGGGCGTGTTGAGATATATAAAACCATTAATGTAGCCTCACCCAACAGCTTAAGCTTTTGGGATAAATTGGTTCTTTACACTCCCGGTTGCAATCGAGCGGCGCGGGTGGTGACTCCGACATTGTAGTGTTCACCCGGGTCTAATAGAAGACTAGCGCAAAGCTAGCCCGCGTGTTGGAATGTTACGATCCTACTCCAAGGTGTGGGACTTGAAGTCCCACATTGGTTATATGGGTGGCTAATGTGTGGTTCATATGGACTTTGGGCTCTTCTACCTCTTGAGCTAGTTTTTAGAGTGAGGTTCTCCCAAGATTCGTATCATAAGATTTTGAGGAATACGAAATATTTTAGGATATGAATATCTGATGCCTAACAGGATTTCTACATCCTCAGATTTTGTATGATGTTGGCATATGCACAAGCATCCATGATAGTCTGGTCATGCTTAACAAAACAATGCCCTGCTACATAAAACCTATACCTTTTAATTTTTATCGTAATACAGTGGCTGTTAAAGATGAAATAAGTGAGAATTTTGAGACAGATATAATCCATATAAGCTCAACTATTGTCTTAAGGAATTATTTGGATTGACTTGGAGGATAAATAATCTGGCAGATTGAAGTTTTGGGTTTTTGGTCTGTTTATGTTTTGATCTTCTTCTGTTGTTATATTTAAAATAATAAAATGAACATTCAAAAGAAAGAAATTTCTTGTGACTATCAGAAACTTGGCGGCCAAAGCTCTTAAGGCCTAAGAAGGTGGGGTGTTTTAGGACTTTGGCAGAGACATGGCTATGGCATCTTCCTCTAGAAATTACTTCATTTTGTCTCCAAGTAAACCAGAGTAAATATGGTCTAGACTTTAGAATACTCAAACGGGCTACCTGTTTTAAAGAAGAGCGTACTAAATATTGCTTGCATTTTGTAACCAATTGATGTTATTTTAATTCAATTTATCATCTTTTAATTTTAAAAAACATAATTCATGTCAAGGAGCTCTAATACCATGTCAAGTACCAACTATTTCAAAAGCTTAAACTGTTAGTTTGAGGCTGAAGAATGGATTTATTTCTCTAATAATACTTATTTATGTCCATTGTTAATTATTTTGGAATGAGGGAAAATGTCATTTCCTTGATATGAGGTCTTATTTTGGTTTTGTTACTTCTTAAGAAAGGGATTGTGATTTACTCCAAGTCATGTTCTTTATACCTTGTAATTGGTTTTTCTAAGTCAATTGCTTCTCTTGCACACTAGTGATTAAAGTTGTAATGACAATTCAATCTACTTTAGAAGTAATGACTAGAACATGGTTATATTTGCAGGCACTATAATATGAACCGCATCAGATTAGTATGGTCTCGCATATGGAATGTTCTCTCAGATTTCTTTGTGTCAGTTGGATTGTCAGAAAACTTGTCAGTTGCAATCTTTGCAATGGATTCACTGCGACAACTTGCGATGAAATTTTTGGAGCGTGAGGAGCTGGCTAATTATAATTTCCAGAATGAATTTCTGAGACCATTTGTTATTGTTATGCAGAAAAGCAACTCCACAGAAATTAGAGAATTAATAGTTCGTTGCATTTCACAGATGGTTCTTAGCCGTGTCAGTAATGTGAAATCTGGCTGGAAAAGTGTTTTTATGGTATGTTAAAGTTGGCTTCATCTTTTTCTTTTCCCCCACTGACCATGGAAAAATCTTTACTTATCATACCGTGTTTTTGGCTCTCAGGTTTTTACAGCTGCTGCAGCTGATGAGCGGAAGAATATTGTGTTGTTAGCATTTGAGACAATGGAGAAAATAGTGCGTGAATTTTTCCCTTATATTACTGAGACGGAAACAACGACCTTCACTGATTGTGTTGGATGCCTTTTGACATTTACAAATAGCCGATTCAATAGTGATGTTAGCCTCAATGCAATTGCATTTCTTCGTTTTTGTGCGGTCAGACTTGCTGAGGGAGGACTTGTTTGCAATAAGAGTAGTGTTGATGGCTCATCGGTTGTAGTAGCAAATGGTGTTTCAGATGTACAAGCTCTTACTGATAATGATGATCACGTGTCCTTTTGGAATCCTTTGCTGTCAGGTAATATGCCTTTAGATGCTGTCCTAAGAATTTAAGTACAGTGGCAACAGCACCATGCATGGTGGCCAATAAAGCTAGGGGTGTAAATGAGCTGAGCCGAGCCAAACTTTAGTTTAAACGAGCCAAGCCCATGAAAAATATTTTGAGCATGGCTGATTCATTATCTTGGTACGTGCTAAATTCCAGGCTTGGCTTGACTTGTTTTTGTAAAAAATTAAAGGCTTGGCTTGAGCTTGACTTGACTCATTTATAATTATAAAATGTATTTTTTCCAAAGTCACATACGTCCAAATGTTGAGACTATAAATGCATCAAATTCTGTATTCCTTCGTCAGAGAAAAAACAATCATAGAACCCACTCAGTCCACATATATTTTAAGATCGAATAATGAATTCCGCAATTTCTTCTTAAACATTGATCCAGCTCGTGAAATAGAGAATGTGGGGGAAGAATATTTTAAGAAAAGTATGTAATATAGACTAACCTTTAAAACTTTTCAGTGATAACAATTTGTAATGTTAAAAAAAATAACAGTTACTACGACCTTTATTAAAATAACCAAACAAACCCGAGAAACAATTGAATCTTATCTCATGTCACCATCATTCTCATCCTCAAATTGGAACAAAGAGGTTAACAATTTATATCCACTGACAACACCTAACCAAAGAAAAAAAAAAAAACTGCCTATTAGCACTACTACCAGACCTCATGCTACTCCAGGGAAACTTAGCACTTACTCCAAAGCCATCAACACCTTCATATGAGCAATTTGATATAAAAAATAGGGTTAATGATTTAGTGACATAAAATATATTATTTATTATAATAATATATCGGGCCAGCTCACGGGCTTTCAAGCCAAGCCTCATTAAATTAGGCTTGGGTTTGTTTGCTAAACAAGCTTTTTTTAAAGCTTGAGCCCGTTCTATTTATTAAACAAGCCAGACCAAGCCAAGCTTAAAGCAAGCCAAGCCTTGGGCCCTTGACAAGCCGCTTGGCTCATTTACACCCCTAAATAAAGCACATTCTTGTCCGGTAGATTTATGTATACTGTTTGATTGATTGCTTGCATGAATCTCAAGTGCCTCTTGCTCTCAACCATGCTGAGACTGCCCTTTATATACTGTATTTGTAAGCTTTATATTAAATTTTTGCTTTTTTTTTGGATATAACCTGGAGGGTCCATTCAACCTCCTCCGGTCACCTTGTCCTCGGAGTACGGTCCTGAAGGCTACCCCCTCATTGGAACAACGGGTGCATTGAGCTTCGCTACCGGAGGAAGGATGAGACTAATCCCCCATTCGAGGAGGGAGGCACATCCTCTGGCCCCCAAAGATTTTCTAAGAATTTGCTCGAGGCAGGATTTGAACCCCTGTCTCAAGCAAACCCTTAGGAGCTCAGTTGCCAACTGAGCTACCCTCGGACGATGTTTGCTGCATTTTGTTGATATAATTGCTTATTGCACTTCTCCCCTTATCTGTTCTTTCTGTTTTAAATTTAATATTTTCATTGCAGGGTTGTCAAAACTAACTTCTGATCCAAGATCAGCCATAAGAAAGAGTTCTTTGGAGGTGCTTTTTAACATTCTACGGGATCATGGTCATCTATTCTCACGCACATTTTGGAATAGCATTTTCTGTTCTGTTATTTTCCCTGTATACAACTCAGTATCTGTGAATGCTGAAGGAAGCACATGGGATTCTGAAACTTCTTCAGTAGCAGCAGAATGTTTAATAGATTTATTTGTCACTTTTTTTGATATGGTGAGGTCTCAGCTATCAGGTGTTGTGTCAGTACTTACAGGGTTCATTAGAAGTCCTGTTCAGGGTCCAGCTAGTACTGGAGTTGCTGGATTAGTGCGTCTCACAAGTGACCTCGGTAACAGGCTTTCAGAAGAAGAATGGAAAGAGATTTTACTGTGTTTGAAAGAGACAGCTACATCGACAGTGCCTGGATTCATGAAGGTCTTGAGAACCATGAACAATATTGAGGTGCCCAATATTTCACAGTCCTCTGTTGATTTGGAGAGGTCTTCTGATCAAGACTTGAGAAATAATGAGTTTGATGATGACAATCTGCAAATGGCCACATATGTTGTGTCAAGAACAAAGAATCATATTGCTATGCAGCTACTTATTGTACAGGTTTACTTCTTGCTCTTTCTGTATTTGACGCAAAAGCATGATAAGACTTAACATTTAAATGTAAGCACCAAATTCCCTAGATTGGATCTCTATGCATTCACTAATTTGGTCCTCTCTTGTGTAACGTCTGTACAGCTTTAGTCTCTTCTTTTGGCTCGTTTAGTTTTCGTAGGATCAAAGTTGAACTGCTTTTTAATTGCTACCCTAATGATCCTTACTGTTGATCTCTTTCACTCTTTCCCTTCTTCAATTAGTGTCATCGTGTTTTTTTTTTTGCAAATTGTCATTTTATATTTGATCAATCATCAATGGTATTGTTGGAATATTTACAAAAAACAAATGATGCATAACAGATTAAGATAATTTATGTTATTTTAGGAATAACAATGTTATCTTATTTTTGGGGATCTTATCTTGTTAGGAACCTTATACTTAGGTATTTTATCTTATCTTTTGTAAGTTATTTTTCCCTTATTTGATTAGGATTAGGGGTCTAGAACTTAACCTAATTCAAAGTATAAGTAGGGGGTAGAATTTGTTATTTTGTATCACATCATAATACACCACAGCAATTTAATATCTTGTTATTTTGAGTCTCTATTCTCTCTTTTCATCCTTCCTTACCTAAACCCTATAATTTCAACATGATATTGAGGCTTTAATGATCTTAGAAGGGCCTGTGAGCAAAGAAGACTGAAGGGACTACTGCAAAAACCCAGATAACAACATGCCACCACTGACAGGCTGCCTAATTTAGAGAACCAATCATGGAGAAAAGACAACCCTCAATGTGTACCCAAAAAAAATGAAAAATGAGACAAAATATGCTCACGTGTAAAAAGGCAGTGTTGGTGAACCACATGTGATGTGGAATAAGAAGTCCTACCGCGGGAGGGTGATAGGAAGAATAATGTGGAACAGTGACCAAAGTGTCACTATTTGGCAAATTTTTTATCCAAATGTCACGCGAACAGTACTTTTTACCATACTGCCACGCGACGTAATTCGCTATGACTGGTAGCGAATTTCGTGGCCTATGATTTCCTGACATGTGGCCACATTGTGTACCAAGTTCGCTACCACTAGTAGCGAACTTCGTCCAGTCAGTTTTTTTCTGCGAAAATGTGCCACGTGTCACAAAATCATTGGCGAACGTAATTCGCTACCAGTCGTAGCAAATTGCGTCACGTGGCAGTCTAGTAAAAAGTACTATTCGCGTGGCATTTGGATAAATTTTTTGCCAAACAGTGGCACTTTGGTCGATGTTCCGAATAATGTCTTATAAGCTAAGGGTGATAGGAAGAAGAATGTCTTATAGGCTAAAGGTGATAGGAAGAAGAATGTCGTATAAGCTAAGGGTGATGGGCAAAAACCATGAGCTTACCCTTTTGGTTGAAGTTTTTCCTAGCCCAAATGCCAATATGCCAAGTCCAAACACCTTCACCCATGCAAGCCCAAAACTGTCCCTCCCAGCTAGCCTGACCTGTTCCGTTTACCATGAATACACTAAAATGTATTTTTTTATTTTTTGGTATATTCTGTTTCAACTCTTGCGCCTTCTTGCTGGCTGTGTCAAATTCTGGCCACCAAAATCCTAGTTTTTCTTCCACCAATCTCACTCTCTCTTCTATCGTCATTGCCACCTTTCAGCTTGTCTTATCATCCTCAACACAGTTCTGTCCTTATCTTCTCTGATCACACAGTGTCAATGGTTGTCTGAATTCTTCAAGTTGCATGTTTGGTATGACCTTGTTTTGGCTACTATTTGTTTTTTTTCAATGCTAGCATTACATTGAAGGGGGAAAATTGAGAATGATAACCCAAACCCAACTTAAACTTCAATGCTGGTGTTTATACTGTTTTGTCATGCTGATGATCATTCCCATGGTGTCTTTACCCTCTGATGATCACAGCAGTGATGTTTCCCTACCCGCTGTGAACCATGGCAATTGGTAAATTCCTTTCCCATCGTGAATTATACAGGTGCTTAATTATTTTACTCCTGCTTTTCTTCCTTACCCATTTTTCCTATGCATATTTTTCAGTGTTCAAGCCACTTTTGTCATGAGTTTCCACTCCCCCCCTCCCTCTGAAATGATAGCGAATTCAGTGATTCAGAGTCTCTTTTGGGTCTCCATGACTATGGTTTTTTGCCCTTGAGTCAAGATAGAAGGATTTGATTTCTTGATCCTTTTTGGTGCAAATCTTTTTTGTCTGCAATTCCTTACTCATTCATTGAATGGAGCTATGTTCCATCTTGACAAACCTATTTGAAAGTCTAAAACTCCCTCCAAGGCCAGGTCTTTTATTTGGACTTCAATGCTTAATAGAATTAATACCAATGACATGTTGCAAGTTTGTGGCTATTTCCCCTGCTATGTGTTATTTTTATGTGGTGCAAGTTCGGAATCTGTCCCTCGTCTGTTCTTACATTGTTCTGCTGTTTCTTTATGGAATTTTGTTTGGCATTTTGGGAGAATGTTGGGTGCGCCCTAGATCCTTGGACCAATTTTTCATGACTAGCTTTTAATTTTTGTGATAATGTGCAATCTATGCTATACTTAGTTGCATATGGTTGGAGTGTAACTATTGCATACTTAAGTAGATTTCTTTGGATCAGTAGCGGATTTGGGATAGGATTAGGCTATTGGCTTCTATTTGGTTAAGCAAATGGTCTTTTTAAAGGAATAGGTACCTTGCTTCATTTATTTTTTTCATTGTTCTTTGTTGTTTGTGTTTTCTCTGTCTTATTGAATTCCTTCTTTTAATAAAAAAAATCTTTAACTGAGTCTCTCTACTTAGATGGAAGAATTTGGACAATCGATTCTTCTAGTGTTCGCTGTGCAGGTCTTTCTGTCAGTTCCTTACCAATTATGGTTTAGGTCCAGAATTTCATGTCCACATATATTTCTCATACCTGATGTTCTTCCTGTAAAATATTCAATCGCTCTAGGTTTCACCTCTGAATGAGTTCATCTTGATGATATATTTTCGTGTTCTGTTTGCAGGTTGCGGCTGATCTTTACAGAACACACCAGCAATCCTTATCAGCAGCCAGCATCAAAGTCCTTATTGAATTATTTTCATCTATTGCTTTGCATGCTCGCCAGCTGAACAGCGATTCAATCCTGCTGAAGAAGTTGCAGAAAGCTTGCTCCATCCTGGAACTATCTGGCCCGCCCATGGTTCATTTTGAAAATGAGTCCTTCCAGAATCTCCTTAACTTTCTACAAAATTTACATGACTATGATCGTTTTGTATATGATGAGATAGACTTAGAACAAGAGTTAGTCTCAGTATGTGAAAATGTATTGGACATATACCTAAATTGTGCTGGTTCCGTATTCGCGCATCACAAGTCAGATACCCAGCCAGTGCCGCGTCGAAAACTCCCCCTGAGCTCATCAAAGAAGGAGGAAATAGCTGCTAGGACTTCTCTAGTCATCTCAGCGTTGCAAGGGTTGGCTGGTCTGGAAAGGGATTCATTCAGGAGGTACATTCCTCGGTTCTTTCATTTATTGGTAGATCTCGTGAGGAGTGAACACACCTCTGGAGAAGTTCAACTTGCCCTGAGTAATATGTTCCGTTCAGATGTAGGCCCAATTATATTGGAATGAGTTTTTAGTTGTGGCATACTTTGTTTTGGAGACGTCGCTGAATATCAGTCAGCATTTTCTTTATAAGCTGAAGCACGAGCCATTGCAAAGCCATATCTTAATTTACTCACCAGTGCTGCTGTAGAGTGTATACTCTTGGTTTTTTTTTTTTGATTGTAAGTGCCATAATGTAAATGAGAAATTTATTTGAAGCAGCATAGTGAGTTATCACAGATAGATACAGTTACTCTATCCGATGCGGTTAGTTTGAGTTTGAAAGGGAAGGGAAAGGAAGAGTGGTGCGTTTGATTTATTTGTTTTTATTTCAGTTAATATATATTTGTTTATAATCATTAAAATGTTACATTGCTTTCATGTTGTTTCTAAGATGTTGTAAAGAAAATGGTGAAAATAAAAATTTGTTGTTTTCATCATTTTCTTTACAAAGTTTAAAAAGCAGGAATCAAAATAAAAATCTGGCATATTTGTAATTATTATTCAAAACATATAAACTAAAAATCAAAATAAAACATAAATATCTTTTCACTTCTAAACTGAAAAAATTATAAAATGTTTATAAGTTAAATACGAAATGATTGGAAAGATGTTTAATAATATCCTGCTTCACTCTTTTTACTTTCAATTTTTTTTTTCATAAACACTGTTTACTTGATGAAAAATTACCATCATTCCTTTCCTCCTCCAAAGTGTTTCATCCTATCAAAACCACTAGGTTATCTTTGGTTATTGATTAGTGGAATTAATGTGGTTATGGTCATATAGCTAAATGCATTGTGGATGTCCTCATCGGCATCTAGGGAGCTCATTTTTTGCAGTCCAAGGCCTTGGCGGGGCTTGTCCAAAAATGGAAAAAAAAAGGACTTAGAAGGAATGGAACAGTAACTATTTTATCACTGTTCATCATAAAATTTACCAGAATGTTACGTGCACAGTAAAAATTCTCAAACTGACACGCAGGCTAATTCGCTACACAGTGTAGTGAATTAGTCATGCTGATGTGTCACCTCCCCACTGGTCCACGTATTTCGCTACACAGTGTAGCGAAATACGTGGTCAAAAGGTCAGCCTGGTCAGTCACTTTTTGGACACGTGTCACATCACTCATATTTCACTACACTGTATAATGAAACAGTGGCAAAATGATCACGGTTCTAGAAGAAATTTAAAAAAAAGATAAAAGTATAAATAGAAAAGAATTTTTTTATTTTTAGAAAAGGAGCATCCAAAGAATCATGCACCGGGTGCATGTTAAAAAAATCCGCATCTAGGGAACTGCGGAGGTTGAACTTGTGGAGATTATAATCATTTCTTCACGGTCAATGATGCCCATCATTGACAAGGGGAACGTAGTTGACCTTATCACCATATATATTTTTTTTCAATTTTAAGAATTATTTTTAATAAAATATTATTCTCGCTTACCTGATTGAAAATTATTCTTTTTAAAAAAAAAAATAGAGTATGAATATATTTTAAACATATTTTCATTTATTTTAATTATATTAAATATTTTTATATGTATATAAATGAAAAATAAAAAATTGCCGTATGAATTAATCTGCAAGTAATTATAGAGGAGCAGGCATGCAAAAAGTTCGTTTAAGGTGATTTTTTTTTAAAAAAAATGTTACAAGTAGAGATTATAATTTATTTTAAATTATATTTTGAATAAATACATCTTTACTTATATATTTTACAAATAAATTTACCGTAAAAAATAATTTTATTTAATATAAAACATGACATAAATTATATTGGTAAACATTCTAATATATTTTTTAAACATCCAAATATCATTTATCAATACCAACTTGTTAAAAATTTAAAACATGTTTGATAATGATTACTTTTACAAAAATCATTAATTTTGTAATTAAAATATTTGTTAAACATAAAATAAACTAATTATAGGATTTAGTATGGGGTTAGAAAAAAAAATCATTACTTTTATAAAATAATTGTTAATTGAATCAATAATAAAAATAATAAAATATTATAAGAAAAAAATATGATAAGTATAAGTTTCCTAATATATATAATTTCTTTCTCTTTTGAGCGCCGGTTTTCTCCGGTAAAAAAAAAAAAAAAACGCATTCGTGTGATGTTTTTTGACACGTATCAATAAGCTAGACCCACACTTCGCGTTGTTTCATGCCATAAATAAACTCGGACATTTAAGAAATTTGTCGGACAAGCAAATTCTAGAGCAATTTATGAATGTCTTCACGGTGGACTTGATTTTACTGATAATGAAGCCTCTTCGCCGACAATGCTAGTTCGATTGGATGCGCTATTTCGACGAGCCCCTTAAGGATTTTACTGGAGAAAACCGGCGCTCAAAAGAGAAAGCAAATCATAAAGGAAGAAAGATCAATGGTGATAAAGGAAGAAAGAGAAAAATGAAATCATAAACATTCAAAAGTGAATCAATTAATATAAGAAAATACATAAATAAAACGACATAGTTTTGGAGTGACTGGAGATAAATTTATCTCAAGTTGCCGGAGAAATATTATTTTCATATATATATATATATATAATATTTTAAAAAATTATATTATAAAAGAGAAGTAATATTTTTAAAATACTCTTTATTGTGTGAAAGCTTGTAATGAAACATCAAGTTATTTTTCTATCACGGTAGTTGTACACCAAGGTTTGGCTTTACGTCTTTATCTCTTTGCTTTAGTTATGAATGAACTAAAAAAAAATATTCAAGAGGAAGTGCCATGGTGTATGCTTTTTGCAGATGATATTGTGCTTATTGATGAAAACAAAAAGACGGTGTTAATAGAAAACTTAAATTGTGGAGAAGCACGTTGGAATCTAAAGGATTCACGTTAAGTCGGAGCAAGACTGAGTATATGAAGTGTGAGTTTTCTCTGGCAAGAGATGAAGACCAAGATCCCGTGCACTTATTTGGTCAAGAGATACCCAAAAAAGATATTTTTAGATACCTGGGATCCATTTTACAAAAAGTGGAGAGATTGATGAGGATGTAAATCATATAATCAGATAAGGTGGATGAAATGGCGTAGTGCATCTGAGTTTTTGTGTGATCGCGAAATTCCCTTTTAAGTTAAAAGGAAAATACTATAGAACAACAGTAAGACCTGCAATGCTATATGGAGCTGAATGTTAGCCAGCACATAGGCAACATGAGCATAAAATGAGAGTAGCAGAGATGAGGATGTTAAGGTGGATGTGTGGTTATACGATGATGGATAAGATGAGAAATAAAGATATTTGACGAAAGGTAGGAGTACTACCGGTGGCTGAAAAAATGAGATAACATATATTGAGGTGGTTTGGGCACGTAATGAGAAGGCTCTTGGATGCTTATGTAAAAACAAAAGTTTGTTACCAAAAACTCAAAAAAAAAAAAGAAAAAGAAAATAGAGTAGACCGAAACTTTATTTTATTTTATATATTCCTTTTGGTTCCGGCAGCTAACTTTGTCTTGAAACACTTTTTTCCGTAAATAATTCGAATTCTAAAAATTCTCCGTTAAATAAAACTTTTAATTACAAACTTTTTAAAATTAAAATAATCTAAGCAATGACGCACTCCTTCCCCAGTTTTGAAGAGGAGAGAGCAAAGAAGCTCAAGTTCTGAAAGAATAATCGGTGTATCTTTCGTTTCCGTCAGTGTTTATGTTTGCTTTGAAGAAGATTCATTCCACAGATTTCTCGTTAGCATATCCTCCATGCGCTCCATCAGTCAGTTCTTTACCAACTCTACAGTTCCTCTGCTTTCGTTCCATATGAATTCCATATATCACCGATTCTGATCTCGTAACTGTTATTCGTTATGGATAACGAGGTGTTAGAATTTGATATTGGTATTGGAGGAGGCGATGGAGAATACGACGATGACGGTGGAGACATTGAACATCCTATTGATGAAGATGAATTGGCTGATAGCAGTGGCGGTGTTGGTGGGGGAGCAATTGGTGGTGAATTATATTTCCCCGAAGGAGACCTCTTAGATCTCGAACCTTACGAGGGAATGGAATTCGAATCTGAGGAAGCTGCGAAGGCCTTCTACAATTCCTACGCTCGTCGCGTTGGGTTCAGTACACGTGTCAGCTCATCGCGTCGTTCGAGGCGCGACGGCGCTATCATACAGAGGCAATTCGTTTGCGCCAAGGAAGGTTTCCGCAACTTGAATGAGAAGCGAACCAAGGACAGAGAGATCAAGCGTCCAAGAACAATTACAAGAGTTGGATGCAAAGCGTCTTTGTCTGTGAAAATGCAAGATTCTGGTAAATGGATCGTGTCAGGGTTTGTTCGAGAACATAATCATGAACTTGTTCCGCCAGATCAGGTGCATTGCCTTCGATCTCATAGGCAAATTTCAGGAGCTGCGAAGACGCTGATTGATACTTTACAAGCGGCTGGGATGGGTCCACGGAGGATTATGTCAGCGCTGATTAAAGAGTATGGTGGGATTAGCAAAGTTGGATTCACAGAGGTTGATTGTAGGAATTACATGAGGAATAATCGGCAGAGAAGTTTGGAAGGGGATATTCAAATTGTTGTGGATTATTTGAGACAAATGCATGAGGAAAACCCTAATTTCTTCTATGCTGTTCAAGGTGATGATGATCAGTCTATAAATAATATTTTCTGGGCTGATTCTAAGGCAAGGATGAATTATACTTTTTTTGGTGATACTGTAACTTTTGACACTACTTATAGATCTAATAGGTATCGGTTACCGTTTGCTCCCTTTACTGGTGTGAACCATCATGGACACCCTGTTCTGTTTGGTTGTGCTTTCTTGATTAATGAATCTGAGGCATCATTTGTGTGGCTTTTCAAGACTTGGCTTATGGCCATGTCTGGACGCCCTCCGGTATCGATAACGACTGATCATGATTCTGTGATTCGGTCTGCTGTAATGCAAGTGTTCCCTGAGACGCGACATCGGTTCTGCAAGTGGCACATCTTTAAGAAATGCCAGGAGAAGTTGTCTCATATTTTCCTCAAACATCCGAGTTTTGAAGCTGAGTTTCACAAATGTGTTAACTTGACTGAGTCGATTGAGGAATTTGAATCTTGCTGGTCAACACTTTTGGATAGATATGATCTCAGGGACCATGAATGGCTTCAAGCAATATATTCTGCTTGCAGGCAGTGGGTACCTGTGTATTTGCGAGACACGTTTTTTGCAGAGATGTCCATCACTCAGCGAAGTGATAGCATGAACTCTTACTTTGATGGGTATGTAAATGCTTCAACCAATTTAAATCAGTTCTTTAAGCTGTATGAGAAAGCACTGGAGAGTCGCAATGAGAAAGAAGTAAGAGCAGATTATGACACAATGAATACTTTGCCAGTATTAAGGACTCCATCTCCAATGGAAAAGCAAGCATCTGAGCTTTACACCCGAAAAATTTTCATCAGGTTCCAAGAGGAGTTAGTTGGGACACTAACACTCATGGCATCCAAAGCTGAGGATGATGGGGATGTCATTACATATCATGTAGCTAAATATGGAGAGGACCATAAAGCATACGACGTTAAATTCAATGTTTTGGAGATGAAAGTAACTTGTAGTTGCCAAATGTTTGAGTTTTCGGGCCTTCTTTGCAGACATGTTTTGGCAGTCTTTAGAGTTACCAATGTGCTTACTCTTCCATCTCATTATATATTGAAACGTTGGACAAGAAATGCCAAGAGCAATGTAATATTAGAAGAACATTCCTGTGATGTATATACTTACTATTTGGAATCTCATACAATTAGATATAATACCCTTCGACATGAAGCCTTCAAATTTGTTGATGAAGGTGCAAAGTTTCCTGAAACTTATGATGTTGCAATGGGTGCTTTACAAGAAGCTGCAAAAAGAGTTGCTCAGGCAATGCAAAACGAGGGAAAAAATCCCATTAGCAATGGAAAGGTTAGGAGTCACTTGCTAAATGATGAAAGTCATGCCAAGTACACAAGTGGATGCCAGGAAGAAAGCTTGGACCAGCATATGTCTGAGGTCAGAGTTCTATTTCATAATTGTTTTCTAACCTGTTTCATGATGGCAGTATTGAGTGTGTTTTACTCTTTTATAAAAACAATCTTTAACCTTCACCTAAAAGTTTAAGGTTTTAAGAGATTTGAATCTTGAAATGGTAGCAGAACCTCTATGACAAATTGGTTAGGAGTTTGATTCTTGCCACCCTCATTCTTCTAAATAAAGTTGAATTTCAGCTCAAGATAGAGGAGACTTGTCCATTGGCCATGCCTCTAGTCCAAAAGGCTCTTGCATTGCATGATGAGTTGTGTTAGAGATTTAAAACCAATCTTGAACATTTGACTAACAGCTTAAGCTTTTAGGAAAGTTGGTCCTTAATACACCCTTTTTAGCTCTCAAAGTAAGATCACCTTCAGTCTTGTTGGGTGCTATTGTATATTTTCTATATTTATTATAAGTCCTACCAACATATAAATATCATACGATTTTGGATACTTATACATGTCTACAACTTTGGTACTAGAATGTTCTTACTATTGACTTATAACTGAAAAGTATCTGACTATATGTTCAACTAATAACACCTATGAAGCACTCATTATTACACTTATTCTACGTATTTTATTGTCTAAATGATAAGAACCTTAGTCATTCATATTGATTTATGCATATTATATGAAGTTAAATGCGGATAATAAATTTTTTAAATTAAACTACCTATTTGCTCCCTGAAAACTTGATTGCAAGACTAGTTTAGTTTTCCAAGGAATATTTTCATCAATCTGATACAAGTATAGCAACCATATTTATCAATCTCGGATAGTGTCGCATAGCGGCCGACCCTGAAATTGCTATAGCGGGATAGCCGCTACAGTGAATTCCATATAAATACAAACTGAAGTCCTGAAAAGAGGCAGTTAAGAGGCTGAACACACAAGAACAAAGAGTAGGATGAGTGTGGCTAAAAGACAGCTGGAAAACTGCAGAATGCAATTGAACATAGCAGGAAGAGTTAGAATTGAACAGAGCAGGATGAGACTTGCGGAATTAGGACAGAGCAATGGCCACTGCCGGCGAGTAGTAGGGTTGACAGAACAAAAGAGAAAGAGAGAGAGGGGCATCTCCAACATCAAGAGTTTTGATAGGGTTTTGCGATAGTGAGGATGGGCATAACATTCATCTGGTTAAACGGGGTGGAAAATTCGATTTTATCCCTAAAATTGCTGCTGGGGCAATCCACATATGGGGACAAAGAGAGGTTTTTACCTTGCCTTCGAAGGAGAGGCACTATAGCCCGCCATTTTCCGCGATTTTGGCTGCTATCACGGCTACTATGGCCACTACACAAAAATGGAGCGTAGCGGTTTCAGAATAGCAGGACGGTGGTGCAATGCCATGCTATAGCGGCACTATTGCACGCTATTGATAACTATGCAGCAACTTTGAAGAAAATTTAGTCCTCCAAAGATTGGGATTACATCAATCAGGACTTAATTGAGTCAAATCTAAACTCGATCTAAATAATATTTTGAAGACAAAATTGTTGTAATTCATCTTTCAAGAACCAAATTGGTAGTTTACTAAGATTTTTAGAGAAGAAAAGCAATATCTTGATTTCATTTTTTGAGCAAAGATGGCCTTTCCATAGTTAAATTTATTAAGCGATTTCCTTATTTGGTATTTTCATCCTTTCAATTCAGAGCGCATATATGAATAAACCTAGTCATCTGTTTTCCTTTTTCCTTGGGGATTGGTATTTTGCTAGTCAGATTACTGCACTCCCTAATTTATTTATTTAAGAGAATTATCTTAATTGTGGCTTTGAGTTAATCAAGTATGCATATTGTGTTGGATCTAGTTTTTATCTGCAATGTTCTTTCCCGCAGGGCAAATAGGAAAAATTCTTACACCACATATCATCTCATAATCCTTCAAGATTTTGGTCTTGATTGAGAATCATTTTTGAAGGCATATTTTGTGGTCGTAGTTGTGGGTTTTAAGCAATTAATGTTTATTACATTGGCCTGTATATGCTGTATATTGTGGATTTTGGTATTGTGAGGTTATCTTTGCTTCATTTGGGAGCACAAATGCGTAGGATCTTGGTGGCACGCGTAGACAAGAAAAACCAGGAGAATGTCAATACTTATAAATTCTAAAAACAAAAAAAATGTGAACAAATATTTGGAATAAGCATTTGGACTTAGTTTAGCCGAAGTATGCAATGACAAAATTACATGAAGATCTGCGGAAACATCAACTTCCCTTTGTATGCAGAAGTTGGATGTAGAATTGTTTAAAGTACTATCACCTTTATATGGTTATTCATTCACCCTGATATATTTAATTAGATCTCATAATACTTACTCAGTGACTGGCTATCGTCTGATATCCACTTTAGCTTATAATTTTGTAGACTTCCCTCTCTTGATTGTTGGAACAGAAGCATATGATATTGGTTCACTGCCTTACATTGTGTCTCTTTTCATTTTCTATGTAGGAGGATTTATTATTCTCCCATTAGATGTACTTTTTCTCATTTCTTTCAAATATTATACTCTTAAATAAATAAAAAATCATTTCTTGTCTAACTGATTTTACAATATCATAGGTTTTAGATATATAACATTCATGCTCAAATATGCTTTTGTTTATTTAAACTTCGTTGCTTTATATCCTGCAGGATGATATGGATAAGAATATTAGAAAACTTATGAATGAGCTTGACTGCGCAAATCGAAAGTGTGAAGTTTACCGGTCCAACCTGCTCTCAGTTTTGAAAGCTGTTGAGGATCACAAGTTAGAGTTGTCTGTTAAGGTGGAAAACATCAAGATAAGCATGAAAGATGGCCTCTAAGGACTGTGGAGAGGTAACATAGAAACAGATAGGAAAACAAATGGAAAAACATATACTTCCCTAACATTTCCTTTTTTGCCAATTCAATCGCGCTTCAATAATGCTCCCATTAATAGGCATTTAGTTTTTGTAGAAATTGATAGTCTTTTGAACCTGTCTTCTTGCCCCTCTTTTATAATATATCAAGATGGTTTGCGTTGTTTATTATATCAAAGTTAACTTTTATTTTTGAAGTCTTTTTATAAGTAATTTACCATCTATATGTTACCATGTTAATATTTTTCTTTAAAGTTCAAGTTTACGTAGTTTTTATCTCTACTTGCCTACAACGACCTATTTTATTGCATAAAGTAAGTGTTCGAATAACTATCCAGGCTTACTTTTATCATCTTATAGCTTTAATAATCATAGGTTATCTTATTCTACAATTTACAGGATCTTATTGCGTAAAAATGGGTTTTAAAAGTTTATATTGAAATTCGCAATCACATAATGCCTCGTAAATGATGGTTGTGATGTCTAGTATGTGTATGAGAAATTGACAAATGTTGACACACGAAAATTAATAATTGCAGCCTCAAGATTGGACAACATAAATTAGGAGTTTGTACTACAGTAATATATTACTAATGGGAGTTTGTAATTTTTAAAATTAATCTTAGAATTTTGTTCGTGAATTAGTAACTTTTAACATAAATTTTATAATGTATTTCTTTTCAATTACAATGTTAATTAAATAATTACTAACTAATAGAAAAAGGTTATATATTCATGAAGAATAGCTACAAGGATTATATTAAAAGTTACAAATTTATAATGATAGTACTATATACTACCCTATTACCTGAATTAAAATACAGGATAATATGCCATTTTGGATACCAAAAAAATAAAAAATAAATAAAATACAGGACAATACCGATGGGTCTCCCTTGGGGATCTACATCATGTCAAAGCAAATAACTAAACACTTGAACTCTATTTTGAACATTTTTCACGTATAACCAGAGAACCAAAGTGGCATGATATAACTTGACGTGTTGAAGGCACATAATAGAAATTTTTCCAAAAGAGGTACATAATAGATGTGAGAGCATACTTTTTATCCTCCTAACTGTGATTAAGTGCTAGCGTGGAATATTAACAGAGGGACTGTCTGGTCGCCAAAGCACTGCATTTAACAAAAAGAGATAATTACGTAGAGACACAACATACAAATAAAAAACATGAAGGAGAAAATCGCAATACCCTCCTTAACCCCAAAAAGCTTGAAATTAAGAATGATCCTCCACTCAGCTTCTACACCTATTACCGATCTTTTAATTTCCGCCAATGACATCCTAGATTTTCCTTTTATATACACCTAGTCCATACACATATTAACGAATTTGTATCTATGAATTTCATATCCGAATTCAATATTTTCTAGCCTATACATGACATGTTGGCATTATTCTGTACTACATTTGGTTTCTTATTACCCAGTATTCCATGTCATGAAACATTGTTCATCTAATGCAATTAAATCGATCCTTCAACCTCCAAGATATTCAAATAACAAAATTCCAAATGTACTCCAAATCATCAAACCAGCCATTTCTATGAGGAACATCCAGTTGAATCTTCCTGTCTTGTAGCAACTGACATCTGCATTTGACTATTCTACACTTTTCCACTGACACTTTATAACAAGGTATTACCCATGTGTACTATTCTCATTGACTGTCTGAAGTATAATCATTTTAAAATAAATAATAAATGTGAATTTAAATATACATTTTCTGTTTGAAAAAAGATTTGTTTTGCTGGATTAAAAAACAATTTTATTAAAGGGAGAAATATCAGGGAAACAAATAAATTATTGGAAAAAAAGAAGAAGTAATACAACCTGCATGTTAGACTGATACTATCGGGGTCTAATATGCCAACTGGATATGCTCTTTCATAGATATTCCTCACAACTGGAACTTGATTGACTCCATGTTTCTTCATAATCATTTGAGCATAACGAAGTTCCATATCAGGAGTAGCTGTCCATGGTACAGTACAAATTCCACCATTTAAAAGGCATAATTCAGAAACTAAAAGCTCCTGTAAGAAATAGAACAAAAAAGTCAAATTTGTGAAGCCACAACAAAGTAGTTTAGTTCTAAACTTGTTTTAGAAGTGTCTATTGATTTAGTCAAAGGCTCCACCAAGCTCTAATACAAGAACTTCTCTGACTGATTTGAGCTGAATAATCGAACAATCATATAAAGTGGCCAAATATAGACATGAAATACATAAAATACAAAAAAATACAAAAATATTCTCTTCAAGCAAAAGATCCACAAGTCACAATTTAAACCTGCACATGTGCTTCCCAGGTTACAGTACATGTATAGAGCACCTACAACTGTAAATAACATGCTTGTTTTCAATCTATGTTTGGTTAAATGTGTAGTATCAGAACATAGTCCCCCCCATTATGTGTTGTCAGAAGTGTTTATCATGGTTGAAAATTGCAAGGTCATAATTCAGATACAGATTTCAACAGCACATTCACCACCGACTATCTTAGGATTTCTAGATTCAATAGTCTCTGCAACTGGTTTCTTCCTCCTCGCCATAAATTTAGCTTATAACTGAATAATCTAGGTTGCCATAAAATATGTCATCATCGACAAAAATATATAAATCTCAAACCCAATTAACATCAAACTTAGATTCTTGTACCTTGGGTTTTCTGCTTCTTGCTTTTGCAAATTTTCCATACTCTTGAATGTCTCTAAGAGTAAAAAAACCAATCAAAGTATCATCATTATCAACAATTACTGCACAAGACTGTTTCTCGGCAAGCATGAGATCTATTACATCAGTAAGTAGTGTGCACATTGACACCGTGACATATCTTGTCTTCATGGCTTCCGAAACAAATGTTCTCCTTACAAATGCCGTTTCAACATTATCATCCTCTACACAAAGCGAACTTTCCACTTCACACAAATTACTCAAATGCGACACACCTTCAGGAAAGGTATTACCAGCAGATGACTCAATTGAACTACAGGAAGAACTTTCAGGAAGTAAAGCAGAATTTAAGTTTTCTAGCTTGAGCTGTTTTGTCCCCCTCTCCTCTCCTCTCTTTGTCTGGACAGATGAAATCCAGGAAGAAAAGCCTACTGCTCCAAGTAGTGGTAGAACAATCCGATAGTCCTGTGTCAATTCAAACAGAAGCAAAACTGCAGTAAGTGGTACTTGACAAACTCCTGCAAGAGTCGCAGCCATTCCAACCTGCAAAAGGAACTTCAATATGATCATCTGTGCCAGGCCAGCACCTTTTCCTAAATATTTGCATAAGATAGATGAAATAATAAACTATGGCTTTCTGTCCCTAACCCTTTCCGCGTCTTCTTTCAAGCTGAATCTATCCATACAAGAGCCAGTCCTACTCAACAAATTTAAGCAAGGTAGCAGTCCAGAATAGACAACCATATGCTCATAAGGCAACTTAAAGACCAAAAGAATATACAAAATTTGCTTTGATCTTTAAACTGGATTGGGGAGCTTTATGGAGCACACAAACCTAGTCCAATATAATATGGGAATTTTTTCTTCCTGATCACTCCTGTTAATTACACATATTAGTCTTAGTTGAAGTCTTTTAGTATTATTATTATCATTATTATAGAAAGTTGATGTCCTTTTAAAATCGTTATTTCATTTAATTCATTCCTTTCTTTTTTTTTGGAAGGGGGGAGGGGAGGGGCTACAGAAAGAAATATTATTACATAGGAAAGGAAAATCATAGAGAGGATAAGGTATATGTTAGGACCCATTTGCAAGGTATGAGACTTGGAATCCCACATTGGTTGTATGGGCAACTAATATGGAGTTTATAACATCTTGGACACTCTCACCTTTTGAGCTAGCTTTTGGGGTGGTGCATCCCAAGGTTCTTATCAGTATACAAAAGAAAGCACAAAGCTGAAGTAAAACAAAAAGTAAAAACTCCCATAGGAAACCACAAAATAAACATAATCCAAGGAGGATACAGAGATTGGAACCACCACAACTACCCCAAAACTCTCCTAGGAGACTCCCTCCAGTACACACTTGAAGCAAAAGGGATAAACTAATAGTAAAACACAAAACAGCACGCACTCCCTTTGCCTTAAGGGTCAAAAGAACCTAATTAGGCCTTCTAATTCTGTTAGGTCCTCCAATATATACTGTTGTTGCTAATCTTTGAAGTTCCTTTTTTACCTCCATAACCTTAAGCATAAAAAACGAACATTACCAGGCATAAAATACCTAATGGTAAAAATTATATAGCCAAAAAGGAAAGAATATTACCAGGCCATAAGCTTGAGGTGATGCCACTTCCAACAGAGAGAGATTAATCATAGGATTGGACTGGGCAACAGCCAAACCAATTAATTTTCCATAAGCCATCCCAGTTGCACCACCAATAAAGAGAGATGGTGCATAATACCCTCCCACTAATCCAGAAGCCCGACACAGAGAAGTTGCAACTATCTTGACAGCTATTAGCTGAAGCAATAGGTCAGTGGAAAGACCTTTAAAAAATGGCCGAGATTCCAACAAAATGTCAACATTCTCAAAACCCCAGTAGAGGATTTCAGGATACACTAGTGCTATTAACCCGACCGATAAGCCTCCCAATACAGGGAACAAAGCTCTTGGCATGCCAGTGACCTTTTGAAGATTATCAACAATAGTCAACATGTATGATGTACACCAAGATAGGGTCAATGACATCAGGCCACATAAAATACCCAGCAATAGATACAGCGGAAGCTCTGAAAACAAGTTGAATAATCTCTTCATGTATTGATATACTTTACTGATATTTGACAGGGCAGAAAGGAGTAAAGCAATGAGTGACAAACTGCGAACATATGAAATTATATATCATCTGAAAGAAAAATCTTTCAATGGCTTACCACTGGGGGAACGGAAGTCATACTCAGGAACTTTAAAAGCTGGTTCAGAGCCGAGGCCAATCTCGGAAACAACAGAAGCTATGACAGCACTAAGTATAACCATGGAAGTATTATTTGTAAGTGGTAAAGATGCATCTGCAGCAGGTGATGGCCACAAAACAGACTCTACAGCGAAAAAACAACCAGCAACAGCAGCATTGAAACCTGTTATAAGAAAATACAAAATCAATCCTCAAGCCAACGCATCAGCATATCATGAATTTGTTAAAAAGTAACAATTAGATTGATACCAGCAGCGAGGCCAGCAGCGGATCCAGCGGCGAGAAGAGAGAGCATTCTGGTGGAACTCTTGTCAAAGAAAGAACCAACACCTTTGGCAACGGAAGTTCCGATCTCGACGCTAGGACCTTCAGGACCCAAGGAATTACCGGTTCCTAAAGTAACAGAAGCTGACATAGCCTTCAAGAAAGGGCGTGAAGCATTGAATGGATCTCGGTCCACATCAGAATCTAAACGCTCACGTAGGAGATTCAGTAGAGCTACGATAACACCTCCAAATGCAGGAACTAGTATTACTCTTGTCCATGTTCCTTGAATAGGTGCTTCTCTCAACCACGACGCGCCTCGTGAGGGAATTCCATCCCAGAACAAATCACGAATTTCATGCACCTTAGTCAAATTTTAGTCCTATAAATTATTTATTTATTTTAAACTTGAATTATATAATTAATATAAGGCAATATGAATATGAATATGATATGATATGCATTTGGCTGAGTTAACTTACTTACAACATTATTGAAGATTACGACAGCGACGCCGGTGAGGAGACCAACCAAGCATGAAGATATTATTCCAGAATTTTGAATCCTTCTTGTGAGGAGCTTCCATTCTAGCTCTGCTTCTGAAGAAGAAGCTAATTGATCCTCAACGTCTTCTGTATTTTGGATATTGTCAGGTTCAGGTACAGAAAAGGGACGCCTGGGCTTGGGCCTGGACCTGGGCCCAATTCGATGATTGTTGTTTGTGATTGAAGAAGAAGAAGCAGGGAAGAATGAGGAGGATGGTTTTAGTGTTAGTGTTAGTGATTCCTCAGATTTAATAGAGAAAGAAGCAAAGATCGGATGATGGTGCAAAGTGGGGGGAACTCGCACTCCCACTCTCACTACGCATCCTAAGCCAACCATTTCTCGCGATATTCCAACTTCCCACGCCACACTAACTAACAACTCACTATTCTTTTTTTCTTTTTTCCCCCTCTAATTGAAAAACAGAATTTTATTATCATCAAGGTCGGAATGATAAACAATAAATAATATTAATGATAATTTGAGTATTATAAAGGGAAATAATTGTCTCATTTTACATGAGATAATGTTTCTCTCACATAAAAAGTTATGACATCATTTTTTCTTTTTTCTTTTTTTAATGGATGATGGGCTCCACCATATTATGTATCTATAGTAGGAGATACTTATCTCCTACAACATGAGAAAAATAGAATCCTATTATAAAACTAGTTATTACTTATTAAGGCTGCCTCGGTTGAAAAAGGAAAAGGGAAATATTTTTCTTATGTGGAGATAAGAATCTCATGTTATACATTTATCAAATTTTGTGTCAGTGTTTTTTTTTTTTTAAGTGTGGACCCCACGTATTTACTTCACACACATGAGAGAACTATCTCAAGCAACATGAAATTAATAACTCGCAAGGAAAATGATGTTCATTTCGTTCAGTTGAATCGGTTCATGTTTCTTCTATTTTCTGAACAATATAAACGGGCATTTAATGGATTGCTTCGCTCAAATACTTTTTCTTTTTTTTGTATGTAACTAATATTTGGAGGTGCATCTTTGATTTAATTGATTTTTAGGAATTTTCTTGAGTTTTCTTAATAATATTTTTATTATAAACTATATTAGATAGAAAAGAAGATAATTTGATACATAGTTTTCTAAGTAATAATTTTATTAATCGTTTTTTAAGAATTAAAATAAAAAATAAGAAGAAGTTATGTGATAAAAAATTTATAAACTCGAAAATCAAATTGTACACGTAACTAAAAAATTATACGTGAATAATAATTTCAAAGACTATATCACATATTTATTCTTTCCAAAAAGTATATATAGATATATTCGTGTATTTCCTAATGATTTTTTAGTTACACATATACAACATTCTCTTATTCATTCACACTATTTTCTTCAAAAATTAAATTAAATTATTTTATTTTATTTTCTAAAATATTTCGCAATTATACAAAGATAAAGCTACGTACAAGAATTATCCTAAACTCATTCTAGCTAGTCAGGGTTTTTGGGGAATAAATTTTTTTATGGTTTGTTATTTTCTGTTTTATTAATGAACAAATAAAATATGAAAATGTATTTTTGGTACTTATTTGCTTATTTTTTATATTCTCTTTTCTCCATAAAATTAAGAGAATAGAGAAAATGAAAGTATTGTGAAAGAGAGAAAAAATAAAAAATATCAAAACACAATTGTTTGACTTAAAATGACACAAAGTTATGTATTATTTTTCCCATAAAATAATATTAATATTAATATTAACGAACAAATTATAGCATTTATTTTTTTTATTTTTTTGGGTTAAAAACACGAAGCATTTTTTTTATCAAAAAAGTAACGCGGGACACCATACAAATTATACATGTCATTGGATTTTAAAGTCAATATTACTAAATCATATCTTTATGGTTACAAATTACCCAACGAGTTACTCTGAATATATATAAAAAATTGTATGCCGAGTAATGTATTTCCGAAGATCGCTAAAAACAAAGCACGGGAAAACGGGGGCTATTGAGATGAAAAATAACAAATTATCGTGCCAAGATATGGAGCAAGAAGCAGTCGACGATGTTTAGACATTTTTCATTTTTGAAATAATTATATCTTTAAGAAAATTAGGATCACCAAAAAAGACTAGAAATGTAATATCTTTTAATTTTTAGATGACAAAATCACAGCCGTTCAGAGTTAGATAAAGAAGTGAATGGTGAAGATGTAGCAGCGTATTCGAACGCCCAAAACAAATGGCCGAATTGGTCTATTACGAAATCACATGATAAAAATATATCATGCCGCAAGAATTAAGCCTTGCCGTGCAACAATACAAGAAATGTCTTTCATGCCAATTTAAAAATGTTCATTTTCCATCAACATACTACATCTTCTGTTTAATAATCGCTGGACTTACAATAGATGACACATTCATCATGAAGTCTTACTTAAGGTATCAGAATTTGGATGTTCTACGGTTTTTGCGCCCGAAAAAAGATCTCAGTATGATGGAAAAAGCTGTCCTAAAGTGAGTTTATCTCTAGAGTGTAAAAATAAAGCTATATTTATTTTTTAAATTTTAGTGGTTAAGATAAAGATTCACTTTAAATTAAATTAATGGTTAATACATTTTAAGTTCATTTTATTGAAGCCATGTCCTCCCTTTGATATCAGCTCACAAATCGCATACCTCAAACTACTGATTTTTTTTTCTTTAGGCGCAAAAGGTCAAGGCAATGCCCTAACCTCCTATAAGAGCTTCTAGTGAAACTTGCATATCACCTACTAAGAAGAGTATTGCAGAGAATTGAACCTAAGCTTGGTTCCATCCTTGTTGACATATATTTTCAAAGATACATTTCAAAGTGTACACTATGACTTTGGACTAATAGTTTCAAAATATAGTCATTTGAAATGAGGCTAAACAACAATAAATAAATAAAAAATTAAACTGAGGTAGGAATAGAAGGCAGAAGTCATAGTTATCTTTGCATCTTCCCAACAGAGTGCAGATAAATTGCAACAGAGACAACACTGTTAACATATTTAACAAAAAGAGAAAGAAAGGATTATAAGCACAATAATTTTGTGCAAGACTACAAAATGAAGCTTTAAAAACATGCACATCAAAATGAATCATTTCAAAATTTAATGCAAGTTAGCATTACGGGCCAAAGTCATCAGAACCCTCAGAAAATTTTAACATTTTAATTGCAGTTGTTGATATGATGTGATAAATTGATGTTTTCTGCTAATCCCTATTTCATTCGTGTGCAACAATTAGTGATGGGAAGAAAAACACAACCATAGAACATCGCAAGCAGAGTCATGATATAATAAACAGAAACTTACATTGTACCAAGGAAGAAGGCGAGGGAGAGATGGAAGCCAAAAAGGAACACAGAAACAATTGCTGTAAGAATCATTGCCACTGAAGTAGAATACACCTGTGTAAATTGGGAAGTTAATAAAAATTTGAATTCCACAAATTCTCGTGGTAATAAAAGTGTCCTAATGTTCAAATAGCCTAAGAAAAACAATTATAAGCACAGATACACATTGCATCTGATGTAAAACATTCATCATAATGCAGCTCTAAACAATAGGTACAGAATGGATAACATAGGTGCAGTTCATTAGGTGAGCTCTAAAATTGTACAATCAATATATAACAATCTTGTTCAGATTTCCAACTCATCTAACCTTTGATTGTGTCCTATAATTTATTGATTGTTTTATAAAATCTTTTGAAATATAGAATGAGATCAAACGATATAGACATAGATAGGAAGAAAGCTTAAAACTCAAAGAGAAAAGGAAAAGATGGCCACACTCTATAGTATAGCTCCAAGATATCCCTCTTACGCTATTCCAACAAGTTTCCAAGATCCCTCATGATGCTCATTGTTGATTGCTTACAGCTAATATTCTAGGGAATGGATGTCTATCACTCACAGCTTGTCAAAAAGATCCTGATACCCTGAAACCTCCCTGTAACTCTGTAAGAAGTCCTTTAGTTAACACATCTGCCAACTAAACCCCAAAAGAAACACATGTTGTGGTGATGAGTCCACTATCTAGTTTCTCCTTTTATGATATGATAGTCCAATACAACCTTCATTTATAGTAGCACATAAACTCATTGAGCCATAGCTCGAAACTTGACTTCAAAACTTTAGCAGGAAACAATATTTTTGTTTCTTATTCTTCCATGTAATTAAGTTTCCAGCAAGAACATACAGTAACTAGACATTGACCTCCTATAAAAAAAAACCCCTACATAATCGATATTCGAATATACTTTCATGGATATATTTCCATCCCTTTTGCACAATACTCCTTTGTCAAGATTAACTTTATGATACTGTAGGATATTTCTATCCACTACTGCAAGTGTCTCACCCTTGAGTCATTCATCAATGGGTTACTCTAACAACATATGCTAGATCTGGTCTAGCATTTTCCAGGTGTATTAATTCACCAGTGCAGAGAACCTGCAAAAGTTTAGATTGGCGAGAAAAAATGCAAAGAAAGCAGTGCGAGAAGCTAGAGGCAAGGTTTTCGACGAGTTGTATAAAAATCTTGGGAGCAAGGATAGTGAAAGAGGTATTTATAAACTTGCAAAGATAAGGGATAAGAAAAGTAAAGACCTCACCCAAGTTAGATGCATCAAGGATGAAAATCAAAAACTTCTGGTGAGAGATGAAGATGTAAATGAAAGGTGGTTGAAATACTTCAACAAGCTGTATAATGGGGATGGAGATACAAGCGAGGTAGACTTAGAGGACGCGTGTGATGATATGAATAGAAGATTTGTACGCAGAATTAATACACATGAAGTTAAGGAGGCTTTAAAGAGGATGAAGACTAATAAAGCCTTAGGGCCTGATGGTGTCCCTATTGAAGTGTGGAGAGGCCTGGGGGATGTGGCAATAAAATGGTTGACCAATCTTTTTAATAAGATTCTCCAGACGAATAAGATGCCTGATGTATGGAGGAAAAGTATGATTGTGCCTATCTACAAAAACAAGGGAGATATACAGAATTGTTCAAACTATAGAGGCATTAAGCTAATGAGCCATACTATGAAGTTGTGGGAGAGGGTTATTGAACATCGCTTGAGGAGAGATACCAAGGTTTCTGTAAATCAATTTGGATTTATGCCAGGAAGATGTACCATGGAAGCAATTTTCTTGATGCGACAACTAATGGAAAGATACCGAGAAAAGAAAAAGGACTTGCATATGGTGTTCATAGACCTTGAGAAAGCATACGATAGGGTTCCAAGGAAAGTTTTACGGTGGGTCCTGGAGAAGAAAAAGGTTCCATTAAAGTATGTAAAGGCAATCAAGGATATGTATGATGGGGCTACTACATGTGTAAAAGCTTGTAACGGATCATCAAGTTATTTTCCTATCACGGTAGGTGTACACCAAGGGTCGGCTCTAAGTCCTTACCTCTTTGCCTTAGTTATGGATGAACTAACAAAAGATATTCAAGAGGAAGTGCCATGGTGTATGCTTTTTGCAGACGATATTGTTCTTATTGATGAGAGCAAGGAGGGTGTTAATAGAAAACTTGAATTGTGGAGAAGCACATTGGAATCCAGAGGATTCACATTAAGTCGAAGCAAGACTGAGTATCTGAAGTGTGAGTTTTCTCTGGTACGAGATGAGGATCAAGAACCTGTGCATCTAAATGGTCAAGAGGTACCCAAAAAAGATGCTTTTAAATACTTGGGCTCCATTTTACAAAACGGTGGAGAGATTGATGAGGATGTAAATCACAGAATCAGAGCAGGGTGGATGAAATGGCGCAGTGCATCTGCATTTTTGTGTGACCGCAAAATCCCCCTGGAGTTAAAAGGAAAATTTTATAAAACGGCAGTAAGACCGGCAATGCTATATGGAGCAGAATGCTGGCCAGCACATAGGCAACATGAGCATAAGATGGGAGTAGCAGAGATGAGGATGTTAAGGTGGATGTGTGGTTACACAAGGATGGATAAGATAAGAAATGAAGATATTCGACGAAAGGTCGGAGTAGTACCGGTAGCCGAGAAGATGAGAGAACATAGATTGAGGTGGTTTGGGCACGTGATGAGAAGACTCATGGATGCTCCTGTAAGAACAGAAGTTTGTTACCAAGAGCTCAACACAAAAAGAGGCAGAGGTAGACCGAAGCTTACTTGGGGGAAAGTAGTAAAACAAGATTTAATGGAGTGGGATATAGATTGGCGGACAGTATGTCTTAGAATGGAATGGAGAAAAGCTATAAGTATGGTGGAGGGTTAGACCCGCTGTTATTCCTATGTTCCAAATGGTCCATTTTTAGTCCTTTTCCCCTTCATTTCCCCCACTTCTTCTTGTCCCTTTCTTTTTTACTTTTATTTATTTATATATACATATATTGTTATTTTATTTTATCTTATTTTATATTTTTATTTTATTTGTTTATTTTTATTTATTTATTTTTGGCTTTTTTTTTTTTTTTTTTCAACCGTTTTGTATCTTTCATGTGGGTTCATCTACCACCGACCCCAATTAATTTGGGATAAAGGTGTTGTTGATGTTGATGTTGATGTTGATGTTGATTAATTCACCAACTAATCTCTAATATTGAGTTCTATCAACTTTGGGATATTTTCATCATTTCCCATTTTGTGGTTCTACTCTATGGGTACCCCTGTAACCTTCTAGGACCGAGTGTAATAAAAAAAGACACACTCGTGGGACTAAGACTAAGTGGACAACTTATCAACACTAGGACTAAGATTATGGACAAAACAAGTAGAGCTAAACACACAGGGTGCAAAGCAATGTAGAGGCTGATGGGGAAATAACATACATATATCAAGGATAGAGAAGGACATCCAATTAATGAGATAACAATCAGTGAAAACAGCATCACCCAAAACCGCGAAGAAATATGCCCATGAAGGGAGAGGATCCAAGTTGTTTCAATGAGGTGTCAGTTTTTACTATTCAACAATCCCATTCTGTTGTGGGGGTAATGAACTCACGATAGTTGGTGTAGAATACCATAGGAGGCCATAGATGTTTGAAATTGGTGTCAAATGTAATGAGAGGCCATAAATGTTTGAGATTGGTGTAGAATGGGTGTTAAATTGACGCCGGTTGGGTTGGACAGGAGGAGATGCTGCAGATCCAAGGTCATCAGTCGGTAAAGGTGTTGGCTAGTGGCGAACAGTGGCTAGGAAGGCAGTGGAAGACCCGGTGCTGGCTGCTAGAATAATGACATGATAGTGGAGACCGAAAACCAGAAAGACAACAAGATTTCAAGAAAAAATGTCACACGTGGATAGTAGGTCCACCGAGTAAGCAAGGACTAGGATTGCCCCTCGTCAGGCTTTGGCAGTTTGGTGCCATGCTGAGTAAGTAGGAAATGAGAGACATTTGGTGAAATCCGTAGGTCTCAAGTACACAAAGAGGTCTGGATTATTTAGCCAAAAAAATAATAAATACAAAATAAATGCAGATATCATTGGTATCCTAATTAATCTAATTACATTATTCTAACTATCCTATTTACAGAATTAGAAAAATACTATTTCCAAAGTTACAACAATATAATACACTCGAGTCAAACTCATAGATACTGCAACAGAGACAAACAATTTTTATAGTCATATTTGACAGTTTTTATAATCAGCATGCATAGCCTTAAAAACCCAGAGACAAACAACAAAATGGCTATTTTGGATCTAGCATGTTGCATCGTATGAACAATTCAAATTATAAGAAATACAATAATCTTAATTCAACTCATGGAAGTGTCAAATTCCACTGATGCATGTAAACATTAAGTGGTAGAAATATCATAATACATAGTCATAAACCCAAGTCGTACCTTGACAATGTTGTCAGCATACTTCATTACCATTGATACAGCAATTCCACTGCAAAAAGAAACAACCATGTTAACACTTTATATTAATGCACAACAAGAAAGTGAAAATCATAAGAACCAATTCCTATCTGAAAAGGGAGATAGTTTTATTGATTAAAACAGAAAGGAACATTCAGGAAGACAAGAGCAGATGCTCCAGCTATGAAGGAAACTCTAAGCAAGAAAACAAAAACTCACACAATCCCGTATGTAAACCACCCCTCCCTTCTTCCATCAGATTCCCCTTTTCTTTCTTCTAACTAACTCCTTTGTTTCACCCCTCCAATAACTAACTAATACATTCTTCACCTCCACTCTACCGAGCCTTAGGCCTAAGCAAATATGCTTGTAGGGCCTTTGGTCATGGCTTACCCAATAGAGGGACATTTGGATCTTCAATTCCATCAGAAAACTTGAATAATAAAATATGAGATCTTCTGTTTGTATTTACTTGATAAGAGATGTTCACATTTTTTCTGAGTAGTGAAAGAGATAGAGACAGACACATAGAAAGAGGCAGAGACAGACACATAGAAAGAGAAAGGTAGAGAGAGAGAGAGAGAGGACTAGATGAGTAAAAAAAATAGCTTAAAATGACAATAATTAAAAATTGAAATCATTAAAGATTAAATTGAAATAAGGCCTGCTTCATGCAGTTAGCACAGGGCCCATTTTGAGATTTGCTTACTTAACAGTTTCATCAACCATCAAACCTCATTGTTGTCTCATCTCTTTTTCTTTCATACTCCACATCACAAGTATCATCCATTTCAGGAAGAAACAAAAGAAACAAAAATAAATGATTAAATCACAACACAGGTTTTCAATCACATTTCAAATTTTATCTTTCTCATTATCACATTATAGTGGACTAGATCCCAACAACAGGTATACAATTATGAATGGTAATAAAGGAAAAACTTCCAGCTTACAAGGAATTTTATAAGGCTCATCAATTAAAATATTTTACCTGAGTGCATGGTTGAAAATCATAACAACGGTAATGAGTGAATATCCATTGAAGAATCCTCTGGATATAGACAATACAAGATGTAAGGCATATATTATTGACAGGACAATTTAGGTCTTATAACTACAATGGAAATAAGTTTTGCTTGTTTATAATACTCCATGCTGGCTTATATGGTGAGGCAACATATACTATAAGTATGTGTTGTCCACTTTGATGAGAAGGAAAGATTTTCTTCAAATATGAAGATGAGAAAATTGGAGCAAAATAGTGAGAAAATATCAAAATAAACTGCAAAATCAAAGTCTGAAAGAAGAGCTAGAATTACTTGTTCATCACTGCATCAAAATCTTGAACCAATATAGCAACAGCATTGAAGCCCATGCCAAAGACATACAACCAGAAGTTCTGAACATTTATGTTTCGTGAAGGACGCTTTTTCATAATAGCCTGCTTATTAAAAAAAATACTTAGCCATGATTGATCGCTAAGAATTCTTACTCAATGCCCTAGTAATAGAGCTCAAAAACCTTATTCTAAGCAGATTGGCATATCCATTGACTAATCAAATATAGCTCAAGCATTAATAAATTAGATAGAAGGATTAAATAATTTGACCTTGATAAAAAAAAAGGGGTTTCAATTTTAAGCAGAACACACCATACAATTTTAACAGATTCCATCAGTCAACGAGGCAAACGGTACAGACAACATTTGGGATGTAGATCGGTGTAGAGCGTCATTTTGTGAGACCTTGAGGGGATTAATGTAACTGCTCTTAATTAAAATTACCTCAGTATATACTCCTGCAAAACCACTCAAGAGAGCCATGACCTGAAAGGAAAAGCTCATGATGATCATTTTCAAGCCATAAATCTAGACTTTATCCATTTATATTTCTAATGTGAGAGTATCACAAATGTTAACAACTCACGATTGCCATCACCCAACCTTGAAAGGGAGTTTGAAGAACATGATCAGAGCTGAAAAAACAACGTAACTTTTTCAGACAAATTTCACAAATAATTATGAAAAAAATATAAAATTCCCACAATATTTTTTTTTGGGGGTAAAAGAAGTGTTCAATTATTGCGTTAGGTACAGAAGGAGAAAAGGAGAGAATAGAGACTTAGATTAATATGAAATCAAATTGATATGGTGCATCATGATGTGAAACAAAAGACAAAGCACTAGCCCCTGTTTAGATTAGGAATTAGGTTAAGTACTAGTCCCCTAACCCTAATCAAATAGGAGAATAAATAACTTAATAAAGATAAGATAAAATCCTTAAGAATAAGATAAGGTTCCTAACAAGATAAAACCCCTAAAAGTAAGTTAAAACAATTAACCCTAAAATCACATAAATTATCCTAATATATCATGCATCATTCTCTCCCCCAAAAATATTTTGTAGATATTCTAACACTCCCCCTCGAACTCAAGCTTACTAAGCTTTATGTCATAGTTATTTGACATTGTAGCTATTCTATGGAAGGGAAAACTCTGAGATAAGTTAGAACCTTGAAGAGTGTAAAATCAGAAATTGGGGCCTGATCCAATGTGAAAAGATGATAGAGACAAGGAGGAAATATCAGAAAAGAAAATGCCCCTATGCAACAGTCTTCCCAAAACCAAATACAAGAAACACAAACTTGCAAAAAAATTATATAAACAAAAGGTCAGGAGTTTACTTCGATCCCCAATATTTATGTACGGTATATGCAAGAAGCTGTTAATTGATCATCACACATTTTCTAGCAGTGATGCTTACTCTATCACTAACCTATCATTTATGATTCTTTTGTTCGTTAAATCACAGCTAGTACAAAAATATGTTGTTAACATGTATATTAGTAAAGAACATCTACACGATAGCCACATGAACATAATAAGGTTCATATACAAATACATAAGTAATGGCCACATGTAAGGCTTGGATTAGTCTTACTTTGAATTCAACTGGGCTGTAGTGCACCCAGCAGTGAGTAGAACAAAAGCAGCCCACTGAATCTCACTTAACCTGGAATGTAATAAGAACAAAATGCCAAACAGCCTCAGGAACCACGAAGTTTGGTGATAGAATCAATCTTATTAAATAATAATATTACTCAGTCATTAGGCTTAAAAATTTAACCTCCAAAATAAAGAACAATAGCAGTAGCTATGTTCACAGAACATTTTCATAACACAATGAGCACAAAAAAAAGAAAGTAAAAAGGACGTAGAGAGCTTTTCCTGGTCATTTGTGTCCACATAAAAGCTTAGCATACAGAGCATATAACATTATTTTGATCATTCACCAACAGTTTCTATAATGAAATGAATAGGCAACAATTTTACATTGTAAGAAAAAAGAATGAACAAAAGACTTACTTTTTCTTAAGTATAATTCTGTATAGGACACCTGTACTGATGATATTGAAGTTCTTTAATATCTGATAGCCTGGAGCGTCTACATATGCAAAGATGTAATACTGCCATAAAGTTGAAAAGTAAATACACTCAGATTTCAGAAAGCATTAACATATCTGTTGCAATACCAAAGTTGTGGAATAATCCCATTGTCACCATAACAAACATAACCATCCGTCACCAACCTGAAGCAAATTTTTGACAAGGTAAAGTGCTGCTGGAATAGGATACACTATAACTTCATCTAATGTTGTATTCAACCTAGGTTCAAGGCACGATATACATCAAGTTATTTAAAATCATTCTCTATCAATAACCAACAAGCAAAAGGATAAAGCTTCAATAAAAAGATGAAGTTGCAATACCTGAACATCAACAGGACAATTTAAGTGAACCCAATGGCCTACTCAAAACAATACCAAAGATATAGGCTCTAGTCTCAAGAACTCTATCCTCCTAACGAAGACCACTGTTCAGATCCCCCCTCTCTCTTAATCATACAATGTAAAAGAATTTTCATTTTGTTGTTCAAAATTCAAATATAAAAAAATCATAGTTATCAAATGCGGATTGCGGCCAACCCTCAAAACCGCTATAGCGTTATTGCGGGTTGCGGTTGTGGAAATTTATATATATATATATGTGTGTGTGTGTGTGTGTGTGTAACATAATAAATTATTAAAAAAATAATAACACCTAAAAAAATACAAATAATACTTTACTGTTTTACCTTAGTTACCTTTTAATGATGCATTCTTTTATTTTATTTTTTGGGATACAGAAATAGTTTTACTCTCTGTTACTGTAACCAATACTTGGTTACCGTGACTTGTGAATCACTTTTCTGACAAATGTACTTTTCTTTTCTTTGAATGAAGATAGATCCAAAAATGTCATAAAAGATTGGGTTGATAAACTTCACAACCATAAACAAAGATACAATAAACTGTTAATACACTCCCATCCTTCCTCCTAATTATTGCATAGTAGTTCGGACATGATATGAGATAAATCTAAACAAAAAAAAATAAAAAAAAAAGATCACCTGTTGTCCTCAGTAACACCTTCACTTTTCCATGTTCTGACCAAGGCCACCAGAGATATAGCACATTTTAAACTCTCCACCTATAACCAAAAGAGTAATCAAAATAAAATAACAAACCAAGTTTAAATTCTAAGGACTATCAAACAAATAATGAAAGACACAGAAAGTTCAAACAAGTAGGATGTGATATATATATCCTCACCAAAAAGTTAGCAGTAGTGACACTATATTCATACTTGCCAGCTCTCTTGGACCAAACGATTAGAATGGCTTGCGAACTAGTAAGAATAGTCAATGCAAGTGTAACGGCTGACCTATATCAAACAGGGATAATAATTAAAAAAAAAATAAAAAAAAAATCAAACAAGAATTTCACTCATTAATTTCCAACTATATCCCAATTGTCATACTTGCGCTTCCACTGTGCTTTCGACCTGTGGCTATCAATTTTGGTTTCTACCCTCGAGGCCACATTGTTATCTGGAACTGGAAGAGTAAGAAAAAAGGTTAAAAAAAAAAAAATGCTTAATTCAAGTTAACGCAACTATCCAACGTAAAGAAGAGATTAAAAAGCATACCGCACCTGACACCAAAAATGATTTTTCAACGTCCTCAACGCTCGCATCCCTATCTTCGTCCTACAACGAAAGCATCAAAATCAATAATGAAGAAATCAATCAATCGGTGAAAGAAATGTGGTAACTAATTCATCATCAACAAACACAATCACCTCGTCTTTGATTTTCCTGTACTCCATTTATTTCGTCTTTTGTCACAGAGATCTACGCTTAACTCTGAGTATACCAGAGTTGTGCGTTAAAGAAAAACGGTTCAAACTCGGGAAATTCTTTTTTTCTTTTTCCTTTTTCCTCTTTGCAATTGCAATAGATCTCATTCGTGTCTCAGTCTCAGCAACAGCAAGTATAACCAGCTGCACAACCTGCCCGTGTTTTTTTTTTTTTTTCGCATTTGTCTAAAAATATAAAAATCGTCTTTCTGATTTCTTGGGCTAAATATTTATCAACACGTTTGGGCCAGAAATGTTTAAAACTTTGGGCCGTGATCGGGGGAAAAAATGGGCAAAGTTTAAATACTTATATAGTTTATTCTAAATTTACTTACTCTTAATTTTTTTTAAATTTATTAAAATTTAAATTATAAATGAAAATATGTTACAAATATCCTCGGTCAGAACATATGATATAACTTTTTCCCCCTTTTTTTTTCAATGATTTTAAGTATTAGTCTCGTATAAATATGCAAATTTGTTCACTTATCGGGAATAAAAGAGGACTTGACACTTCATTTATTGTTCATGGGATAAAATATATAATTTGTTAAATTTCGAACTATGTTTAGGTACTAAAATGATGGTAATTCAGTTGGCGTTAAGGAACTGAATAGCGGGGTGAGAGTATGTGTTCAATGCTTTCTAGTACCGTTTTTGGGAGGAATTTAAAGTCTTAATACCCGAATAAATTAATCCTTAGGAAATTTTAGGATGGTTTCATTTAAAATATGTTATATGAAATCCTTAGGGTAGTTAAATTAAATTATTTTAACCTCTAGAAATTAATAGAATAAATTACATAATTATTTTTGGTATAACCCTTTAATGATAATAAGGAGAAAAAATGAATAACTATATGATTGAATTATTTGAAATTATGATGATAATTGATATGATTGGATTTGTTTGAATTATGACATGATGATTGGAATTGAGCCTTACTAAATATTGAATATTAGAATTATGATACTATTGAATAATTTGAAAAATTATGATGCATTTCAGTAATTGATATAGAAAATATATTAAAGAAGAAAATTTCCAAATATGGTAATTGTGACAATATTGGATTGATTGTGTGTAATTGTAATAAATAATGGTGGGAAGATAACTTTTGGGATGATACCTCCTGAAAGTGATGAGCACAACCTTTGAGCTTTATACCTTTGATATTATTTGATGTAACAATAATGTTATCCGTTCTTCCCAAAGTGGAATCTGGCAACAGGGACTCTTAGGGTACTAGTAGCAACTTTGGGAAGAGGTGTGCACACTAGAAAAATGTGAAATGATGGTCAAATTTGATTATACGTAGCTGGCAACAGGTTCTCCCAGGCCACGTAGGTAGGTTGACAATAGAGACTCTTAGGTTTACCATGGTTCTCTTCACACTAAATGAACTTATAAAATTATACATGATGAAAAAATGTAATTGATATTGGATTTGATTATTATGTGAATAAATATAATTGATTTGATTATTATGTGAATATTTGAATTATATTTTGATTGAAATTATGAGCTTTGTTGACTATTTGTGTTTATGTTAGTATGGTTGTAATGATCATTGGGGGGAACAAATTTTTAGTGAAACAGATTGTAAAGGATAAGGTTAGCAGTGGTCAGTGAGGATAATTATTCAAAAATTTCTATATTTATGAGATTTAATAAAATGCATAAGACATATTTTTCTTCAGTTGAAATTTAGTCTTTGATTTTATTTTAATGTAATAAATTTAGCCTTGCGTTTGTCCATGATACAAGTGCGGCGGTAACATTTCTCAAATTTGATTAATTTAAATTTCATAATTGTTTATGAATTTTAAAAATTTGAGGGTGTTACAATCTTAAAAAAAATAAAAAACTATGTTCAAGTTGACTTGAAAAAAAATATATTGGAAAAAATAAGTGGTAAAACAACGATTAGAGAGTAGGGATGATTTTAAAGTAAGCTAAATAAGAGGCATTCCAACTTTAGCCAAATATAAATTAATCCTATAAAAAGTAAAGAGAACAATCAACTTAGGTGTAAAAAAAAAACCCCTCAAATTTTACATTAAATATTAACCATTAATTGCACTTACATTTAATAACTTTAATCTATTAATAATGCCAATCATGCAAATAGAATCAATGAATTAAGGTTGAGTATAAATTTATAATTTTTATATTAAGTTGATTTAAAATAAAAAAGTAAAAATAGAGGAGCCGACAATTGCCAATCATTTAGTCCTGTCTTGTAGATCTAAAATTTCGCGATTGCTTGCAAACAAAACAGCTCACCGATCCGTCATTGGATTCAATACTACCAAGAGACCAAGACAACAACAAAGTCCAAACATTACTAAAAAGTTAAAGTAGAAAACAACTAAAATAGCAACACATCACCAACACCAACACAACGCGAGACAGAGAGAGAGAGAGAGAGAGAGATCGGTGCAAATGCTGAGTGATTGACCCCACAATAAGAATAAAACAGCCTGTGATAGAGCTGTGAACAATACATTTCACCACTCTTATAATAATAACATAATTATTAAAATATCATTATTTATTTCTCCAACCATCAAAGCCTTAAGTTTTTAGCAACAAGCGTAGGCATAGCAAGAACGTTGAGTTAGCTTTCCTTTAAGTTTTTTTTGTTTTTGTTTTTTCCTTTGCAAAAACAGAACACTCATGAGTTCCATGGCTGAGAACAGAAGCTTCTTTTCAATTCCAAGTAGTACTAAGACATCACTTCCAGTGTCATCACGTTCTTCAGAATCTAAACAACAAGAAGAAGGAGGAGGTCTTAGAAGACGCCTTTCTTCATTGTCCCTTAAGATCCAAGCCAACCCTGTATCATCATCATCATCATGGTCATTTCCCAGATCCAAGTCACTCTCATCAATGGGTGACTATGCAGGAAACTCTATAAAGAAATGGTGGGAATGGAGCTTCGGTTGGATCCTCTCAAAGAAACCCATCTTTGCAACAGATCTCGAAATGAACGAGCAAGAAACAAAGCTACTTGGTTCCCACAACAAGGGAACATGGAGACATGTTTTTTATAAGGTTCGATCTGAGATCAGAAGATTCATCAATTCTGATCATGCGAGTCTTCCTCAAACCTACAGGTACGATGATGCAAAGATGACAATTCAAGCATCATAATTCAATTCGAAACTGGAGTTTGTACGTATAGTGCAAATCCTTCAAATAATTTAGTTTTTTAAGATCTCAGAAATCCACCGTGGAATATGCCAAGCTTCTGCAATTCGTTTGTTCGTTTTTTTTTTTTTTTTGTTACTTAAATGTACGTATAATTCTTCATGTTAATTTGTTCATTGTTGTCCATGATAAGGGAAGATCTCACACTATGGTTGTACGTAATTACTTCCATGCATAATTGGTATTCTATAATCTATATTGTGGGTTGCGATAAAATTATTACCTCATGGATCTTCGCTGCTGTAAGTTCAAATGCCCTTTCTTCTTGTAGTTAGTAATTGTATTGTGAATGTAGAACCTGTCAGCCTACAAGATTTTTTTTTCGTACAACCTACATGGTGTTTAATTACAAAATATGGCACCGACATAATGATGAATGAATTCTAATAGCTAACTTGCTATTATAAGTTTTAATACCTTATCGTGAGATTGAAGTTTCACCTGCCTCTTATTTTTATCCTTTTTCAGTTGTGTCACCATTACTATAAATATTTAATTTCATTGAAAAATCCATACCCCACATAATTACTCACCGAAAAAGAGGCGTGGGATGCGGTTTTACACAGCGAGTTAGGAAACACAATATATCTGTCCAAAAAAAAAAATTAAAAATATATTTTTTTGAAAACTAAAAATTTTAGCTTCTAAAAAAAATTGAAGACAAAAGTTTAATATTTTTAAAAAAATTTAAAGTTAAAAAATTTAAATAACTTTAATTTTTGTAAAAATTATTTCTAAAATAAATAAGTCATAAAAAAATTCTTTTTTCCACGAATGCAAATAGCCATATAATGTTATAAATTATAGGAAAAATAATTTATCATTTTAAAAGATATAAATTGTGTTATTTTAACTGCTTAAAATTATGTATTCTAAAAAATACATAATTATAATATTAAAATTATATATTTTTTTTCTCTTTTTCAGCCGTCGACTCATGTAAAAAATAAAAAAATATAATTTTAATAATATAATGATGTCTTTTTAAAATACATAATTATAACTAGTTAAAATGAAATAACTTTTATATGGGGCAAATTTTTTCCCTAAATTATAATATAAAACTGCTTTCCACGTTTCCAGCACCAAAACACTATTAAAGCCAAGGCAGATATTTTTTGCTGTCGGTGCATTACTTCTTATTTTCAGTTTTTGGTAAATAATAAATATAGCTAGGTGAGTGATTGATTAACTTATTTTATATTCAATATAACTTATAAATAAAAATTTACTACAATTTTTTAAAATAAAAAATTCTTTATTGAAGTATAATATAAAAAACAAATCACACTATAAATCCAATATTTTCCTTTTGACTGTAAGCCGACCGACAAGGGCATCCAATCAGTTACAATGCTTTGACTGTAGTTGCCAAAGGGGCACATGAATCTAACAACTGTCACCGACGGTTGCTATAAAATACAGTTAACTGGATGTTAACCCGGAATTGCGGGAGCAAAATGTTTATTTATTTATTTATTTTTGGTATACAAAATGTTTAATTTTAATGTATATCATTATTAATGTTTTAGTAAACTTTATGATTAAACTTGTTGCAATACTTTAAAAAAGTAAATAAACCATTCCAATGTAAGAAAATTCATAAGTTTGATTCAAATGACTTTTTCTCATATAATAAAATTGATTCGTTTGATTCTTCTTACTTTTTTCTTCAAAACTGAATTTAACCAAACTGCCAACACCATTTCAAAATGCACCAATGCTAAGGCCCGTCAACTATTAAAGTTTACAAACTCCATTTATTGAAACTCCCCACAATATAAAGAAAATCTCAAAGTTGGGAGAACGGTTTGAGGATCGGACTACAGGTTTGTTTCAAACATTGGAGGATGTTCATTTTATCATTTCACAGATGCTCCTAAGATCTTTATCCTAGACTCCAAACTGATAGTTGCGTATCTTTCTATGGAGGTTATCTTTCTATTATTCCTCTATTTCACTAAAAATATCATTTGATTAATAGTTAAAATATTTTACATCACATTTGAATAATTTTTCACCATATATTTACCGGTTTATTAGTTTCAAATACAAATATAATCAGAGATAGATTATTCTACCGACCTTTGCCTACCACTCTCCAATACCATTAGATCATAATCTCAACTACTTTTATGATTTCTCTTCTATTGAGATTCTGATCTAATTGTGTTGTCGAGTGGTAGATAAAGATAATAAAAAAAATATATAGATAGAATAACCTACTCCATACAATTATTATTAAAATCACGAATTTAATTATAAAAAAAAGAAGCCAGCTGGGCTATAATATGCTTCCACTGTCACTTTAACACAATGCACGAGCTGCTACAGAATCCAAATAGGCTTCTTAGTTCACCCAATACATAATGTCCATGCGTGTGAAACTTTACATCCGTAAAATCAGAACCTGAAAGATCAAAATCCTTCCACTTCAACTATAAATAGAATGCCCCTACATGAAAGCACACAAAAAATAACTGTAACACTTAACATTGAAGTTTACAAAGACAGTAGCAGTCATACAGCACATAAATGCAACACTTGATGAGTCATGGTAGTGCATCCACAATCCTGATTTTTCTTTCATGCGATAGGATCCGTCATCAGGATAAGAAACAATTTTTTTTCGTAGAGTTATGCTTCATTTTTCTCTTTCTGGCTTTGCTGTACAACCTGTCAAAATTGCATGTCAGACTACACCAAGAGCAATACAAAGTCGACAGCTAATATTTATTTTCACAAACTAGTTACACACACAAAAAAAAAATCTCTAGAAAGACCTTGTTGAAATTACTGATTACATATAAAAACAGAAAAAGAAAAAGAAACTCTAGATGCATTATTCAACAATAAAGATTTATGAGTGGAACGCTATTTATTTACTAAAATAAGTTTGTATCGGTCCCACCCAAAGTTTGATCCTTGTAGATACACCCCCAAATGTATGCCAATATTCTGCCGACTTCTTCAATTTTCTCGTGCCACAACTCAAGCCTAACAAAAATCTAAAAATGATTTTTTTTTCTTTCATCAGGAAATCATACACCAACATATTCCAAAGTATGTTTTATAAGGCTTGATGCAAAATTGTGAGTAGATCATAAGAAAATATCCGGTATATAAGCAAATGAGATTATAAATCAGGACATAAGGCTCGAAATGTCATCAAGGAGTAACTGAACTTCACTCAAATCATGTCTGGTACTTAGGTTTAGGTTCATTATGACTTCTTGGATTAGAAACTCAGAACTTTATTTAACTTCTAAGTGAGCAAAATCTATTGGCTATATGTCTATTCCATCCATTTAGTGATGGTCTACCACATAATATTAGTGAGAAGATTGTTGATTGTACAGGACATACCACTCATGATGTCTTTTAAAAACTCGGAAGTATAAAAAGTGGGTACACAATACTTTATAATGGGGATAAAGTTCTACTTTACCCAAAGCCAAAAGTACCTGTGCATAATGAGCACAATCGGAAGCTAATGAGCACCTGGTGCATCTCTCATGCTCAAATTCAGACTGTTGCGCATAGTCCTCCTACCAATTCCAGCATTGCCTTTTTGCATCATGGCAGCAAATTCACCATAATCAATCCTTCCATCCTAAAATGAGAGATAAAAAAAAAAAACCATGAAGCATAATTGCACTAAAAAGTGCGTGCAGGAAATTAATTCAATTAAATATTGATAATGCAACCAAAAAACATGCTTGTCAAATCATTAGAACTCAGGCACTTGATATTTCAAGTGTATTCAAGGCATGATATATTGATGTAGTTTTGATTAATTAGTTGTTTTTCACAAATATAACATCTTTGATTTTAAAAAGTTTAATGGATAGATCAAGCATAGGTCCTAAATGTATTTTGCATAGTGCCAAACTATATCATCCTGATAGGAACCTGAAGACAACACTTCTACTGAAGGAAAACGGTTAAAAATCCCTTATCCACTGCTGATATCAAGATATCAGTCTCAGAGTGGAATTCATACAATAACTGAGAAGAAAACTCCCAGAAAGCAGATAAAGAAATGTAGAGACACTGCAAGCACTTTGAGGGGCTTGCTACCTCCTGTCCCAAACCTCACACACAATTTGTCACCCCCTCCCCTCTCCTTTCTTCTTATCTCATTCCCACTACCCAAATCTGTTTCCTACCGCCACCTGCCATGGGCAGTTTGTTACCATGCACCCTAACCATTTCTGATCACAAATCCCTCGCCGGCAACTCTCAACAGCCTCTAATCCCCTGCTGCTATTCCCTTCCTTGCTATTATACACCTTAGTGATAGGTGGTTGTCTAACGCATTAACATCTAGTTGTATATGTTAAAGATATGGTTAAAACAAAAGCCTGAAGACCAGGTTCTATTAAAAGTGCTTTCTATTAGTAACAATAGTTTTCATGAGAATTATGATAATCAATTAGTATAACTACATAGTTCTTGTATAAAATAATATAACAAATTAGTAGAACAGCATAGTTTGTGTGTGTGTGTGTGTGTGTGTTGGGGGGGAGTACCAGATTATGCCAAGTTTTACTTTAATTTTATATAGATAGCATAAGATCCTAGTGATTAGCTAGGCTAGTAACACAGGAAGAATGGAAAAGGAGAGAAAGATGAAGGGAGATAGAGAAACGGAACTTCTGTTATGCTGAGAAAACAAGGAGGAAACCCACCATACAAGGGTTACATCTTACAACTGAGTAAAACTCCTAACCACCTAATCTCCTAAATGCTATTGTTACCAAAGGTACAAACTCTGTCAACTCAGCCTAATTAACCCAGTAATCACCTAGTGTTTATTCCTTCGAGAATATAGCATCCAGACCATATTTTGCTGCTCGTGCCCAACATATACCTATAGAGTTACATTTGCAAGGACATAGTTTAACAGCTAAGTAATTTTGGCAATAATCATTATAATGTAATCAGAACTATTTATCATAAGTTCATAACAACATTTTATCACGTCTGTGACCATTACAACATAGCCCTAGTAACAAATTACTGGGGCTATGTTGTAAATTAATGTATCCCTAATCTTTTGAATATAAATTAATTACTATCATTTTTCCATTTCCCTTTTGAAGGCTTTATGAAACTATATAGCTTTTGCAGTGATTATTATAATTTATCTAGGACACTGCATACGCATTTCCAAAAGAGAGATACAAGCTTCCTTTAGTAAGCAAAAAATTTAAAATATAAGTTTATTTTTAATTGCAAGTGCAAGCAAAAAAAAATAAAAAAAATTAGATGTAATATCATACAAGTTTATATGAATTAACCGGAAGTAGTTTTAAGGGGCTAAACTTCTTGCAGTATTAAGATGTTAGATAACAATATTCTTATAAGCTAAAAGCTTTGAAGTGAAACTCCAGTTAATGTAGGATAAAACCAAATTATTATTTCTTACAACATGCAAGAATTCTTTCTCCACAGAACATTCAAATTAGATTTCAAAATAAAAACCAATTTAAGGCTAAAAGAAGTACAGAAAATGTGAAAACTAAAAGCTCAGCCTTTCAGGAGGATATATATAATACTAAACAGTAAGATCTTCCAACTTCCTACAGGGATTTCCTATGTGAATGCATTACACAAGCCAGAATGACTTACATTATCTTGATCAACTTCCTTAATAATATCTTCAAGAAAAACATCAGTCATGTTATGTTCTGCACAAGCTGCTTGAAGTTCATCAACTGTAATATAACCACTGCCGTCCTTGTCAAAATATTGGAATGCTGCAATGAGATGTTCCTCACGCTCTAGTTTGTTGAGATGAACTGTAGCAGCAATAAACTCCCCGTAATCTATAGTTCCACTATTGTCCACATCAGCCTGAAACAGCTCAAACATTTTAGCTGAACGGAACACAATCAAAGATTATTTAACATGAATACAGGCTGCAGTTCAGAAAGAAAAATGAAATCATGAATGTAAAGGATGGCCGATTAGTTCCCCGTTTTTCTACAGTAACATTACGTTTAAACATGCTTCGCTAACGACCAATGTCAACCCTACTGACAAAATAACAAGTTCCCAGCAAACAAAGAACCCTTGTAACCTACATAAGTTAGACATAAGTCAACATCTTTTCACAACCAATTCTATCTGATTTATTATTTTTTTATCGAAATAAGTATTATTAACGAGGAAAGAATAAATTATAAAAGGGGTGAGAAAAGATATCTTCAAGAGTTGGAAAAAAAAACCCCTAAAGAAAACTTAAGAAAAAGTAATATAAACGTAAAAATGAAATTAAGAATGCATCAAGACAGCCCAATCCTTCTGCATACTAGAGATGGCTATACCCTTAAAACAATATTGGGCAAAAAACCAGAGAGAGGCCAAGTACATAAACCATCCCAAAGAAAAGTTGGCAAGGAGATGATGTCTATGTGCCAAATGCACCAAGGAATAGCAAAGCACAGTAACACGTTGTAATGAAGAAATAGGAGTTGCACCATTTCAGAACTTGAAATGCACATGAAACCTATGTCAAGGGAAAGACTGGTATGAGGTATGCAAATATATAGCAAATCATTTGTGTGAAGAACTGCTGTCCCAGACACAGGAATTAATCTTAGAGAAAGTTATGGATTTCCAATAGGTTTGTTGAGGAGGAATCTTTGATGGTAACAGGTAAGGTTGGGAATAGGAGAAGCAGCCTTTGAGAGACCTACAACTCGGCCTACATTTGGCCCAGTAGCAACCTAGTCTATTTATCAAACAAGGCATGCTTAGGCTTTAAAAAAGCCTATTCAACTATGCGGGCATGGCCTAGGACTTTAAGAATTCCTATTTGAGTTAATAGGGTGGCCTATTTATTTGCTATTTGCAAATAATTAAAAAATTATAATACTCATAAATTTTTTTAATTATATATTAATATGATTTATTTGACCCAATATATATTTATTTAATTACTTAAATACCAAATACTCTTTCAATGCTTGATCCTTGAATTGTGTACTTAACATGTAATGAAGATTGAAACAGAATCACGCAACGGAGTGAATGACAAATAATACAATAAAAAGAGGAAATATATAAGAAAATTAAGACATTATTTTCCAAAAAGAATAAAAAATAGTAATAAAGAATGGGAGTATATACTCAAAATACAGAAAATATTTTTCACTGAACCAACACCCTACCGCTTCCATAAGATCACGTATTTCTGTATCCTTAAGGGTAGACCCATATCTTCTTAGACCAGCTTTGAGTTCATCAAAAGTGATTGCACCACTGTTATCAGTATCCATAGCCTGAAACATTTCTCTCAAACCAGCAATCTCCTCTTCAGATAAACTTTCAGCAATCACCTAAGAAAATAGAATAACAAGCAATTATAACAAGAAACTATAACTAAAGTTACCTAGTTTCAATAGAAATAAAAATAAAAATACAATAGACGAAAGAGAAGAGTAAGTGCGGAAGCCCAATAAGGTGAGGTTCATTTGGCATCCAAGAAGTGCACGAAAGTGTTTTGACTCCACAAAGACAACAATAGCACTTCATAATAATTTGTATGAGAAGGCATTATCTTTTTCATAACAATAACAATGTATGAGCTACATTCATACATAAACTAATATTCATGCATCAATTAGCTTCACTTACCCGCAGGGCCATCTTCTTTAGCTTATTCATTGCAGAAAACTGTTTGAGACGAGAAAGAACAGCAGGGTCCAGTGATCTGTCCGGAGCAACTCCATTTTCGCATATCCAAGGATGACCTGAACAGGCACAACAAGTAACATCCTTTGATCTACAAATTAGATTAAATAATACTTAATAATGCAGACAATTGCATTGAAACAATAAAATGACAATATACTGAACATTTGCAAAATTTAGTCTATTCCTCTGTTTAATAAAGCTAACAAAAATGTTAAGCTCGCATTTAAGACTGGATTTTGCTCTCTATGAAACATCAACTTCCATGCATCTAATAGTTTAAAGGAGGACTAGTTCTTCCTAGGTGAGTCTGCTATAGACAAGACAAGGCCAGTGAAACTTTAATCACCTATTGCATCTTTTATAAATCTGAAGAAAGCTTTGAAAGTTTGAATAGCATAGGGAAAGCCAATTTCCACTGCTCAACTGCTCTTCTAAATCTATAATACCATCCACTGAGTAACCATATTGACTAGTCCAAAAGGAAACAGCATCTATTCTATTCATATCAGTCTGGTCCTTGTTTATAGTAAGTGTAGTAGAAAAAAAAAGGATGAACATACATAACACTTGATGAGCAGTCAACCGTTCTGAAGGCCGAGAAGACAGCATTTTTTTAATCAGATCTTTTGCGCTATCAGATATTAAAGGCCATGGGTCTGAGTCAAAATCTATATGTCCCTTCAACACAGCATCAAATATACCCTGCTGGGTTTCTGAACTCCAAAAGGACAAAACATTCAGTGATGTCACAAATGAAGGACGGGAGACCAAAACAGTTTCGGAAGGGACATATACCTGCCCAAAATGGTGGCACACCACTAAGCAATATGTACAGTATGACCCCCGCTGTCCACACATCTGCTTCAGGCCCATAATGCTTAAGGAGAACCTCGGGAGCAACATAGTATGGGCTTCCAACTACATCAGTGAAAACTTGACCTGATGCAGTAAGATTAAACGAAGATTTAAACTAATTAGTACGGAATGGAGTTCTCCAAAGTTCAAAGAGAAGTGTTACAATAAATTGTTATTGATTGAACTCGACAGTGGGATTTTTGCAAATTCAGAAGCATGAAAGAAGATAAAAAAAAGCATGCATTTATGACATACAAGCTTGCCCAACAAGGTACAAATACTTGCAATAAAATAAAAAGTAACATTGTTCTTAAAAGGTAAGCAATAAAAAACACGAGAGGGATAACCATATAAAGAGAAAAGCAGAGTTTTTACCTGGTTTGAAGAAAACAGAAAGGCCAAAGTCAATAGCTTTAAGAGAGAAATCATCATCTTTATTAACCAACAAAAAGTTTTCAGGCTTGAGATCTCTATGCATAACCCCAAGTGAATGACACGCCTCAACAACCCCAACAATGATTTTGGTCAATTCCGCAGCTTTCCTTTCGGTATAGTGTCCCCTCTGGATGATGCGATCAAACAACTCACCCCCAGAACAAAGCTCCATGACAATATGAACATAAAGTGGATCCTCATAAGCACCCTTAATGGTCACAATGTTCTTATGACCAGCTAAATGGTGCATTATCTGAATTTCCCTCCTAACATCCTCCACATCCTCCTTGGAAATCAACTTCCTCTTGGAGATCGATTTGCAAGCATATTCAACAGAGGTCGAATTGTCGGTACATAAATAAGTGGTCCCAAATTGTCCCTGTCCTAATTTACGACCAAGAGTGTAAAGATCACGAATGTTTGGAGTCTTATGACCCAACACATAATAAGCTTGGTTGTCAAGACCTCGTCGCATGATGATGTCTTTCTTCAAAGGTAGATTGTTGCTATTGTTGTTGTTGTTGTTGGTGTTAATGTTGTCTGCAGAATTGGGATTGTGTTTTGTTGAGGGTTGTTCTGGATCGGAGCGATCAGAATGAGTGTTGGTGCGTTTGGATTGGTCTTCGGGCTGTGAGAAGCCCTGAATATATTTTCCTTTCAAAGATCCACGGCATGTGTTGCCCATGAAACAATACAAATTTATTATTATATATTCATTCAACGATCTCTCATCAGCTTCTCTTCTTTCGCTGTGCTGTGTTATGAGCACACCAACAAAATCAAAAATATCAAAACATCATTTCGTTCTATTCATTTCACATCAACATAAATCTAAGATGGGAGCAAAAACAATAAAATAAAATAAAGAAAGAAAGAAAGAAGATAATAATAATAATAAAAGAAACAAATAAGCGTACCAGAAGAAGAAGGTGAAAGAATGGAAAGAGGATGAGGATGGAGATAATTGATTTCCTTTGAATTGTTTCTTGACAAGTAGATCTCCACAAAATTAGTTTCAGAAAAATGTTTTTTTTTTTTTATTTTAATTTTAATTTTAAATTTTTATTTTTAGTTGTTAATATTATTAGGATGAGGATGGAGATGGTATTGTAAATTTGTATTGGTTCCTGCCGAGAAACATCGGAGGTCAGTGCTGACCAGCTACGTCCACTTCTTTCTGTAGAATTTTCAATTAAATATCACGCGGTTTTATTTTTCCCTTTTTTTTCTTTTCTTTTAGCTGTGCAAAGTCTATTTTTGAGTTTGACCTTCTTCTTGTTCAATCCAAGCCCAATCTACGTCCTAAAATTTCGGAGCAAAAGATACACAGACCAATGCAATATTTTTTTTTAGGGAAAAGTTATATTTATAAATTTTGTTGTTTACAAATTACATTGAGTATGACCGATCATACTTCAATTAAGAGTGTATGACCGGTCATATTTATTATAATTTATAAAAAAAAAATTATAAATGAATCATTTTTTTTTTAAGGTATATTGAATCTAAATTATTTTTTTAAGGTAAGTTGATCTTCAAATATCTCATGAACTTTTAACTTTTTGAGGCGGTCCAATTTAAGAAGTTTAATTTAGTCACCGTTGAAGCTCCTTCACCCTTCCCAAATGCAAGATTTGTACCCAAGCAGGCTGGCTTCTCCAAATTCCCAGTTCTAAAGCTGTCTATCTTTTCTTATTTAGTATTGTATTATCATATTTTCTTTCCGTCGCTTTTTTTAGGGATTTTTTTTTTTGGTATTCTTTTTTTAGGGATTTAAACTGGGAGAGGGATAAGCTTACACAGCAATAAAAATAATAAATTTTACCTTCAATTTTAGTCTATAATCTCATTTGTATTTAATAGTTCACATGACTAATAAATTAAAACTACTATATACAAATGCGGGGAACAATTAATAATGAACTTAACTTGGACAAGTTAATCCTTCCTAATTTAAATCCCATATTGTTTAAATTATTTTGTTGTCTTTCCAATTAAAATACTAAAAACTCAACGTAAGAAAATTACCAATTCAGAAAAATTATCGTCCATTAAAAAGAGAGAACTTTTTTACTAAATTATCAACATTTAATTAAAACTAAAAAGAAAAAAAAATAAGAAAACGTTTATTCTTTTTTTTTTCTTGATTCAATAAGAAGTTTATCTAGCAATGGACACTTTTTTTTTGGGGCACGGTTATTATTGTAATTCCTTGAATATCATATTGCCACTTGTCTATTTCTAAATTTACTACATTATTCATTCAGCCATAAATGCTTCCATGGATCGGATATATCTTCTTAAAACACAAATTATAAAAAGATTTTGAAAAAAAGATAGTTTGGCTGATGTGAAAAGTACATTACATTTTTTAGAATTTATTTGTCTATATCAAATTGTATGAATCAATGCAACATTTTTAATAAATCTATTACATCCTCATAATTACTTGATCAGAATACATTAAATGAAAAAACAAAATGAAAGTATATTTGATGGGTGCTCGGTTTCAACTGCATTAGTTGAGATCCCTGCTGTTTTCTTCAATAGCCACCGACATAATCGATGAGGAATACTCCCAAAATAACCTTGTGGGAAATGAAGGCTTCAAAAGTTGTTGATTCTGCTTCACTCCGTGTAGTGCATAATATGTGTTTTACACAAATGGAAGACAGTCATAAATTCCAATTGCAAGCATTCATCAAATGGGTAAAGATCGATGTATGAGGTTGTTTATTTTCAACAAGCCCATTATGGGAACAAAAATTCCCTATGAGCTTGGGGTGAATAAAGGTTACTGATCCTTACAACTTTAATTTGAGACTGCATATTCAAGTTCGAACAGCTAATCTATCCTAATCTCGATTAAACGAAAAACAAATAGTACTAAAAAAAAATTCAGACACACAAGACTGAACCAAAGATACTTGAGCTCAAACTACAATTTGGCTTCCTCCAGGTTTCTCGCAAGCCCTCCACTAGTAGGCCTAAAGGGCAAAACACACAGAAGGAGCCAATTAATATCTGATTGCCTTAAAAGAATATTAAAAGTTTAAATTGTACACCAACGAATAGTCCTGGAATAAAATATATATGCAACATAACTAAAGGCAGCTGTGTGCATAAAGAACATGTCTATAATTGGATCGGAGACCACAAAAACCAAATGGTGTATGAAACTATTTTTACCATGCTTGCTGAGACATCGATAATATGAAACTATGTGCACTACAAACCAATTTCTCTTCATCCAAAACAAACTATCAGAAGCTTAGCATGAAAATCAGAAATGTAGTGTCAAAATTTATTGGGCAATTACAATTTACCCCGTGAGACAATAAAAATACCACAAGCTTTAACTGAAATGAAGAATGTGCCATTTGGATTTGACTGAAAATGTGACATTTGAATTTAACTAAAAACTAATGTTTTCAGTTAAATCTAAGTCTGAGGCAAACACATCTGAACTTCCAAACCCATTTTCAACTGTCTCTCCAATCTTCCATTGATGCAGAAATATGAAAAGTTATGTGCCCTAGATTCCACCTCTTCAATTTGTCGATTTGCACCTACCATAGCTTCAAAAAAGAGAGGGGGGGGGGGGGGGGGGGGGGGGTGGGAAGCAAAGATGGAATGCTTCTTTTATGGCTCAAAAACTCCGCCCCCCATAGAACCACCACGCCTGCAGCTGTTTAAGAATTCTCAAAATCCAAGAGTCTTAAACAAGGAGAGGATAATGAGTGCATTAGTAATGGCAATCTAGTGATCTAGTGTAAGAAAGCTGTCAACTACGATATAAAGGTTAAGCAAACCTTTACTTCACGGTGTTGGAATAATGAGTGGATCCCTGATGGCCCCAAGGATTAAATCCTAACCAGGAGAGGAATTCCTAAGGATGTTTCTTTCTTGGGCATGTCCTGTTGGGGCTATCACTGCTGTAATATGATGGCATGGTCAGATTTTGCTTCTGCATTTAGTGCTCCTTATGGTGCTGCATTTGGGTTCAGGTTTGGTGCAAATAGAGGTGGTTCAGGTTCAGATTTGGTGCAAATAGAGGTGCTTGATTTGGTGTTCAATTGTATGCATTGAATTAGTCAGGATGGGTTTCTGGTTGGTAGTGCGATGCATCTGCACATGGATAAAATGTAGGTTTAGTATCTAAAGCACACAGTTTTTCATGTTTCTCCATCAAAGGAGGAGTAAAAAAGAAGTTGAAAATGTGTTTGGAAGCTCATATGCATGTCACGTGCACCTGGGATGTTATATTTAACTGGAATTTTTTCAGTTAAATCCAAATGTCGAGGGGGTTTAGTCTTAGTGTTAGCAAAAATTCATTAGCAGAGCCTTTTTAGAAAGGTGTATCTCATGGGGGATAAATTGTAAGTTTTCTGAAGTTATTAGATTTCTGATGAATATAAAATATTTCAGATGCTGCTACTTGTCATGAAAGAAATATCACCTAATGAAAGGATCGCTTAACAGAAACACAACCTATATCAATGTGCATCTAAATTTTTGATTGTACAAGCCTCAACTTCTAAATCATTAATTCATCCAGAGGATCACAGAGAAACAAAAATTAGAATTTGACAAAACAATTATATCACTACTATAGTACAGAGAAATTGATAAGCAATATCCACTTACAGTCCACAGAGCACTTTTGTGGTGTCATAGAAAAACCACTGCAAAGTAACAACTGGACCTAGAAGAGCCATCCGAACAGGAAGACTTCTAGTGAACAAATTCGCGAACCCAATGCTCTTGATAGCCTAAGAGTAGCAAAACTAAGAAAGTTAATCTGGTTGATTTTTCTTATTCAGTATGAATCAGAGTATAACACGGACTTACTTGCATTAAAGATTGAGCCTTTTTATTATAAAGACTGGTCATAACATTGTCAGCAGGGTTGGAAATTACAGTGCCAACAGCGCCAGCTGTATAGGCTGCTAAACATGTCACACCAAGTTGCTGTGCAGTAGAACAATCTTCCTTTCTTCTATGCATGATATTACTATATATTAGGTCCACTGAATGCTCAAATGTCGTAAACATAACAATGTTGACTGTCAAACCAAAGAATAAGAAAGCATAAATGTGAATAACAGTGTAAAACATGGTAATGGTTACGGTATATGTATGCCAAAAAGTAACTTTTAGCAATAACAATAGAAATAAATTTTGATGCCCTGTCCTTGTAAAAAGTTTTATACTTGCATCTAATGATGTGTTGCCGCATCATTTAATGAGTTATATATATCTTGTAGTTGTTAATATAGCCAAACTCATTAAATGATGTTTCGATACAAGATTGGATGACAGTGTAAAAAAGTTTTATATCGACATGTTAAAATTAAACTCAACCATATCATAAAGATTTAGCCAAGAAACTTATGAAGTTCTGTAAGCTGACATGCTTGCAAGAAGCATCTATGTTGAGAAAATCTCAGAGTACATGCACAACTCTTCGAGAAATTTCAGATTGTATGGATTAATTAATTAGAAATTATACACCAAAAGAAGAGTCCATGACCCAACTTTCTTTATAAGCGCAAGATCATAAAAAGTTCCACAATTTCAGTGCTCAAGTACTAATTAGCCCAATAGAAAAGACTCATCAAAGGAACGTAGCCTGCATAGTATGTATGGAAGCTAAAAAGAGCCGAGTTCTATTAGCATTGCATTGCTCAATCTAATTGTTCCTATCATATCAAGTACCCCCCCATAAACCCAAAATTTGTTTTGACACAAACCCAAAACAAGGCTGAAATATAAATAGGATCTTGGAAGTTCACCCTAAAGCAATTGACCATTGAGAAAAGGCACTATATGAATCGAAGAACACAATGTCTTACAAAGCAACATAAGACTTGAGAAATCATGATATTGGTGCAAACAAATACTTTGCACATGCAATATAAGAGAGATCTTACAAGGAACATTACGGCTCCACAATGGAATAAGGCCCCTGTAGAAACTGCAAAATAAGAGTACAACAAGCATTAAAGAAGGGTGAATGAAAAATAATAAAGGAAAAGGAAGTTATCAAGCTTTATGTGATAAGTTTACCCAGCAAGACCTTCAGTTTTATATACTATTGGAAAGCCATCAGTTAAACCCTTTGCAAAATTAGGCTGAACCTGAACACGGACTTTAACAGCTTCAAAAGGAGCAAGAGCCACATCAGCTAAAACCTGAGCAGATAAACTGCTGAGAAAGAATATGAAATCCCTGTTATAACCCACGAATAGATCAGAATTAAGCTTCTTGAAGTACTCATAGAGACCATATTTGAAACCTCCTTGAACACCATATCCAAATAACTTGCCAGACCAACCTCTCCAAAGAGCATAAGGTCCTTCTTCTTTCCAAAGGGTGGCAAGCCCAGTTACAATGCTATTATATTTAATCGGATTCACCTATATATAGTAGTGAGAAACAAATTTTGAGCATAGGACAACAACTACAAAAATCTATTTATTTATATTTATCAAAGTTGATAACTGAATTAGAACATAGAATTAACACACACAAAAACTTAGGACAAATGGGTGTGTAATTAGGGAGAGTTGGAGAATGAACCTGCATATGCACTTTGAGGACATCAAGGGGGGTTATAGCAAGATGGGTAGGGCCAGAACTAAGCATGCCTCCAAGAAAGCAAAGCCCATAATACTTGGGAGAAAATTCCTCACACAGTTTTCCTTCAACGCCTTTCATTGTATTATGAATTTACCAGGTTCCGTATATTTCTGTTCCGAGAACCTAAGCATTTCTGAAATCCATGCATATGTTTGAAAGTACTTGTAGGAATAAATAATAAATATAAGATGAGATTTAAAAATAAAATGAAATGAGGTTATTTTAATAGTATTGTGCACTCAGATATTTAACTCTTGCAAGTGCAGATTTGAACGTTTATGATAAATAAAAGGGAAAATTGTTTATTATTTTAAATGATACAACTTATATCATTTTACTCTCATAAAGAGGTGAGACCCACACCTTTATTTTTTTTTTGTCAACTCTCTCTCCTCTTTTATCTATCTCTTTCTCTCTATTAAAATAACATGACTTTACCTTCTTTAAAATGACACATAATTTTAACTAAATAAAAACATTCAGGTATATTCGAAATGTTCGAGAGTACCCAAGAATAGATAGCTTGGTGGGATCTTAATTGAGCTACAATTTTTTTTATACAATAGGGGCACCGAAGTTTGACATTTGATCTGATGGAGATTATTCAAATCCCTCAACTACTATAGTGGCTTTTTTTTTTTGTTTGGTAAATCACTATAGTGGCTTTAATCAGAAGTGCAAATTGGCTTAATTGAGTTAAATATTGACTTAAATAAGATAGATTTGTGTAAAATACTGCAGGCCTGACTTTGTCTGTTAATTTTATGTAGACTCGAATTATATAAATTTGGTTTGACTTATAATTAAAAAATAAAAATTTTGGTCTACGTTTGTTAGCCTATTTAAGTCTATTAGATATTTAACAATTAAAAAATAATTAAAATAATATTACTTTATTATTCAAAATTATTAAAATAATAATTTATTTATTTTATTTAAAATAAATAATATGATATAGGTGATCCTGTAGGTTTATAGACTTAGCATGTAAAATATTTTTATCATAGTTTTAAATGGAGGACCTTCTTTTTTGTTATGGACCTGAGTAAGACTCGTATCCTTGAAAGACCCAAACGACTTAAGTCCAAAAGTAAACTCTATAAATAGGAGCTAAAGACCACACGTATGACTGATCTCTCTTTATCTATTTTATGCAATCACACAACACACACACTACTCCCCTTTTGGCTAAGGCCGTTATATTGTGTGCCGTGATTTGCTACCTCCGAAACATAGTAATCTAGAGAGAACATTATTTCAACATTAAATAGCTAACGCTTGGTTAGAAATCTCTGCCATTGTACACTTTCGGTTAAATCAATTGCATCATTCAACTCTTCAATGTCCAAAGGTGGGCGTGAGCGTCTCCATGATCATCACTGTAGATTAACGAAAAGAAAATATTCAAGTCCCATATTTTATTTATTTTTTATTTATTTTGATAAACATTCAAGTCCCATATTAACACATGAACTCGCACACAAATATAACCAATTGCAAAGTACCAACCTCGTCCATGGGGCGGGCTCATTGTCACATTTCACGAACAAGTATGTGAACCTTGCAACCCTATCACAGAAAAGCTTATTCGTGAATAAGTTTATCAAAAGCTATCTAGTAAAGAATTTTTTGGCTTCATTAAATGTAAATGTACTTGAATAAATACAATGATTGTTACGATTATCTCACTTGTTTTCCGTTTTTACGCTGGCAATTCTCTATTATTATATAAACTCCTTCATATCGCACTCCAGATTTTGGTGCAAAAGAATAATGTTTTTCTATGTGGGACCTAACCAGAATGAATGAAAGCAAACAAGGCAAAACTTTCAAACGATCATAAGACACGACCAAAAAAGTATAAAAGAATGTTAGTTAAATGCAAACTATCTAGATACCATTCACCCGATGTGTCAATATACAATACGAGGAAAGTGTCAGCAACCCCGGCCCCTAATAGGGAAATTATACAGTATAAGAAAAATGTGTCGCAGATTATATTTCATTGAGCCATGAAATATAATCTGTGACACACATTTTGCATGGATTGCATGGGAGTTTGCTTTTTCTGCATGGCTCAAAAATGTGTATCACGGATTACATTTCATGGCTCAATGAAATTTAATCATATGGAATGAGAGCTTTTCAAAATCTATAAAACAGAAAAATTGGATCTAATGTCGCGGGACCAAAGAATTCCCCAAAAATCTAAGCAAAGAAGTTGGGCAAAAAAAATAATCTATTGTTTTTTAAATAAAAATTATGAATTTATGACTATTTTTAAAATAATTATATATTTATTGCATAATATCATGTCCAATTTGGGTGTCACACGTTAGGCCTAACTTAGGCGTCACCTAAGAGGCAGTCACGCCTAATATTTAGGCTCACTCGTCTGGTATTGACACGAGTCACAAAAAATTAACAATTTAATCGTAAAATTTCTGAAGGCCATAACTTTTGACTCGGATATCCGAATCAGGTAATTTTTTTTTATTCCAGATAACTTTTCGAGATCTACGTAATGACATCTCATTTGATATATTTTATCTCTCACAAACATAATTTGAATTTCCAACAATGAGACTTTATCTTATAAGTCGTGGTCTGAAATTAATGATGGTACCAAAGTGGATTAGTCTATCTATAAATAAGAATACTTAGGGGGGGTGTATTGGATTAGAATTTTCAAAGACTTTTTTGAGATAAAGAATCTTATAGATTTTAGAAGACTATTTAAAATTGGACGGACTTTAAAGATTTTTTTAAAAGATATTTTTTACAATTAATATTTCATAAGATTAGATTTCAAAGGATTTTAATAGAATTTATAAGATTTGAAAGGACAATATGGATTTATAAGATTTTAAACAACCATATGAATTTTTAACAAACATTCAAAATTACAAGAGTCAATAAAAAAAATAACAAAGAAATGCAATGATATTAATAAAATAATAAAATCTAATATAATTTTCTCAATCAATAAAACATAATATAATTTTTAACAAACATTCAAAATTATTTAGCAACAACTCTTCACATATCTAAAATTATACTAGTCCTCCATGCATTAGCATTTTCTTGTTCATGCTCTTGGGTTTGACCAATGAGTTAAAAATTATCTTCATCATTTGGTATCAAAGCTATACATATATGATTATAAGATCTAATTTTTATTTATTTATTAAAATAATTCTAAATTTACATATAGAACCTAAAGTTCATGATAAAATTTCGTTCAGAGTATTCATTAAATTATTTTGGGGCTTTTGAAAAACAATTTTTTAGTTAATTTCATATTTGATAATCCAATTTGATGCCATCATTAATTTCAGACTACGTCTTCTAAGATAAAGTCTTATTGTTGTAAATTCAAATTGTGTTTGTGAGAGATAAAATATAACAAATGTGGTGTCATTGTGTAGATCTCAAAAGTTATGAGGAATCAAAAAAAAATTACCTGATTCGGAGACCTGAGTCAAAAGTTATAGCCTTCAGAAGTTTTACTATTAAATTGTTAATTTTTTTTTTTGCCACGTGTCAACACCAGATGAGTTACGCCTAAATTAGACGTGACTGCTTTCTTGGGTGATATAATAGCCCTAACCTAATTAATGAGCAAATTACATGTAATTAAATAATTAAGCATGTATTAGTGAGTAAAATTAAGTATAAGGCTTAATTAAGTGAATCTGAGTCACTTTGGAGTTAAAAAGTGTACTCAGTGAAAATTAAGAGGTATAAATGGATACTGGCGAAAGTGCCCAAAATATAAAAATAAAATTATAAATATTCTTAGAATAATATTCCAGACTTTTGGGTAAAGTTTAGTAATTAATGGAGTTGAATAGATAGATGAACCAATACCCACATAAGCCACTCAACTAGTAAGTGACTTAAAAACACAAAAAGAACCCAATTCCCTCCCCATTTTCCCGTCGAGCAATCAGAGAAGAAAAGAAGAAGAAGGAGAAGGAGAAGAAAGGGGGAGAGAAGAAGAGAGAGAGGTGGGAGAAAATCCCAACCGTTTTGGGTGATTCAAAAGCCTAAACCACTCTAAATCTTCCCCTCTTTCATAATCCTAGCTTAGTTTTGAGTGGGGAGCATTGTGGAGAGAGATATTACCTCTCAAAAATTCGGCCCTTTGTGAGATTTTGGGGTTTTGGGAATTTCTACCTCCATGGGAGCTTGAGGAACGCTCCTTGCTTGGTTGTGCAACCATTGGTGGTAAGATTCTACCCCTTGAACCTTATTTTCATGGAAAATTGCATGAGTTAGGGTTTATGAATAGTGTTTTAGGGTTTTTGATAAAATGTTGTTAAATTAGCTATGTTCTAGGAAGAATGGAGCTTAGAGCATGTTGTGAAAAATGCTAGGAACGACATTTAATCGGTGAAAATGAGCTTAGATAGCTAAATGAGTATATTTGGAAAATGGCAAGAATATGACAATTAGATGTTGAATTTCTTGCATTGTTAATAAATGGTTTGGTTTGGTTGGTTGTTGATTATGCCTTGGTGTTGTTTAAGATTGAGGCAATTGGACCAACCTTGAGAGACCAACCATTGGAGCAAGCTATGGAGCTTGATTAGCTCCATTGGATAGGTAAGTTCATGCTTGTGTTTGGTATGAATTGTATAGCTTGGTTGATAGCTATGAGATGTTATTGGATGCAATATGTGTTAATTGCATTAAACCTTGTGTAGGTTTTGTTTGAGAAGTGGAGTATTGTAATTGACTAACTGTGGAACCTGTTGGTGGTGAACAAAGGTTGACTGAAGCATTGAGGTAAGCCTTCAGACCTTGGGTGTAATTCCCTTGACTGTTCAACCAAGCCCTGAAAGGGTAGAGGTTGTGATTGTGTATATAAATGCAATAAACTAGTGTAATGCTTTGTTATACGTATGTGTATGCATTTGGTGTGGCATAGGATGGTGTTTCCCTATGTTGGTATGTTGCATGACGATGCGTAAATCATACTTGGTAGTTAGCTGGCCAGTGGGACTATTTGCATCTGAGTTTCCTTAGGACAGCTTGAGAGCTCGAGGGATTTCTCCTGGAGATGTATTGCACTTTGCATAGATATGTATTTACTGCATTATTGTTTTTATTGCTATTATACTGATATGGAACTGTGGGGTGGAGAGATGCTCCAAGGACCCCTGGTTTACTGGATATATTCGTATATCTCACCTCGTGTTGTGGGGACCCCCTTTCAGGTAAGGATGCTGCAGGAGCCTCTGGTGGCAAATGGCCATATCTGGATTAGCATATGCATGAAGTGTTGCATTTTTCTGAGATTATACATGTTGTTTTGTAGCTCACATGTATAGAATTGTAATTAATAGGCAATGATAGATTTATGATTTGTATATTGGAATGGACTTAGCCTATGCTCATGCCTTTGGTCATCTCTTTTGTTGATGGGAGCCAAGGGAATGATCATAGTGTTTTGTAAGCTAAGTTCCATGACTTGTAATGAGTATGTACTGTAAATGATGCCTACTTGAAATTCAATATATGCATGCTTTTATGTATTGAGTTATTGAATTGGTTGGGCTGAGAATCAATTAGGTACCTTTTGTTTAAATTGGGAAACATTGAGAAAACAAAGGTTATGCTGCCCAAATTCTAGCTAAATCTCATGAGGAGAGGTTGGATAAGTGCTAGGATTAAGTTTTGAGGCATGAACCATTGGGGTTTGGAATGGGGATGCATCTTCCCCTAGACTTGGACATGAAAAATGAGGGTAATGGAATTCCCTGGCAGCGCGCTTTAGCGCCTTGGAGCGCGCTTTAGCGCCCTGCTGCCCCTGTGAGAGCCAATGCTTTCGGCCTCCTCGCGCTGGAGCGCCCAGAGTGGGGGCTTAAGCGCCCAGGGTTGCGCGCTTGAGCGCCCTGGTTCGCGCTTGAGCGCCCTTAGCCGCTGAAGGAGGAGATGCTTCTGCCTCTGCGCGCTAAAACGTCCCAAATGGGGGCTTAAGCGCCCAGGGTAGCGCGCTTGAGCGCCCTGGTGCGCGCTTAAGCGCCCATTTATACTGAAAGACCTGATGCTTCCTGCCTCTGTGCGCTTAAGCGCCCAGATGGAGGCTTTAGCGCCCGATAACGTGCGCTTGAGTACCCGGTAGCGCGCTGAAGCGCGCGGGGCCTGTTATCAACCCTCTCTTGTGTTGCTTCCAATTGTCATAACTTGGGCTACAGTGCTCCAAATGGGAAGCGGTTTGAAACCACGCGTAGCTAACGAAGAGATCTACAATATAGTAGAAGTTGTGAAATAAATAAGAAGTAAATTAATGGTTTTAAAAATGGAATAAGAACATGATGTTAAGCTTGATTTATCTGATTCCGCAAAGTAATATGGTTATAATCACGCAATTGGATATTTTAAATTCGGCGTCGTTTTAAAAAGAAAAATTTATCCGGATTTTTAATTGAGCCAATGTGATTGTAACTGCGCTTAATATCATAATGCGATGTTAACAAACCGGTTCTAGAACGGGGTGTTACATTTTATGGTATCAGAGCAGGGCCTCTCATCCAGTACGGTGTGGTTCGAGGACGAACCAGACGGAAGCTGGTGGGCATGTAACATCCCGGGCGCTGACGAGGGCGGGGAGTGATCGCCGGTGCGAAAGGGCATGGACAAGGAGCGGCTCCTGGCAGACTTCTAGGGACGGGGGTACATGAATGAATCGAATCAACACCCGAAAAAGAGGGATTCCAGAGACTATGCTGGTATGGGACGATACAGTTGGGAATGACTTATAAGAATTAATTGGTACTACCTATACTAACATGATGCATCTACTTTTCGGTAGCCCGGAACGGAAGAACTCCATAGTTAAGCATGCTTGATGTGGGGCAATTCTGGGATGGGTGACCTCCTGGGAAGTTTTCCCGGGAAGTATGCGAGTGAGGATAAAGCATGCTGAAAAGTCTCGTGTTAGTATGTGGGGACAGTCCAAATTGGGCGTGACACACTGCTATATACCCGTAAATATTTTCAAAATAGCCATAAATTTGTAATTTTTTATTTAAAATGCAATATATTAATTTTTTTGCCAATCTATTTTTAGTTTTTTACTACCAATTTTTTCTACTACCACTCTAATCACTATTGGATTCAAAAGTTATTTTTCTTTTCTTTCTCTTCATTCAACTTTTTCTCTAATCCAATGTGATTAAAGTAATAGTAAAAAAATTTTGTAGTAAGATTATCATACCTCTTTAAAAATTTACTTAAATTTAATTGAACATAAGTTAATATAGATTTAGTTTTAACTGCTTGATTTAATAATTTTAACCATTTAATACATTTTAAATATGGTTAATAAAGTACTTTTTTTGTGTGATCATAAGTAAGTTATTTAAATAAAGAGGATGATTGAAAATTGAGTTTTAAATGAATTTAAATCACACTTTTTTTAATGATGCTTTGAATAAATTTTTAAATAAAGTGAAATCAATTTAGTTCATATTAGTTGGTCGTGGTTTGATTCATTTTCGATGCCAAATTAGTTTTAATAATTTGGTTTGGGAAATCGAATTGATTTTAGAGGTTTGATTTGGAAATGGAATTAGATTTATTTTTATTTTTTTACGAATTAACTTGGATTGCAAAACTGTTTTTAATCGGTTTTGAGCAGGTTTTAGGGCAAGAAAAATTATAAATAAATAAATAAAATAAAAATGATAATCTTTAAAGTAAAAGAATAGTTTCCCTTAATTCTTGAATTAATTCGAATAACTTGATTTAATTCATGAATGGATTTTATATAAAGTGATTCGATTCATAAACTAAAATTTTTTGAGTGCAGTCTCGTTCGAATACTTTATATGTTTTCATACCCATGATTCATATTATTCCAAATACAATTGATGTGTTGTGTATTTTAAGTAATCAAAAGTAAGGACTATTATCATTGTTGAATACTTTATCTTACAAGTTGCAAGGGTAAGAGGTGCTCGATGAACGTGCTATGATCTGGACAACCGCAACCGCACCAAAAAGCCAACCAAAAAGTGGGGCTGTTTAGTGTTGAGTTGCGTCACTCTGGTTTGTTGCAACCGAATACAAAATAAATATTAAAATTGGAAGTGAATCCTCCGCGTGTGCTAATTAATATGATCATGTCATCTGAGCAATCATAACCATACATAAGTGAGTTAATGGTGATAAGAAAGGAGAGAAAAAAATATAAAGATAGGAAGTTACATAATCATCATCTTTGATTTAATTATTAATGGGTAAGATCTTCCCACATGACATGATCATCATGTTAAATTACACATGAGACATTAAAACTTCAAAATGTTGGTCTTTGTAATAGTGAGTGGATTAAAGGAAAATAAAGTTAAAATTGATTCCTCCAACAGTGACCAAAGTGCCACTAAATTTTTTATCCAAATATCATGTGAACAATATTTGTTATCAGACTTACACGTGACTTAATTCGCTACGACCGGTAGCGAATTGCCTCCGCCAGTGAGTGACACATTTTGACGGTCTGATAAAAATTACTCTTCACAAGACATTTGGGGTAAAAAATTTTTTTAAAGAGTAGCACTTTGGTCGATCTCCCTCCTCCTCCAATGATGACATTAAATTTGGAGTTCCCTGTAATTTTAATTCACATCAACTTTTATATTTGCAGAAGCGTGGGTACGATCTATGCAAGCATATAGCAGATAGTAGACAACAGAGATAGCAGCATGTTAAGTGGGAGAGTAGATGTTTGTATTATATTAATATTACTATATTATTAATACTACATTATTTGTTCCATGCCTCTTAACAGCGTGTGTCATGTCGTGTCGCGTGAGTGATGATCCTTTGATATATATGTAACTGAATTCCAAGCAACAAGTGTAGGTGTCCACTAAGGAACCTCTGTTTCAAAACAAGCATGATGTGAGACTGGAAACGATTACTTTAATGTTCGCATTATTTTACTTTGTCTTGTTTTGCCGTTGACGTGTTATTGTGGTGCCGCTACACCTACCTAGTATCAGTTAATCATTTGAGAAATTGAAAGAAAGAGCAATCTCACCCTCATGCCCCCAACTCTCTCGAATTTAATTCTTTTGTAAAAGGAAAAAAAATGAGTGGAGCTGTTCTTGTTGCCGTTGCTGCTACAATTGGTAACTTGCTGCAAGGATGGGATAATGCTACAATTGCAGGTCATTTTCTGTTTTCCCATTTTTGTGAGATTTTGCATTTGATTAGCCAAGTCAACGTTACATCTTCATCATTTATCTTGCTTTATTTTTTGTTTGCAGGATCCATTTTGTACATAAAGAGGGAATTTAAATTAGAAAGTGAACCCACATTAGAAGGTTTAATTGTGGCTATGTCACTTATTGGAGCCACTGTGGTTACTACATGCTCTGGAACCTTATCAGACTTGCTAGGTCGACGTCCTATGTTGATAATCTCCTCAATCCTTTATTTTGTTAGTTCTCTTGTGATGCTATGGTCTCCAAATGTTTATGTACTCCTTTTTGCAAGGCTTTTAGATGGGTTTGGTATTGGTTTGGCTGTTACCTTGGTACCTCTTTATATATCTGAGACAGCTCCAACTGAGATTAGGGGATTACTCAATACGCTTCCACAGTTCACTGGTTCTGCTGGAATGCTTTTCTCCTATTGTATGGTGTTTGGTATGTCACTCATGAAGACCCCAAACTGGAGACTCATGTTGGGTGTTCTATCAATTCCCTCTCTCTTTTATTTTGTACTGACGCTATTCTTCTTGCCTGAGTCTCCAAGATGGCTTGTCAGTAAAGGTCGGATGCTTGAGGCCAAGAAGGTTTTGCAACAGCTTCGTGGCAAAGAAGATGTCGCTGGTTAGTTATGCGTTTTTTGTTTCTCTCCTTTGTTTTTACTGCTTTGGAGTTCAATTCAGATCTTAGGTTGATGCAATTTGACTTGTCTTATAGTTACAGAGACTAACTATATATGCTATGTAGGATTGTTTTGAAGTCCCTTCAACTCTGAATGCAACCCAGCTGATGCTGGATGTGAATCAGTTTTTCATTTTTCAGGACTACTGTTTAGTGATTGTGTTTGTAATCTATGACCCTAATTTGCTGCATTTAACAAAAAATACTATTCATTTGAGTTGTTAAAGGACTACATGCAGACAGAGAATGAAACTTGATAGTTAACAAGAATGAACAATAGACTGTTATCACAGTCTAGTCAGTGTCTGAAATTGTTGTGTAAAATGGATCAGAAATATCCAATTCATTGTTGTGTATCAGTTGCATGAGGTCATAAGTTTAAAGCTTCTTGTAACCGTTGTATTAAAAAAAAAGGAGGGGGGGTATATAAAAACTTAAGCATTCAAATGAAAAAATAGAAATATTTGTGTTATTCGTGATTACATCAAAACTATTGAAAAAAAAAAAATAGACAATTGTGAAAACTTTAATCGAATAGTAGTAGTATCATTAATCGTTAATCATCATTGTTTTTTGGGCTCATTCTCTTAGTGTAGATGCATTTATTTTATTTTATTAGTTGTTGCTTCCGGATTTTTATATACCTAGTAATTTCTTTTTGTTTGCTTGCTTTTGATTCAAATGACAATTAATTTGGTGTATATGCATGATTTCAATGGTAACTGTCCTTGGCCATGAGCAGGTGAGATGGCTTTACTGGTTGAGGGTCTTGGAGTTGGGGGTGATACAGCTATAGAAGAGTACATAATTGGTCCAGCCAATGAACTCAATGATGCAGAGGATCCATCAGCAAGAAAAGAGCACATCAAATTGTATGGGCAAGAACAAGGTCTATCCTGGTTTGCTAGACCTGTAAGTGGACAAAGTTTTATTGGCCTTGTATCTAGGAAGGGAAGCATGGCAAATCAAAGTGGTCTAGTGGACCCTCTAGTGAAGCTCTTTGGTAGTATCCATGAGAAGCTCCCGGAAGCAGGAAGCATGAGAAGCACCCTTTTTCCACACTTTGGAAGCATGTTTAGTGTTGGGGGAAATCAACCTGGTAGTGAAGATTTTGACGAAGAAAGCCTTGCCAGAGAGGGTGATGATTATGTCTCTGATGTTGCTGCCGATGATTCTGATGAAAATTTGCAGAGTCCATTGATCTCACGTCAACCAACAAGTCTTGATAAGGACATGCCTCCTCCAACTCATGGTAGCCTTTTAAGCATGAGGCAAGGTAGTACTAGTCTTTTGCAAGGAAATGCTGCAGAAGCTGCTGAGAATAATGCAGGGATTGGTGGTGGATGGAAGCTAGCATGGAAATGGTCTGAAAGAGAAGGCCAAGATGGGAATAAGGAAGGTGGTTTCAAGAGAGTGTATTTACACCAAAAAGGTGCTCCTGGCTCTAGACGCGGGTCTCTGATTTCTCTTCCAGGTGGTGATGTGTCAACAGTTGGTGACATTGTTAAGGTTGCAGCTCTGGTAAGTCAGCCAGCCCTTTATAACAAGGAACTTATGCATCAGCAGCCACTTGGACCAGCTATGATTCATCCATCCGAAACAGCTGCAAAAGGGCCAAGTTGGAGTGACCTTTTCGAACCTGGAGTGAAGCATGCGTTGATTGTTGGGGTGGGGATTCAAATTCTTCAGCAGGTAAATGACATATTTTTCGTATTGTACTTCAATACTTCTATATTCTTTTATTATCTTGTGATGATGCATTACATGGTTTTGTATCCAAGTCATGTTTATTGGTGCTTGTTTTCATCTTGTTCACTTTCTTGAAAACATTGAATAGGCAAGGGCAGGATTTAATTCTACACTCGTGCAGTTTTGTGTTCAGCTTAGTTATAGATTTTATAGGATGCCCTCTGTATTCTGTTCATACATAGTTTCTTTGAGTCACTGTGTTCGTTACCGCTCTTCCCTAAATGCAGAAAAACTTATTGTAAACTAGCATCAAAGCTGAGGCAATTTGTGAATCAAGCCAAACCTCATTTTCCCCAAAAGTTTTCTTTTAGATAAAAAGTTGTTTTACCCATTCTTATTGGAGTTCCAAAGATGAGCATATAGTACGTCTTTGTTTTGGTATATATGAATATATGTATTTTGACAAATATGAAGTTTGTGTGCTTTGATTTGGGAATTTCTCTTACCAGGACAGTAGGCAGTGTTACTAGAGTCCTTTATGCTTGTGGTTTTCTATTATAAAATGTACAAATAGTGCTACATTAATAAGTGATGATAGTGCGAGATAAATATACTTCTTGCATACTATTTAGCGTCCTCCCTTCATCCCTTCATATATTTTGGCTCTATCGCCTATAGGCTATTGTCTACCAATATGTGGTTTCAACCTATAATGTTTACGCTTATAGTGTCTACCATAGAGCCCTTATAGTGTCTATAGCCATGGTTGTGGTCATAGCTATAGATACTATAGGTATTTTACCCTATAGTTTCTCTAGACATGTAGAATGCATAAAGGAAAATTTACAAAAAGTTTACTCTCGGTAAAAATATTTCCGGTTCTGGAACAATTGACATAAGTGCTTAACTAAGTCAATGGATGATTAGTCACTAACCACTCTTTGAACATCATTAACCAATTATACCTCACCTTGAACCTGGTGAAAAGCTATACCTGACTGTCATCAAACTTCTCTTTGAACATTGCAGTTCTCTGGTATAAATGGGGTGCTCTACTACACACCTCAAATTCTTGAACAGGCAGGTGTTGGTTATCTTCTTTCAAACCTGGGCCTTAGTTCTATTTCTGCGTCTTTGCTTATAAGCACTGTTACAACCTTGTTGATGCTACCCTGTATAGCTGTTGCCATGAGGCTCATGGATATATCTGGCAGAAGGTACACATCTTCCTCTTATTTACCGTTGGCTTCTCTCTTAAATGTTAAAGATATATGTTTCAACAAGGGGATGTATGCTTGACGGCATTTTTGGTTAGGGTGCAGAGAGTTTGGTTCGGTTCGAATTTTTATGCAAAACTGAACTAGTTTTAATGAGTTAATTCAAAAACTAAATCCGTTTTAGTGGTTTGCTTCGACTAATCAAACTGGTTTTACTTTTTTAGGAACCTGTTTTGGTTTCAAGCCGATTTTAAAGTAAACAAATAAAATAAAAAATAAAAAAGAGAGAAGATTATAGTTATTATCTCTTTTTCTTATTCTTTTTATTATTAAATCTTAACCGTTGAGTTCCGTTAATCTAACGATTGTAATTTATTGGGTCATATTTATTAATTAATTGTTAATTTTCAATAAATTACAACCGTTAGATTGACGAAAATCAACGGTTAAAATTTGATAGTAAGAGATAGTAAATATAACTCCTCCCAATAAAAAATACTAATAGTTAAGGAAAAAAGAAACGATATGGACAAAGTGGCTCGGTTCTTGAACATGTTTTATATAAAGATTTTTATTTTCCATGTTGATGGAGATGTGATATCTCATATTATAGACTCAAGATGTGATGAGATTCATATTTATTAAAAAAATAAAAACATGCAGCACAAAACTCGAATGATGAGTAATATGAGATTGCTTTTTTCTATTACACAAGAGAATGATTTCCTTTACATAAAATAGTTTGGTTCTTAAATTGGTTTAAAAAAATATAATTCTATTGGATTCTTTGACTTTTAGCACACCGCTATTCTCATGATTCATGAACATACTATTTTCATTGCTTTATTTTTCTTGTACGTGCTTTACTCGAATCTTTTGCAGCTTAGATTGGTATTTCAATAACAACTTGGATTTGACTTTATTACTCTTGCGAAGTGCTATCCTATATTGTACTGAAATCGGGATAGCATACGAGACATGATATGACACGACATTTAAATATATTAATTTTAAAAATATTAAATTTTGACATGTTAAAATATATTTTGATATTAAATAATATTTTTAATTTATATGGTATATATTATATTTAATATTCAATAATTTAACCAAAAAAAAGCTAAATTTATAATATCCGTCAATGTAAATAAATATAAGATATAACAAATATTTATAAAAAATGCAATAAAATGATAATTATAATCCAATGTTGGAACTAAAAATGCAACACAATCTTTAAATTTTTTTTGTCTCTACAATGCATGTTAAAATGTCGAGAAATGTCAAACATGACACGTCAGATTTTTTAAAGTGACGGTGCATTATATGTAGTATCAATCTTAAGGAAATTTCATCTGAGAGTGATAAGCAATGCTCTATGACAGTAAGTGCTAGGCAACAATGTTTACTTAAATATGTACTAAATATTTATTTATTAAATAAAAAACTTTGTTCATAAATATTTAATTTAAATAATCCGTACATGATAACTAGTATATTCAAAGGGAAAAACTATTCTTATGTTATATGAGATAAATTTTTTCTCATACACATCCTTCGATAACTGTGTCACCTTTTTCTTTTTCTTTTTTAGTTGGTGGAGCCCACAAGTTTGTCTCTATGACATGAGATAACTTATCTCCTTTAACATGAAATTAATAAAATCTATATTCAAATAGTACAATTGCAAGGCCTTTTGGAGTTGTTTGATGAAATATTATTCCCATGGTGATCTCTATTAATATGTATGCTATATTTCTGAGGTCCTATCAATGATTTTTGTGATTATATAAAGGGAAAAAGAAGTATCATTTAACATGACACAAGTTGTGTAAGTCATTTTGATCTCTATTATTGTTTGACCGGTCATACTCTCTCTTCAGTCATATCGCTGACGTATAAAGTGAAAAAAAATAAAAAAATAAAAATTACATAGAGTATGACCGCCGGTCATACTATGTGTAAGTCACTAAAAACAAGTTGTATATTTTTAAATGACACACATTAAACCCTTATATAAAACATTGCAGGGTTTTAAAATCTGACCATAAATCCATCATTACAGACAATTCTTGAATTTGTGACCTTTATTAACCCGTTTTAATTATTTGTGTATTTATTACCCCATTACTTGTTTGTGTTCACGAAGTTTGCAGTATTAATTCAAATATTTTTTTGCTTCAGGGCTTTGCTGCTAAGTACAATCCCCGTCTTGATAATATCGCTTCTGATATTTGTCCTAGGGAGTCTTGTGGATTTGGGCAGTACTGTGAATGCATGTATATCAACCATGAGTGTTGTTGTCTACTTGTGTTTCTTTGTCATGGGATTTGGCCCAATTCCTAATATCCTTTGTGCAGAGATCTTCCCTACACGAGTTCGTGGTCTCTGCATTGCTATATGTGCTCTTACCTTTTGGATTGGTGACATCATAGTCACCTACACACTCCCACTTTTGCTTAATTCCGTAGGCCTTGTTGGTGTTTTTGGTATGTATGCGGTCGTGTGCATCATAGCTTGGATGTTTGTCTTCTTTAAAGTTCCAGAAACCAAAGGCATTCCACTAGAAGTTATCGCTGAGTTCTTCTCTGTCGGGACAAAGCAAGCTGAAGTTGTCAATAATAGCTGATTTTTTTTTTTTTTTTTTGATAACAATAATAGCTGATTTTGGATTTAGACAAATAGGAAATTTTCGGTGTTTTTTTTTTTTTTTTTTTTAAATATAAAATTATTTTCTATCCACAATTTTCTTTCTTCTTTTTTCTCCACTTTTCCTCTCCCTCCCTCTCTTTTTTATTAATCTATTTTTCGTGGGATGGGATTGAGAAAAAAAAAAAATAACAAAACTTTGTTCATGAAGAAAGTATTCAATGTTTTCCCTGCTGGTGTTATATGGCAAAGAAGATGCTTGAGAAACGATGATTTATATGGATGACAAAAATAATCTGAATGAGAAATTCTTAAGGTAAGTAGTAGGCATATTTATTATATTAAATATGTGCGAAGTTGCATGCTATTATTTTAAAGATGAGGAAAAGAATTATCGGATGTTCATAAATATTTAATATTTGAATATATATTACATTCTTAAAATACTTTTTATATATTGTAATTCTAATCAAATATTGTCGTGTTGTTAACAAAGTCTGACTTTCACAATAATTTTCTTAGAAGTCATATTTTTTTAATTATGTGACAATGCATAATTAAATGATAATATAAACAATGTTACACTTTGTATCAAAATTAAACTCTATTGAATATGTGTAAAGTTGTATTAACATGTATAATATCAAATGATTCTAAAGATAAGGAAACGAATCATTACATGTTATTGCTTTATTTAAATTCCATGAATATTTAATGATATATATATCATTTACTCCATTCTCTAAAAAGTAAAGTATTGTTACATTAATGTTCTAAAAGATTTTGTGATCAAAATAATTTTTCCAAAGGCCATGCCTCATCAAATCAATTTTTCAAATTCTTTTGTCACCAAATTAGTTTCTTAAAGATACAAAATATTAATTAAATTACTTTTTATACCCCCACTTTAATCTTTTATAAAGACAAATATAATGATGGTTCAAATCTTTTAAAATATTAATTTATTAAAAAAATCTTTAAAGGATTAATAAGGTTAAACACTAATATTTAGATTATGAAATAGAAGATTTATTCAATTTTTCTAATAAAAGTAAAATTAGTCAGAGTTAAAATTGGATATTTATAAAAATAAAATAAAAACTAAAGTCTCATTATTCGGGCATAAGATTTTATGATTAGGCATTATTAAAAAATTGGGTATGGCTAGCAGCTAGCTATCATTCAATCAAAGTGGCACTTTATCCGAATAATTTATGAATGAAACAATACTTAAGATTTTATGATTATGCATTATTGATAATTAGGTATGTCTGGCTATCAGTCAATCAGGGTTTGTTCCTTATTTTGTGGACATATCAGTTCAATATATGTCATCTTTTTGCTATTACATATTATTATAGTATCACCCGTGGTTCACGCGAACCACGGGGAATTACAGTGTTAAAATTGGATGTTTATAAAAAATTGAATTCTTGTTATCAAAAAAAAAAAAAAAAATTGAAGTCTAATTGTTCGGATATAAGATTTTATGAATTTAAAAGGCAACATTTGCTCACACAAAATGAACAATTAGATTGATTCAATAACCGAAAACAGACATGTTAGGGGTGTATTGGATTAAAATTTTTAAAAAAAAAATTGAGAATTTTTTTTATAGATTTTAAAAAGCTATTTAAAATTGGAAGGATTTTAAATACTTTTTCAAAAAATTATTTTTACAATCAAGATTTCATAAGATTGAATTTTAAAGAATTATAATAGAATTTATAAGATTTGATAGGACAATATGTATTTATAAAATTTTAAAAAACCATATGAATTTTTAACAAACATTCAAAATTACAAGAGTCGATAAAAGAATAACAAAAAAATGCAATAATATTAATAAAAAAAAGAAAAACCTAATATTTTCTCAATCAGTAAAATTCATGAAAAAAAATTCGTTTGAAATTCTTTGCAATTGATCTTGTAGTTTTCTAACCATATATTACATGCATATTTTCATTGAGTATTCCAAGAAAATTTCGAATCTGAATTTTTGGGTTTTATTAAATAAAAGTTTATAAAATTTCTCAAATTATTTTCAATCGATACATTGAAACCTTAAATGTTTTTGGGGTTTTTGAAAAATAAGTTTTTAATGATATGTTGACACAAAAATTGTTTGAAATCTTTCCTATAGCGAAGGAATTTCGTTCATAAATGTATTGTCATGAAACATAGGGTTCATATTATTAAAGTTCCAATCTTTCTTTAAATCGATCTTGTTTTATTGATGTAAACTAAAAATTGGTTTGGCAGTTTTCGTTTACCTGTAATTTTCCCATTGTTTTATATTATTTTTAATACAAAAATCACATATTTTTGTGCTAAGAAAAATCGCAACCAATAGCTTAAAAAATTATTTTTTAAACTTTCAAAAACACTAAAAAAAATAGCTCAAAAATCTGCTATTTTTGAGATGAGTTAGATTAAAATCTTGTTGGGTTGTTGTTTCTGCATTATTTTGTAATAAAAATTGCTCAAAATTCTGCTGTTTTTGAGCTCTGACGAAGCTCCCATGGCATAACTAGGTTTCGAGCAAGTTAATCCGCCAAAGGAAGAAGAAGACAATGTAATAGAGAAATCTCAAGAAATCCTAAGGGTTAGGGTGAAATTGTGAGAGATACATCCTATTTATATTTCTCACTAAAAAGTCTCACGAAATTCACACCAATAAAAAATCCATTACAATCGTCAAATTTTTGAATACCATAAGATTGTTTTTGAATACCAACGGACTTGGATGGACTCTAAAATAATTTTTTAAGATCCTAAACGAATACAACGTGACTTTTTTTCAATTCTTTAAAATCTTAATTGAATATTAATGAATTTTTTTTGTCCAAAAATAATTCTTAAAATCCTTTAAAATCTCAATCCAATATACCCGAGAGCAAATTTTGTTTGGACATCTTAAATTATATGAAGATATTATGCATCATAAAACAATGACTGAATAGGCAAAACCATACATATCCTAGAACTAATTACAAAACATTTTCTTGATTTCGTGATGAGAGCCTCCACACATTTTCTTAGATTTTACCAAGAAAGAATTACAAAACATTTGCATTGAGATGATATAAATACTAAAGAACAATTAACGAAAAACATTTTACGTGCTATTTAAAATCAAGATTAACACAATCAAATAAGGAAAGACTACAAAGGACTTCTTATTGATCTTTCTCAAGTAACAAGATGAAGGGAAAAAAACAAAAAACAAAGAAAGCACTGCCTAAATCATGTCTTTGAGTTCACCATTACACCAACCTAATCCAGGTCTTTCAAGATTATTCATCTATTCAAACTTTCATCACGCAAAAGCTTGGGTTTGATGCTTCTCTTTTTATTCTGACCTCCACGCTAGAGTGCTGCTTCATTGATCAAATACACGTGATAGACCAGCACTTATAGTGTCACAGGCAAGTCTAGAGAAATCCAATTTTTGAAATCTACAAATCCCTGGTAAGCATATTAAATTAGAATTCGGTATTAGATCAAGTAAGCTGATACAAATGTGTCAACCAAATTGTTTTAGACATATATACACTCACTGACTACAAATAAGAAAAACTGTACCAGATTTCTAGGGAGTTTCAGCCATGAAATTCACTTAAAATAAAGGAAACCTATTTTTAAATCTTGCGATTTAAAGTGAATATCATAATCAATTTCAAGAAGCTTACAACAGAAATGGGTGGGGTTGAGAACAAATTGCACATGGACTTATCATTGTATCCTAAGGTTCTTAACATGGTATCAGAGCCTCACCGTCCCCCGCTTTAAAAAGTGGAATTAAAATAAAAAAAAGCACAAAAAAGGTAAACCAAAAATGGACCTGTGCAATTTCCACGCTTCTAGCCTAAAAAGGCTCTTGCGTGAGGGGGCGTGTTGAGATATATAGTCCCACATTGATTAGATGGGCAACTAATATGGCCTTTATAAGGCCTTGGACACTCCCACCCTTTGAGCTAGCTTTTGGGGTGGTGTATCCTAAGGTTCTTAACACATGGCATAATTAGAATGAGGTATATTAATGCGGAGAGGGAAAATAGAACAACAGAGATTTTTCTTAGAAAATATATTAATTGATTCCAGGCGAGACCTTGAAATCATGAGGGTGCTACTTAAAATAACAATATCACACCTCAGACAAGTACCATCGATGAGCAATAATCAGAGAACATTAGAAAAGACCTTTCTTTCTTTCTTTTATCTCGATTTTATATGATATATCCATGTTTTTTGGTTTGGAGGAGGCTGGGGGGAATTAGAGGCATGGCGAATTTGTGACCTTGTGGAAGCTACGAAACATAGAAACAAGTAAGGATGAGACACAGAAGCGAGTAAGGATGAAGCTAAAGAGAAAGTAACTAGAAGCTGGTTGTAACTTATTCAACACAAATTTGTAGTTTTTTTCTCTTTTTCAAAAAGCGCACACAAACTTTAGATTTGGTAAACCAATTCATATTCTGACCAGAGTCCCCAAATTGCTCCAGAAGGGAGATCCATTCCAAATTCAACAAACAAATGTAAGCTCATACTGACAGACCACATGAAGTGCTTTACCTCACTATCACAAGCAAAAATTATATACAATAACCTTCCTTTAGTAAAGGGTCTTTTAAAAGACTAAATGAAAATTGTCCAAGGAAGCAACCCAACAATCAAAAAGGATTTAATTGATGCAACGTTAAAAGTGTGATATGAATCAGCAGCTGATGCATTATTATAATTAAAATCATGCTGTTACACAAGCAATCATTACCACAACGAGAGTGAAATTATTGGGTTCTTGCCAGAGCACATACTCCCAAAAGTACCATAGATCAAAACATTCATACTAATACTAAGTCCACAGATAAACAAAAAAAATCAATTGTTCTGCTAATTGGGAGCGTGTGCATGTAAAGCAATAGATACGCACAAATAAATACACAACATTCATCAGTCATGTCTCCTAATCCTCTTGCTAAGAATCTAGGGAAACAGATGGAGATGCTGCAATTACCATCAAAATGAGACTATATATATATATATATATATATATAAAGCACAACACATTAATATTAACACTAAACACTTAAATAACTCTGCTTGGAGTTGACAAGTAGCATCATCATCATGAAATAAGACTAAACTAAACTGACAGATGACATGTGAAGGACAGAGAACATACCATAGCATACTATACCAGAGAAGCTTCAATTTTTAATGCTACTAAGAAGTCTAGCACCAACCCGATCAAGCTGTTTTACATTTGCAACAGCCTTCAAATTACCCTCTTTCAGAAAAGCCTCAACCATAAGTTTCCCAATTTGGTGTCCTCTCTCCTCATCATCAACCACAGCAACAGCAGTAGGTCCAGCACCACTAATGGTACACCCAAAAGCCCCAGCATCAATAGCAGCCCTCTTCACACCCTCCATCCCAGGAATCAAAGGTGCACGCCTTGGCTCAACAATCTTATCAGAAGACAAAGCCTTACCCAACCCAATCAAATCCCCTTGCAAAACTGACGCAACCAAAGCACCAGCCTGGCTACAATTCCACACATGGTGAGGCATTCCAATCTCAGCAGGTAATGCTGCACGCATTTTCTTAGTTGGGGCTTCAAATTCAGGAGTCACCAACACAAAAAACAAGTCCTTTTCAATTGGGAACTTCAACTGAATCAAATCCAAGGGCTCATAACTCCTAATGAGCACAAAACCACCCATGATAGCCGGTGCCACGTTGTCTGCGTGGTAACCCGAAACCTTCTCCTCGGACTTTAAGGAAGCGAGTACGAGGTCGTGAACACCCAATTTGTTGCCGAAAATCTCGTTGACGGCGACAGCAGCAGCGGCTGCGCTTGCCGCACTGGATCCGAGCCCACTCCCTAAGGGTAAACCCTTCTCGAGAGAGAGTGAAAGACCAACGGATCGAATGCCAAGCATTTTCATCACTTCGATGGCGGCGATCCCAGCGCAGTTCCAAAGAGGGTTTTTGCTGAGCTTGTTGGGGCTGTGACCACTGATATCGGAGATGCATATCTCGCCGGGGTGAACATGTGGGTCCACCCTCAGTGAAACAATGTCACCGAGCCCATCCACGGCGCATCCAAGAAAGTCGAAGCCAGGACCGAGGTTAGCCACGGTGGCCGGAGCAAAGGCTTTAACCGATGTGTATAGGGGTTCCGGCTCCGTTTTCGTTATGGGGTTGGGGTTCGTCACTGAGAGGTTGCATCTGATTCCGAAAGTTGGGATCGTGATCGTGTTGTTGTTGTTTATGATGCTTTTCGATTTCCAATTCAGTGGAGATGGACTCAGGAAGCATGTTGCCATGGATGGTATCGTATTGGACTCTTTACACTGTCTTTCTCTCTCACAGACACAACTCTAATTTGAAGTATTTAAAAACCATGATTGAAATTTACTGTTCTTTTGTCATTGCAAAACCAAAACAAAATAGTACCTTGTTTGTTATGTTTTTCGGGAGAAGACAAATGGTCGTGCTTTTTTTGTGTGTGTGTGTACAAGTGGTCGTTTTTTATTGCCTTTTAATTAAGTGCTCCTCAGTCTTGTACTCTTGTCCTTGTCCCATTAATTGAAGTAAAATGGATATAGGGTGGGAATGTAAACTTTTATGTGACATGTGAGAGGATCTTAGTTTTAAGATATAGATCATGGATGATCTTTTTTCAACCTTTATTTTAGTAAATTCTCTCCTCATTTTTCATTTTGATGACCTGATGTCATATGAAAAAGTAGTATTAATTTATGAAAATGGATTATCTCATTTAATATGACGATGAATTCTATCATAATATGACCGCAATTAACTTTATTTCATCTAAAAACAAATAAAAGCAAATGATATTAGACATAAGCAATAGAACTTCACACCCAATGGGTGCAGCTCAGTTGGTAATTTGGCGCTGAGTTAGTGGGGTTGGATATGTGTTCGATTCCCGCTGAATGCATTCTTGGGGAGGGGGCTGAACCTTTAGCCATCACTGTTCCCCCGCACTCCGGATTAGTCTCATAGCCGGCTCAAAGAATCGAAGCTCGTGGGGATACCGGAGGGAGCCAACTCGTCTCAAAGAGATAATTAGCGTTGGGTAACTCCAAAAAAAAGCAATAGAACTTCACTATATCTCCCCATATATGGGGTTAATTGTCATAACATTGGGACGGGCCTTTCCATTATTTATGTCTTAACCTATGTCACTTAACACCACTCAAAATTGTAGTAGTTGATCCTATTTATATTTAATGATTTTAATTTTTTAAATATGAACTGTTAGATGCATGTAGATGAATACTTAAAATTGCATATAAAATTTCTTACAGTAAGAACCTTGAGGTCACCACCCCAAAAGCTAGCTCAAAGGGTGGGAGTGCCCAAGGCCTTATAAACTTCACATTAGTTGCTCATACAACCAATGTGGGACTATATATCTCAACAATATATAATATTAAAAGTTGTATCATCTTATTGCTTAACACATAGTTAGAGACAGTCCACTCCCATTCTAATTGTCTTGACCTTAGGATATCCATTTCAGAAATAGTAGTACAGCAGAATGACTTCGAAGAAAATTTCTATCAAGAGCAAGATAAATCAATTGAAGCCAAGTTTAACCAAAAGGAGCCTCTTGGGAAATGTCCATTTGTACTCTCTTGGATATGCTCCTTAAATGATTTTCTTTGGAATAAGCAATTGAAGAAATATCCTCAAGTTTTCTTTTAGACTTCTTGTGTGATATGTCTTCTTTCTCATCAACAAAATTTAGAAATGTCTGGATGCGTGCAGAGCGTGAGCTGCAACCATTAGAAGGATCAGATTTTTCAGGGGAGTTTTGACAGAATTGGTGTACCATTGAAATAAAGTAGATAAGAAGGGCCAGGAAAAATGCTATCCCACAGATTAGAAACAGGCCCCGGAAGCTATTTAATTGAAGCTGCTCATTATCAGTACTATGTAAATCACAAGCCTTTTTTGAAAGCCACTTTTCATGGATCCTCTGAAGCTCACCATTCTCAGATAGATTCAGAATAGCAGTTGACATATCAATTGCTAAAGGAGAGTCCCTAGGGAATGCCTGCCAAAACACCAAAGAAATTAAGGGACCTTATAGCTTGACAAAATTAATTAAATTCAAAACGGTAAAATTTATTAACTGCATGAAACTATGATTAACTACTAGTATAAAGATTTAGGTGTCCACGAATTGCAGTTGGGGATCAGCTACTATTGAACTTGAGCAAAAATTATGCCCAATTAACTACCATAAAGATAGTGTCTAGTGTTTCATTCAAAGAAGCTAAAGGGAAGCAAATTCCCTTTTGCTTACTTCTTTGAAAAGGGAAGCAAATTGAATACTAAAAAGAAAAAAAAGGGAAGCAAATTAAACTACCATGACAGAATTTTTATAATTGCAAAATTCAACTCAAATTGTAATTTCTTACCTCCCATTTTAGAAAAAAGAGTAAAGTCAATTTTGAGTCCCTAACAAAAAATTCGGTCCCCACTTTAGTCCATTACAAAAAAAAATTAGTCCTGAAATTCTTAGAAATTCAAAGTGAATTCATTTAGTTGAAATCGTGGTCCCTCACAAATTCAAAAAAGACTCACATTAGTTCCTCAAAAAAATTAAAATAGGTCCACTTTAAATTTCACTACCACACAACTAATTTTTTTTACAAGGAAGTAAAGTGTGAGCACCTAAAAAGGGCTTTACACTTAAAAAAATTCTTGCTTTTTTGCATTGGCAGTTAGTGCAACAAAGCACATAAAATACACCATGAAGTATTCCAGGTTTGTAGGTCCTATAAAAAAACTTCATTCAAGCATAGAGATACTCACAAATCCCCATCCACCTTTGGTGAACTCTTGGCCCCTAATTGAGAATTTGCAGTGGTTTGACAGGAAGAGTTCTACATATGGCCTTTCATCTACCACAGCTGCAACAGTTCCCCTCTCAAGAGCAATAGCATATTCTTCTGGTGAGCCAAGAGGAACAAGTCTACGTTTTGGGATGTTGAGTTCCTTGGTCAAATAGTTTTCAGCAAATGAACCTACTTGGAACCCTATAGGTTTATTGCTGGATATCAAGGTATCAATTCCTGTTATGGGTGAGGACAGCTGTTGTACAGTGAGAATTGATGTCAAGCTTGCAGTGTAGCTTGAATTGATTATCAGAACCACAAAAAGCCAGATTATCAATACAATACGACCAAGTGGACTAACTATGTTTTCTCCTGAAACAATAAAGAAGAAGGTGGTTTGTTTCTAATTACGAAGATACACAGGAATATGTTTCATGAATATGACATGAACTGTCAAAATGATTGGACTTACTGTGAGAAAAGAACAGAGTTGAGAAACTAAACCTGCAACAGCATAAAAATATGAGGAGTTATGTCGAGCTATATATGTACACAAGCTACCAGAGTCAATTTGGAAATAAAGTAAACTTGACTTGATATTATCTGGGAGGATAATGAGATTGAATGTAAAGCAGGTTTTCTTGAATAATTGGGTTGCGCAAGGAATCCCCAGTAGACAAGTTTTCTTGAATAATTTTACGTTGCATGACACTTAAGGAACGATTAGTAACCACATGAGATTGCTAAATGCTGAAACAAGAAGATTGTAATAGAAAACCAATCCAGCGGTAGAGAAACAATTAGTTTAAGATAACAAAAGAAATTTAAGAGAATAAATGTTTAGCTTTTGTTAGAACTAGATGTACAGGACCAGAAAACTGAACACTTTAGGTAGAAGCAAGCATACATAACCAAACCGATTTGACACTTCATCTGTGATTTATTATCAGCTCATATAATCTGTTTATGGATCCTCTTGTTATTGATATACGATAATGACTATGTTATTGATAATGACTATGATATGGATCCTTTTGTTATTGATATTCGATTTGACTCTACATCTGCGTTTTCTAAGTCATTGTGTTGGGAAGCAAGTATCTCCGGCAAGGACTTTATATATATATATATAACGTTTAATGTTTGGGAAATGATACTCTTATGCTACATAAGAGTACATTATTTTCCTACACTAATTCGTTTTCCGTGCTAATTAATTTTTCTTTTCTTTTTTTATATAAAATATGGGACCCACATTTAACTTCTCTCTACTTTTTTTATCTCCTACAATCCTACAACATAAAAAAATTTAAACCCTTAATGTTTCTCATTGCTAGAGATAAAATTATATTATACACACATAAAAATGTGTGGAATCCATATGAAAAAAAAAAAGAGAAAGAAAAAATATGAACCCCACATATTTTTTTTGTATTATCTCCTCCCATATATAGAGTCATTTTGGGGTTACTTTCATATCCAGTGAGGGGAGAAACACTAAACCCATATTTTATATTTATGTATTGTGTGTTTAATGGCTTACGAGTAGAAATGTATAATTCAATAATAAGAAAAGTACTTACCAAAGAATTGTAGCTATCTGTTTCTTTGGAGGCCCCCGAAACTCATCATTTGTTCTATGTTCAAGAATCCACACCACTGCTCCAACAATAAGGAAAAAAAGTGCAGTGACACCCCACATGAGTGGAGTAAATGGTCGCAAGAAAGCCCAAGCACTCGACTTCAATCTTTTTACTGGAGCAACCACAACTAGCCCTGACTCTATATATGGTTGAGTAAAATCAACAATCCTAGTTCGGTCAGTGACAATTGTAATGTCACCTATAGCAGCATCAAAAGCCTGTAGCTACAAGCGCAATACAATCAATAAAAGCAAGATAATTATCATAAGGTAACAAAAGGTTTGTAATTTCTTTGAGTATCACTCACATCAGCAGTAATCATATTGACAAGATCATTGTAGCTTGGGTTCTTATGCCCATCTCCAAACAGAATGAACCTATGTTGAACTGCATATGGAAGCAATTTTATGGCTGCCAGGAATATATCTATGCAATATCCGTGAACTGCATTGGTGCCATTTATTTGTGAGACCATGTCCTGGTAACTAACTCTGTTGGGGACTCCAATTCTGAGTTGCCTTCCATTATTTAGAACCCATCCACGAGGCTTTTCTGTTGTATTTCCAGGCCATATGACATCATATAGATGTTGGTTTGAAATTGAACGATTGGCAGGCTTTGTGTAAAGTTTCTCAGGGGTTATCACAGAGAGACCAGAATAATTAGACCAGTATCCAATACTCCTATAACCAGTAGCAATTACATTGAGGATGTCATATGATGGATGTAAAGGGGATCTATCTGAACCAAATTGAATAGGTCCAGTCAATCCAGTCATATTAATGTGCAATATGTTATCAAGTAACTGTTTCCCTCCATCAAAAACGCTCAAAGCACCAAGATCAAGAGTATCTCCCCTCATACCAATTAAATTTGTATTATTAGAGAATGAAATGGTACCATTCTGATCAAAAAATGATTTTAGTGCATAAGCAATCATCCAAACAGAATCATAAGCATAGAGTCCATATGGGTTTAACCCAAATGAGCCATTACTTATCTGTTTCCACCTTGAGGTAAATACCTCTTTTTTTCTTGATTGAGGGGTGTGAGGGCGAAGAGTAAGTACTCCTTGAATTGTGTTATAAGAATTTAAAGGTAGTAGTGAATTTGAACTTGAATCCAAAATAGTTGATAACCAAGCAGTAGCTATCCAAACATACCCTTTGCTTATCATCCCTAGTTTTTGAGCCACATCAAAAACCAAGACACCTGTTTTTGTGAAGGTGTGTAAAACAATTATTCGAGCTTCCACACTTTGAATCTTCACCAACTGATCAGCAACATCACTTGGACTTGCGGTTGGATCAGGTGGCAGTGCTGCTTTGTAAGATATCTTACAGCGCCTCTCTGCAAGTTTGTCCCCTAATACAGTTATCCCATTTCGACTCTGATCATCATCACTATAAACTACAATGATTTCTTTCCAACGAAAGTAACTAATTATGTCCGCAACTGCAGTCATTTGGAACTGATCATTGGGTGCTGTTTGTACAAAATAAGGATGCTGAAGAGGTGTTAAGGTGGGATCCAGAGCAATGAAGGACAATAGAGGAACATGCAGCTCATTTGCAAGATGCGAAAGAGTATGAGCCATTACTGAACTTTGTGGACCAATTATAGCTACAGTGTCAGTCATCAAGAACTTAAGGGCTGTCATCACATAGAGAAGTGTAAAAGCTACATGTTAGTTAACAACAACAAACAAACAGAAACATAATAATGCATCCTCTCGTGTCTCATGAAAAAAATCTCAATTATTTAGTCATAGATTTACTGTCACAATTTTAATGACAAAACTCGTAAAACATAAAGTGATTATTATGTTAAAATGAAACACGAGATGATCTATGCCCATCAACAAAACAATAAACTAGCATAATAATTACGTTTACACTATACAGGAATGAGATATATATATATAGAAAGAGGAAGTGAATGAATACCAAACTAAACTAGTATGAACGTAAACAAGGAAATTAAGATAAGGAAAAGATACCCCCCATGAAGCCAAGAAAACCACTGAAGTTGGAATCATGAATGGTTATGGATAATTTACGTCCACCAAGGATGCGAGGATCAGAATTCACATCTTTCTCAGCAGCTTCGATGGCCATTTTGGAAACACGTCCGTTTATAGTTTTTAAAGTGAAAATGGCACCGATTTTGACGACATCATGAGTGGAAGCTGAAGCTCCTACCCTTGGTTCTCCTCCATGCAATAGGATCAATGTTAATGCAAAGCATACGAGATTCATCAAGAAGCCATGATAGGCAAGCTGCATCATTATGTATGAACAAAAGTTGGTAGGAGAAAGGAGAGAGAGCAAAGGAAAAGGCACTACTAGTATAGCTAAATGGTTGATAAGGCTGTGTTTTAATGGAATTATAGACAAAGTGACAGTGAGCACTTTGTATGGTATGTTTTGGTTTGGTGTGTGGTTATCATTATTTATGGTATGTATAGGTTCCTATGGATTAATCTGGAATTCGAAGCGAGTAAAAGATTAAGATTTTAAACTTCTTCAAAAAATAATATTTGAGAGAATAAAACATATGCTCTAATCATCACCTGTTCATGCATCAACTGAGCTAACATTTGGTGGTTATCATTATTTAACAAGGGAAAATAAATGAAGGAATGTGGCTGTGACTGTTGAACAATTCCGTGAACAGAATAGAAGATAGATAGGCTTTTAGGATGAGATAGTGAAAGCATAAACTCAGAGGTGGAGGTGGAGTGTGATGGAGTATTCACTAGGTAAGAGTACCACCTCCACTCGACTCCACCACCATAGCAAGTGCTTAAGGATGTGCTATGTCAAATGCGCGTGCCAAGTGCAAGTGGGTGCACACTGCACACATTCCACGTGAGTAAAGTTTCATTCCTCATGGTAAAATTAAGAATAAGGGAACTCATGTACCATTAAGAAAATATACTTTAAAAAATGGATCGAACAAATATAATTAGAATGATGTATGATATATGAGATAGGTTATTTTACTATTTTTTTTTTTTTTTGTGCCCACCACTTTCTAACATCGTTAGATTAGAATTTCAACCAACAGTGTTGGAGAGTGGTAGGTAGAGATAAGTAGAAAAAAAATAAGTAAAATAACTTATCCCTTAATATATAATAAAAAATTGTGAGTGTAACGACCGACTGCTTCAAAAATCAATGACTATCCCCATATACTAATACTAGACTTTTCAGTGTGCTTTTTCCTCACTTGCACACTTCCCGAGAAAACTTCCACATCCCAGAATTGCTCCAAGTCAAGCACGCTTACTATGGAGTTCTTCCGTTCCGGGCTACCGAAAAGTAGATGCATCTCTTGTTAGTATAGGTAGTACCAATTAATTCTTATATGTTATCTCAAACTGTACAGTCTTATACCTTCACAGTCTTTGGAATCCCTATCTTTCAGGTGTCGATTCGATTCATTCATGCATGTAACCCTTCGCTGGAAGCATGTCAGGGGTCGCTCCTTGTCTGTACCTCTTTGCACCGTCGATCATTCTCCGCCCTCGTCAACACTCGGGATATTACACAGAGCAAAAGGTTTCATTTCTTTCCTAAAAAAGTTTGTATTCAAATTCGCAATAAGGTTTTTTATTTCTTATTTTTAATTTTGAAAATTAAAATAGTTAGAAATATTATTTTAAAAAATCGAGTTTATATTTTATTCCAGATAAAATATGTTTAGCACAAAAATAAAATAAAAAATATTTTTTTCTAGCACAAAAATAAATTTTATATTTTATTCCAGATAATGAAGTGGGCCAAAATAAAAATTAGCACAAATAAGAAATAGTTTTTTTTTCTTAACATATTATTTAATAAATACTAATCGTAGAATGTATCATTAGCATTAATTACACATTATTTATCAAAAACACTATTTATTGAATATTCTCTTGCACTCTTTGGGAATGAAAAATTATATTATTAAACATATTTTTTGTTTAGCATAAAAATAAAATAAAAATTAATTTTCTAGCACAAAAAAAAATCATAATAAGAACACATGGGGACTATTTAACAAGCTAATGTAGCCCAATTGTAGCACACACAAAAATCATAATAATTGTCATACAAACCCCAACCCAAAATCTTAAAGCATTGGATTGGATGGAAACACATAGTAGGAGCCCATTATTAACAAGCTAATGTAGTCCAATTAAAGCATGTGAGCCCATCACCATGTATCAATTAATGAGTCCTTCAATTTATATAGACTTTACTTAAGTGATTACTAACCAATATGGGACTTCATCATACTTAAATATCTCAATATCATATTCATTTACTTAATCTATTACCAACTTAACACTCATCATACTTGAATTTTCAACCATATAAACGAGTCCAAAAAAACAAGACATGAGCAGCAGATTGTCATGTTTCATTTATTTTAATTTCTCAATCGTGGGAGCCCGGTTTTATGGGATGGGATGAGGATGTCGGAATGTTTGGTGGTTAATGCATTATCCAATTGAGTTATATGCTTATACAATCGGTGCACAGAAGAAGTTTTGAAGTTTGCTTTGCTTTTTATGATCCGTGTTTTATGGCGCTGCCTGAGTGACTGCATTGGTTTAAGGTTGTATAATACGAAGTCAGTTTCAGGTCAATAGAAAAAGTAGAAACTGCATTTGTTTAATGTTGTATAATACGAAGTGAGTTTCTGCACTGCTTTGTATAATGTAGAATTTTTATTTCTTTCATTTACGGGCACATTCGAATGCAAATTGATATTTTGTGTCTCAGGAACTCCCCGGGGAACAGCATAGCTTCCCCTTTTAAAAGTTTTCAGGTAAATATCATTTTTCGAGACAACAATAAGTGTAGAAACTATTCTTATTGGAAAAGCTACGTTTGCTTTTTCAGCACCAATAAAATTCTATATAATAAATGTAAAAACTGGCTAAGATGGGAGTTGTCTAAGGGGTTAAATTTTTTCCATTAAATCTAACAACTCAATTGACAATTTCATTGTTTACCACAGTTCAATGAAGTTATTCTACCCAAATACGATTTAAGTTTGCTAACTGATCAACCAAACCCATTCGGACTGCCCGATGAACAGTCGCCACGAAGTAAGAACAACCCGAGTGATAGGATGAAGTTGGATTTAATTAGAGAAATTAAGTTCATGTTTTGCTTCACAATATTAAATTAAAAAAGGCACATAATAAAATTCCGCTCGTTAAACAACACTCAAATGAGAAAGTAATCAATACCACAATCTCTTCAGATGGAGATCTCTTCAACGGGATTCGGGAAAAATTATCAACCAACAGCCAAAAATATAAACAGACCTTCACTTTCAATTTAACAAAGGAAGTGGGATTGCTGGGCTAGACACAACCCCGCGCCCTCCCCAAAGAAAAAGTGAGGAACAAGGAATACACAGGGTTACATACAAAAGAATACATTACAAATAAGAGGGTTCCAAATAGCAACACAAAAAACCCACTCCAACAAAGCCAACAGTAGGAAGGCCTGAAGACAGAAAAAATGCACGTACGGTAGAATTACTAAAACTAAAAAGCACTCCAATTATCAGATCCTCTTCTTGGAGTTTGACTTTCTGATGAAGTCCTAAACGGCCCAGAGCCAAAGGGATCCGAGTCATCAAAAGCTGGAAAGCCATGAACATGATCAAAATCCGTAGTGCTGCGGACTGAATCAAATCGTTCTGGGGGCCCCTGAGCAGGTAAAGATACACTATCATGTGTTCTGAAAGAATCAAATCTTGAGAAGCTACTGTCAAAAGCAGTTTCTGACCACTCTTTGGGCCTTTGGGGTGAGCTGCTTGAACTGAAAAGGGGAGTGCTTGGAACAGAATCATCAAAACTGAATCCACTGCTCCTCTGGAAGAGATTGCTAGCCTGCGGTGAACCTGTTCTAATTGGGTTGAGGCCCAGTTCCCCAGAATCAAAGAAATAGTTGTCTCCAGCTCTGTCAAGATCTCTCTCCTGTAAAAACAAATGTCCGAAGGTGATCAATAAGCTGCTACTATATCAACATCAACATCAACATCACCTTTATCCCAAACGAATTGGGATCGGTGGTAGATGAACTCAAATGAAAAGTACAAAGGGATAAAAAAAAAAATTAATAATAATAACAATAATAATATATATAAATATAAAAGTAAAAATAAAAGGAGTGTAAAATAATAAAATAAATAAATAAAATAAAAAAGAAGAAGAGGAGGAGGAAGAAGATGGGGAAGGGGAAAAGAAGAAGAGGGGGGAGATGAAGATGAAGAGGAAAAGGACTAAAAAAGGACCATATGGAATATTGGAATAACAACGGGTCTAACCCTCTACCATGCAAATAGTTTTTCTCCATTCCGTCCTAAGGCACATCGTCCGCCAATCTATATCTCACTCTATTAAGTCTTGTTTTACTACCTTCCCCCAAGTAAGTTTCGGTCTACCTCTACCTTTCTTTGTATCGAGCTCCTGGTAACAAACTTTTGTTCTTACGGGAGCATCCAGAAGTCTTCTCATTACGTACCCAAACCACCTCAATCTATGTTCTCTCATCTTTTCAGCCACAGGTAGTACTCCTACCTTACGTCGAATATCTTCGTTTCTCATCTTATCCATCCTCGTATAACCACACATCCATCTTAACATCCTCATCTCTGCTACTCCCATTTTGTGTGCATGTTGCCTATGTGCTGGCCAACATTCAGCTCCATATAACATTGTTGCTACTGCTACTGTATAAATAACCATTAATCAAATACACACAAGCAACTTGAGTTGTTAAATTTAAGAAATACCAAGTACAGACGGGAAGGGTTCGGTAAAATTGGCATAGTTGTGATACTTTTCATCATTCCTAGAATATGTTCAATTTATATGCCTTTCTCATTCGATTACATTATTCTTTATCCTCTTACTCCATCAATCCTTTGCAAACTGGCTTCCATATTTTTGCAAAGAATGACACGTAACCCTTTGATTTTAAGACAAATCATAAAATCTTATACAAGCTCTAAATTCCTAATAACCAAATCACCATGACTTCATATCCAGTCATAAGTATCATGTAACCATTGAGATCTCCTGAACCTCCATGTCATATTCATAATAACTATATGGAAGCTACTTACCTATTGCTGGGTTTGATTGTAATTTATAAAAGTTAACAAAAAACCTGCACAATCTTCATTTATCTAGAAAAAGCAACTTAAAATGTTAAATTTAAGAAATACCAAGAACAGACGGGAAGGATTCGGTAAAATTGGCGTAGTTGTGATACTTTTCATCATTCCTAGAATATGTTCAATTTATATGCCTTTCTCATTCTGATTACATTATTCTTTATCCTCTTACTCCATCAATCCTTTGCAAACTGGCTTCCATATATTTGCAAAGAATGACACATAACCCTTTGATTTTAAAAGACAAATCATAAAATCTTATACAAGCTCTAATTTCTAATAACCAAATCACCATGACTTCATATCCAGTCATAAGTATCATGTAACCATTGAGATCTCCTGAACCTCCATGTCATATTCATATTAACTATATGGAAGCTACATACCTATTGCCGGGTTTGATTGTAATTTATAAAATCTTCATATATCTAGAAAAAGCATATGATAGGGTGCCACAAGAAAACCTATGGAAGGCTAGAGTGACTAAGTAGTTTGTATTTCATATAATAAATTATAAACTATACGTAAGATAGGGGAACAAATAGTATTCGAACTAATGGAGGTGTCCACAAAAGATTTCCCTGTTACAATAGGTTTGCACCAAGGTCAACTTTGAATCCACCTTTTTATCTTAAGAAATTAATAGTGTGTGAACTAATGGAGGAGATGTAATATAACAACAGACTTGCACCTTAGGTATGAACTAATGGAGGTGTCCACAAAAGATTTCCCTGTTACAATAGGTTTGCACCAAGGTCAACTTTGAATCTACCTTTTTATCTTAAGAAACGAATAGTGTGTGAACTAATGGAGGAGATGTAATATAACAACAGACTTGCACCAAGGGTCAACTTTGAGTTCATACCTCTTTATCTTGGTATTGAAGGTATTACTGGGCACAACCAAGAGTAAATGCCTCAATGAATACTTGCTACAGATGATAAGAGTCAAGAGAAGGAATAAATTCTAAACTTGAATATGGAGAAAGACCATGGATGATGATCAATATTTTCGGGTCTCCAGATTTCAAATTTTATGTAATTTATTCATTTCAAATCTTTAAAATAATGTTTTTTCATGAATTAGGAGAAGTTTGGTGTATTTGAGCCTTGATGTGTATGATTGTGTGCTAATAATCTCTTTCCCAATATGCATACTTCTAATGGTGATTTTGTACTACCGTGTTGACTGTTCCCAGTGGTGACCTTCTCCTGCTCCTGCTATGCATCTTTCCAACATTATCTTTTCTTTCTTGGCTATGCAACATTTTGACTAACTCTTCTAGATGAGCATCATCATTATTTGAAAGTCATTGTTTCGGAAGCCAATTAACATTTTGTGATTTGGTAACCCTGTAAAAGTTTCAAGTCAATATGTTTTTAAATTGGTTTTTGTTAAGTGGGTTTATTTGTAACAAACTGAGAGCTTAGTAAGCTTCAACTTGAGGGAAAACATTAGAATATTGAATAATTAATAGTGTAAGGAATCTTATCATGTTAAGAGTAATGGTACTAGTTATACTATATTTGTACTTCCTAGAATATTAGTATAAATAGGTGTATTACACTCTTAGGTTAGTTTTTTCAAAATATTATGACAACGTCACAATCCAGTAATTTATATACACTCTTAATTCCTCTCTTTTCCAATTAATTGCTATAATTTCAAAAACCATCACTGGTCATAACAAGGTAGAATAAAGCAGGAGAAATTTAGAGAACATATACACAAAACAAATGTTTTGAAAAGAATTTTGCTGTGACAATACTTTCAAAGTTTGACATTCCCATACCTCCTTAACGATGCTATTGGCATTGAATCCCCAAACTGAATCAATATCATCATTAGCGTCAAAGGTTCCCCAATTTGGTTCATCAAAAATTTTGTCTCCAGAAAACAAAGACTTGACACCGCTACGGTCACTGCATCAAGATTATACATAAACAATTATTTTGCAAGATCATAAGATCTATATCATGTGAAAAAATGAAATGAAGTACATATTAGAATCCGTTGACACTGCTGTATACCAAAACCAACCTTAAACCAATAAACAACCTTTTAAACCCACAGTTGAAGTGAAAGTCCATATCATGCCCAACATGCTCATAAAATTCACATTAATCCAACATTGTTTTCTATTCCATCAAATGTCTTCATGTATATTATAACCATTTCATCATATACTTGGCTGGTTATTTTGATTTTCTAATATTTGGCATTTAAAACCTACATTAGCATGCTGTGATGAGGTGAAATGCAGGTTGAGGCAATACCCCAAAAAACTGTGAGGGTGCCTCATGATTATTGCCATATCAATCATAAGACACATTACAAAGTCTTTAGAGTTGAATGAAATACTACAGAATAATAATTCTTAATCATACATGGATTATTGGATTCATTCTAATATATAGACCTAGGTAAATAATTACTTTCCTAATATAATCAGATAGAATCTTTTGAAAATTAAGAAATGCAAATATACCATCCTCGTATTCTTTCTCTCTCTCTAAAGAATAAGAGAGGTGTTGAAAATTAAGAAATGCAGATATACCATCCTTGTGTAAGCATTATGATATGATTCACATCCCATTTTCATTATGTTCCATTTCCTATTCTTGCAGATCTGCAATTAATTTTCCTTTATTTATGAATTTTTAGAAAAACTAACATTTTTTGCCCAATAGATTGAGTCAAAAAGAAACAAGTTAAATCAGTAATGAAATCTAACAAAAGCCAAATGCATCCTTTCAAGTTGCAAAAATACTAGGAGTGAAAGAGAGAAAGGAAAAGGGTATGATTGGGTCAGCAGCAAAATGATCAGATGAAGGAAAGAGAGAGCAAAGATGTCTCAACTCAAATGGTTTTTTGGTCAAGTTGGAAAAATGGGTATTTTGTCCCAAGTAAAAAAGTGGAGGATGGTGACCTCCACATGAAGGTTAGGAGGTGTGTGTATCATAGTTTTACTATTCAGCAATGATTTACATCAAAAATTATGGTGGCTCAAAACCTTTAAAGTGATAATATACAGTAAATTGTGACTCTTAACTACATCATTTATTACAGATGACAATTATCAAGGACTCACTTAAAACCTTAAATTATTTGGTGCTCTCTAAACACACCTTCACACAAAAGTTCTTTTGAGTTGTAGGAATAATGCACAAGCTCACTTTACCTCATGCCGAAGTAATAATATGATTAAAAAAATGAGGCAACAAGGATCAACCACCTAACCATCCGGTCATAGAGGATCTAAAACCATATCATGTACTAACTCACCTAAAATCTTAAGTTATTAGGTGGAGACCTAGGAGTCTCTAATAATAATAAACACCATTTTTATAAAATAATAACAATAAAAGGTTACGGGTTCGAATACGGGAAACAGTCTTTTAGCAAATATGCAAGAGTAAGGCTACAAGCATACTCTCACCCCTACTCTCGCTAGTTGGGATTTCATAGGAAGTGATTTTTTAATAACAATAATAATAATTATAACAAAAAACACAATGACCTTCCAAAGGCATAAAGAATATTAACAATCAACTAAATAAGATAACGCCTCCAATAATTTTACAATCAAATGAGTAACAGACCAGCATTTGAAAAAGTGACGTACAAATCTTAGAAACCATACCTTTGTGTTTCTTGTATGGTATCTTGATCACGGAGTGAGCTATCTTCACCAGCAGTCTTCATAATATCAGAATCAGCAAAGTACTTATGGGGGCTTCCGATAGCACTGCTTGCAAATGGACTATTAGGAGCACTTTTTGCAGATCCATCTTCACTTTTATTATAAACAGATCCATTGCCAATTTCCCGCTCATCTGTAGTCTGGGACTTTTCTGACTTATCATCACCCTTAGGTGAAGCTGCAAATGTTGGACTCTGGGGCTTTTCTAACTTATCATCACCCTTAGGTGAAGCTGCAGATGTTGGACTGTCAGTTTCCAAAGCTTTCCTGTTCACAGCTGACGGCAATTTTTGTTTTGGAGGTGCGATGATGTTTTGCACATCAAGAGTGAGTTCTTTGACAAAAGTAAATTCTGCTAGAGGAAAGCATAGAAAATCACCAAGAAGTTTATTCAGTCTTTTCCAACACTCTCCAAAAGAGAACAGATGCAGACAAGAAAATAGAGAAATAGCAGTTAACCATAATTTTAATTCCACCAATACCATATAGTTTCTCTAAAATATAATATACAACTATTTTTGGATTGTCCTGTCTCCTGAACTATTGAACCGATCAAAATTGATCCCTTACATTTAGACAAACAGCTACACCGAGAAAATAGTACCATATCCTAGTACGACTAATTATAAGCAAACAGAAAATGTGACAGAAACTAAGATCTGTACGTGTATAGAAGAGAATGTTATACATATAGACAAAGACCGACCAGCTCCTGCTGGTTCCTCTAATGTAGCACCCAATTGTAACATTCAAGTATGAAATCCTATTTCTTTAGTCTCTCACCCGTTAACTATTTAGTTACCACGAAGGGCGTGTCTAAGATCAGACTTGGATCAATTTGCTTGGACTTCTAATATTATTATTTTAAGCTAATAAAAATATCAATGTGTCATGAGCAGGCATGCCTTAAAATTCAGCTTTTGCATCAATGTTGCAATATCTTCTCTGATGTGAAGAGATATTGTTTGCATTTATGTCCTTAATTATTATCTGTGTATTCTTTCATTATTTGTATTTGCAAATTATCATTTATTAGATAGAAATTTGTCACCTTAATTGTAGTTATCAATTCTCTTTAATTAGAGGAGAATGTCGGTTGTACATCTTGTATATACATAGGCTGTTTGCCCCTGGTAAAATATAGGAAAATTATTCCAGAACCATTATTATTCAGGGTATCAGAGCAATCTTATGGAAGCTCTGGTGCAAATGTCCTTTTTTATCGAAACCTAAGGCCTTCAATGCCACCCATTAACCATTATCACATCACGTGTCTGAATATCAGAAAATACCTTCCTTCTTTATTTTTATGTAATTAACAGATTATCTAGATCTAATCAGGATAATTTTGGATACCTTTATCTTCAAGCTCATCCCAATGCTCATCCCAGTCAGCAGCTCCTTCTTGGATACCAGGTTGCCAGCCTTAAAGGATAAAATTGAGTGAGGCCACAGAATGCAAGAAAAAACATTAAACGCACAGAATTATAACATACTTCAATATAAAAATATACTAGGGGGGAGCATATGGGACTGGCAGGCAGAGCACCACAAAGCATAGTTATCAAATGCGGATTGCGGCATGTCGCGGCCAACCCCGAAAAACGCTATAGCGTTATAGCGGGTTGCGGTTGCGGAAATAGCGGAATAGATATATGACAGAAATAATAACAAAAAGAAACATTTTTTAAAGGCAGAGATAGCAGAAGTGACAGAGAGAGAGACGGATAGACTAAAAAACTCTTAAATTTTTTATGTTACACATTTAAATTTAGGACAAAATTGACATTTTGCCTTATAACAGCAATATAGCCGTAATTTGGCCGCAAATGCCATCGCAATGGCCGCTATTGCGTTCCGGTGCGGCGTGGTTTCTTGCGGAGAGGCACCGCAACGCCCATCCGGCGCGGCTTGCTGCGCAATTAACTACTATGCCACAAAGCAAAGAGAAATGACAGGACACAAATAAAACAAGTAAAATGAGAAAACATGATAATTGTATCAAGAGACTAACAATACATTTAGCAAGTGAACAAAAAAGAAGAAATTTCATTTAACAAAATGACGAGCCAATTTGCAGACTATAAACAGTTTTCTGAGCTTAATTAAAATCATGGAAGATAAATGAAATTGTAAAGAAACAGAAAACCAACAACTAAAGACAGTTTTCATAAGAATATTAAAGAATAAGCATCACTTTATAGAACACCACCATGCTATTTTCAATTTGTGTTTCAAAGAGACAATGCATCATCAACATCACCTTTGTCCCAAACTAGTTGGGGTCGGCATTTCGAAGAGACAATAAATCAATTAAATAAAATATATTCAAAATGTGTAGCTTATCTTGCATACTGTTATCAGAAACATCAGCGATTGTCAAGTTCCCTTCTTTTCACATAATCAATGCATTATTCCAACATTGGATAATAATTAAAGTAGCAACTATTACATAGAAACACATAAGTGTCAATGGCAATTCATCATTATATTATATTGTAATTTAAAAAAAAAAAAAAATTGCACATCATAAAAGACTAATAATAAGGGACAAGAGTTTTGTAAGATTATACAGAGCTTATCCATACAGAACCATGCCACTAAATTAGTTAAAGGTTGCAAAAGAAAAGCTGAATAAACTGTATATGATAAAAGCCACTTCGTAAGGTAACCTGTTTCAAGTTGTTGCATTAGTTCAAATAATTTTCATACTGATTCAAAACCAGTACTCCAGCAGCTGAAGGCTACTACGTCAAATTAAAAAAATAAAACTGATCCAAACAAAAACAAATTCAACAAATACCATATAACAAATTTATAGGCATGCAAAAGACTTGAGAATATCTGAAAGGATATAATAACAAAACCAAATATAAGTTTGAAATTACCAAAGGGTAGCTCAACTAATGTTGTGGGCTTTGCACGTAATCCATACTTCTTGCACCGCTCATTCAGAGATTTCACCAGCTCATCAAGCTCTGATTGGATACGATAAACATGAGCCTGAAAATTGCAGATGGAATGGATGAGAAATGAAAACAATTTCTCAAGATTGATGTGCAAACCTGGTAATATTAAATGTACCTTTAGAGTGTCATCGGCCTTTCCATCCTGTTCCATCTTGACAATTGCTTGATACAATTCAATTTTTTTCTCCTACACAAATAAATTGACAGTAACGACACAAAATAGGCAAAAAATAACAAGCTTTTAGCATGTATGCTGATATGCTATCAACTGAAGAAAAAGCTGTATATCATTGTACCTGTACGTCACGAAATGTGGCTTCCTCAGTAGTTAACTTGGATGATAAATCTCCAACTTGCTTATATTTATCTTCATATTTCTTTGCTAGAATCTCAACCTGAAATTAATATATTGAGCAAATGATAAAAATTATGGTTATGGAGGTAATAAGAACACAAGCAATTCTTAAGAAAGATACCTCGTGTTTATCAGCAGATATCCTTTCTATGACCTCGTTAAGACGATTGTCACATCTACTCTTGTATAGAACCTTTTGCGGTAAAAAGAACAAGAAATTTGTTTAGAAAAGGAGAAGAAAAAAAAAGGAATATTAACCTGACATTATTAACCATAAGCAAAACAAAAAAGGGGCGAAAGGCAATTTTTCTATGTTCTTCTCTTCTAGGTATCCACAGTATTATTATATATAAGACACAAAGGGATCCGACCTGTATTTGCAACAGAACATGTCTATTTCCTAGGTATCTTTTTTTATGGACCAGTAGTTCCTATGTATATGGAGAAGAAGCCAAAATCTGAAAGATAAGGCAAACCATCTATTAATGTGCAACAATTCAGTAAAAGACCTTTCCAGGAGCCCATTTTTCACTTCATTAAAATTAATAGGATACAGAAACCCAAGAAGTAGATAGTTGTCTATGTAACTAAGTTATGTTCAGTAGACCTATAGTAAGAAATGATTAGATTTGTGAATGACTATGTGATATTTACAATAACAATAATGGCAAGGGATGTAGAATATGTTCTTAGATATACTTAAACAATAGCCTATGTATATTTTGCATCCTTAAAGCTTCGCATGGGGAAGGATCTTGGCAAGATCCCTTCTTCCTGAAGTGCAATAAATCATGATGGTAAACAATTTTTCTACCAAATTACATTTCACAATTACTAGTTACATCAGTACATCTATGTGGCTCAGCCTTGCAAATCAAGATACAGAATAAATGTAAACAAATCACCTGTTAACATCTAGAAAAGACACTTAAAACAGAGCAATTAGACAATATATCAAACATAATAGAGTTTTAAGAAGATACAAACGAAAAATAGTAAGGAAAATACTCACAAGTTCCTGCATTTTTGCACGGTAGAATTCTATTTTCTCTCTGGACTCCACAATTTCCTTTTCAAGTTCTACCACCTGCAGTTAACAAAAAGAATAAAATGATAAGAATTGTCAGTGTTCAATTTGAAACACAATAGAGTCTAATCAGGCACACATTATATGAGCTGAAATAATGATAAGCATTCCAAAATTACAATCTAGAATGTGAACTTTCTGTGCAATCTTCAGAGATACCAGTAACAAAGATAGAAGTGATGCAAGAAACAAAGATAGTATAGGAACCTTCTTATCAGCTTCGGTTGCTTCTTGAAACTTTGAATTAATAGAAGTTTGCTCATCTGAACTCAGCTGATTTATGAGGTGCTTCTCCAAGACTGGAACTCTGGACTTCGGCTGCTTGTTCTGAGGTTCTTCATCAGGCTGAGGGACAACAGCCGGCCTTGGCGGCCGACCTGCAGCAGGGTTTACTTGTCGGGCACCAGAACCAGTCATCCCTTGTTGTTGTAGAAAACCTTCCAAGGATAAAAAGGGGGAGAGACACAAAATATGAGAAGAAAATATTTTCCATGCGTGTGATTCCTTATAACCAAAAGAAGAAGGAAAAAAACTGCTAATTCTTGGAAACACACCTGATGGGTTCCCCCAAGTTACAGGAGTGTAGAGAGTGGGAGGTTGACCAGCAGGTGGTAAATCAAGCACAATGTTACTTGGTAGTACTCCTGGAAGAGCACGTCCTTCTCTGTGTCGCTCCATTAGGTACAGCGCAATACAAAACTCCCTGAGAGAAAGCATGCTATCATTATCTTGATCAGATAAGTCCCAGACCAGCTGTAAAACCTCTGAAAAATATAAAACATGGTATAAAAATAACGGTCAGGGAATTAGCTAGCCATTGAAAAGTAAAACACATGGAGGACGTGAAAACTAGAACAATAAAACAGAACCCCCCTCCGCACCCCCAAAAGACAAAAAGCAAATTCTATCAAATGCAACCTAGATTCCATATTAGGTGTAATAAATCATATTTAAACAGATTGCCTACTGCATGTGCAGCAAAAGCACTAGACAAGAAGAAAATTAAAGAAAGCATTTTAAGCCTGCTGTCCTAGCAAAACAGTAAGGAAGTAGAAGTATAAAAAATATACCCCTTGGTAATCTCCAACTAAGAAACAAGTTCCGGGCCTGTTCCCCAGTAATTTTCCCATCTCTATCCGTGTCTACTACCATGAATACTTTTGTATATTTCTGAACATCAGTCGGAGTCATCCTTGGCCAGAAAGATTGTGCCTGACCGGAAGCAGAATCTTGCAATCTCGCTGGAAGTCCAGCTGAATTCATCATATTACGTGTCTGGTGCGAAGCATGCTGATTTTGTTTCACCACCGGTTGGGTCTGCTGAAGCTGTGCACCAACAGGCCGGGTTGCAAGTGAGCTCTGTGAAGCAGGAGGTGCACCAGGCCTACTAGATTGCTGGTTCCCTCCAGATACAGGAACAATAGCTGAAGAAAGCAGAGAACTACCAGATGAAAATCCTTGCGGAGAAGAATCTTGCTTTGGCTGAAATGAGCTAGCTGAGAACATATCCCCCCCAAAAAATGAATCAGAACCAAAACCGTTCACAGAATTATCCACTGATTTAGAATCCTTAACCACTTGATCTGATGGCTGTGTGCCAGAGGCAGGATATTGTCTAGGTGACTGTGCAACATTTGATCCAGACATTCCAAGCCCAAACATGTCCTGTGTTGATGCGGGACCGCTTCCTCTAGCTGCAACTGGAGAGGAAGTTACTTCTGGAGCTCCACCCATCTTGCCAGTGGACCCATAACTTGAGACACCGAGGGCTTGAGGTCGAATTCCACCAACACCCACCACTCCAGAGATTCCTTGAGTGGTGGCAACACCGGGTGCTAGATTAGGAGCAGAAGCAGAAGCAGACAAATTTTGCAGAGGCCTTACTAACTGACTTCCCTGAGAAGGAAAGTTTTGCTGGTTTGCACTCAAATTCGGAACTGCCCCTCTTAGTCCAAGATTTTGGTGGGGTACAGGATTAATCTGTGGTGCAGGTGCAGGTGCAGGTGCAGGTGCAGGTGCAGGTGCTGGTGCTGGTGCTGGTGCTGGTGCTGGTGCAGGTGCAGGTGCAGAAACAGAAGAACTCAATGGGGGTGCAACAGTAGCACTGAAATTAATTTGAGGTGCGGGAATCTTAGATGCAGCTGGGCCATACAATGCTGCTTTTACCATTTCAGGGGTTAGTTCTCGCTTACTTTGTGCCACAGTCACAAGTTTAAGGGCATTATAAAACTCTGCCCGCCCTAGATAACCACTTTGGCTTTGGTTTGCAAATGCCCAAATCTGCATACCATACCAAGCCAACAAGTGATGTTAACAAAATAGTAACATGTATAGTGCTAATTAGTTTCAAAACAACACTCCAAAATCATTAAAAACGCTTAGTGGAAGTTGATAATATCAAGCAAAACGTGAATCATAAGCAGAAAATTAAGAAAAATAGAGAGTAAGAGATAGATAGAAAGAAAGAAAGACCTGCGCGAGAACCTGCTTGGATAAACCGGAACCTTGGAAGAAGGACACAGCTTCAGCACCGCTGATACGGCCATCTCGATCCAAATCGGCGCGTCGAAAATAAGCATCGAAGAGATCGACATTAGGCGCCGCCGATGATGCCATTGCGGAATTCAACGGCACCGCCCTGATTGCAGAGTTAGTTTTAGTTGTTATTCGTTCGTAGATCAGACCATGGATTCATCGATTTAGAAAACCTTAACAAACAAGAGTCGGCGATCTCAAGCATCCAATTTCCAAGCCCAGATAGATCGATTGATTTTCCAATCACAGGCTCACCTCAACGATCAAATTAAAAAATCATCCTTCATTTCTCATTTTTTACGCTTAATGGACAATTTTAATCCTCTTTCCTTACCATATTTCAAAAATACCACTGCCTTACGACACATTTTCTGTGTGTTCTGGAATGTGTTGTGAGTCTTTTCATTTCCTTTTTTTTTTTTTGGTAAATGCCATGTGATTGTCTTTTAATAAGACAAGATAATAATAAGAAATGTATTTTGATATTTTCAAAAAAAAAATTCTGGCTAAACATCTGCTTTATAACATATTCATGCATTCCTAATAATATTGAGAAAAATATTATGATTTTGTTAATATTAATATTAATATTTTTAATTTTTTTATATGATTATGTTAAGAGGTAAAACTTCAGTATTAATAAGGTATTGATGTTTATCACAATTTAATATTTTTCAAATCACTTTTGGTTAAAATTCTTGACGGGGGATGTTTACTAAATAGATTGCTTTTTTGTGTTTCATAATAAGGGCAAGGGCCTATCTTGTGCAATAACGCTTACTTGTTATTTACTATCATTTTATTCCTTTAAATTTAAGAAAAGTCTCAGATAAGCATAATGTTTACTCAAAATTAAAATTAACCCTTCATTCCTTTTTTCTTCACATTTTCTCTTCACAGCCTTAGTTTAGTGTTGCGAAAAATTAAAAACCAAACTGGATCGGTCGGTCCAACTAGTTAACCTGAAAATTGGATTCTCAATCAATCCAGTTTTGGTATAGGATTGGTTGTGCATTTAAATCGATATGAAACCGGTGAACCGATATTAAATAGGTGTCAAATGACTCAAATTGGTATCTCTTCTTGAGTCATCAGATTTGATAACTCGAAGGTTTACCACTATGAAGCATTGACACTTCAAAAATCTTGACGTATCATGTTCGACATTTCCCGACACTCCGACACTCTAATACGCATTATAGAAATTCAAAAAAAGGTTCAAAGGTTGCGTTATGTTGAGTTTTTAGTTCCAACTATTAGATTCGTTCGATTACGATTATCATTTTATTGAGTTTAATACAAATATTTGGGATATCTTATGTTTCTTTGCAAAATTAATGAATATTATAAGTTTAGTTTCATTTTTTTGTTAAATTATTGAATATTAAATATAATACACACTACCTAAATTAAAAATATTTAATATCAAAATGTGTCCTAACGTGTCGAAATCTAACATTTTTTAGAATTAACGTGTCAGAGTGTCGTATTGTATCGTGTCACGTGTCCCGTGTTGGTATCGGTGCTACATAGTTTACCGCTATACGAATTTCATTTGTTAGTTATAATATTTATAATTTAATATTTATTATGTATTGTTATATAAATTTAATTTTACTGGTTGAACCAGAATCCATCGATTCAGATTTAATAACTATTGACCTAGTCCATCCAAACATAGGCTTAGAAGTGTACTTAAATACGATGAAGAAAGGGATCATCTCTGTCCATTACTGGGGGCCGTGAGCAGTAGACGCAGATTTATTAATTGGTTTGGCTGTCAATCTCCTTGTTAGGCTGTGTTTATAACAAGTAACGACATCGTTATATCTGTTCTATTATGTTGGAACTTCACATCTAGAAGATTATTCATCATTAACTAAGTTGGTTTAGCAGTTGATTGGTTATTATTGTTGTTGTTATCAGCTGATTTTCTATCTTTGCCACATGAGGAATAAAATGATTCTATTCCCGTGTAGAAATACGTTTTCCTAATCTGTACACATATGTGATGCAATCTAAGAGTACTCTTGTGCTTGCCGAAATTAAATTGAAAAGATGCAATTCATCTAAAAAACCCAAAGGAGTAGTTTTGTTAGAGAAGCGTTCACCTTTGATTCACTTGCCTACGACTTGAGGTTTAAAATTGGGTCTTCTACCTTTGTGGAGACCGTTACAAGTTTTGTGGTTTCATTCCATGTAACTTCTTCCATGTCAACCTTCCAAACATAACCTTTGGTCTACTGTTTAATTTATTATATTTTTGTAACTTGGGTCCCCTTCTTGGGGACGAAGCTTGCTTATTATCGTATAGAACCCTTACTGGTCTACAAGAAGAAAAGATGCTATAAAAATGAGTGGAAGAACACAAGTGGGAGAAGAAAAAAAATTGGTGATGGCGGGGATTAATTGATTAATTAAAGAGAAATGTGTTTATCATTTTTCATGGAATAACTTTATCTCATGCACACATAAAAAATGGATAAAATTCACTTTTTTTTTCCTTATCTTTTCTTTCATGAGTTTCACTCACTTTTTGTATTCTTTTGTACAATTTTATCTAATACAACATGAGAAACATATTTCATTTTTATTAAAATAACAAATTCATTTTTTTTATCAAGTGGGTATGCAATTTAGTCCTTCAAAATATATATTTTTTTGGTAAAAAGTCCTTCAAAATATATTACTTGTATTGCTTTCATTCGTTTTTGTCTACATAAATTAATATTCAAAAGAGTGAACTGATTAGCAATATAATATTTTTTTTGTAAGATGAACTTGTTAGCAATTTACGATTTCCGGGATTAATATGTATAAATGAAAAAAAAAATTAGGGTTAAAGCAATATAATTAATTTCTTTGAAGAATCAAATTGCATGTTTACTCTTGTTATGTTTTTCTTGAAGTCATATTTACATCAAAATCAGCTACAAATATGAGGAATTGTTTAAAGTGAGCCAAACTAATTTGAGTAAGAATAACTCATCCACAATTGGAATAAATTTCTTTTTTTTTTTGGTATAATATGTAAATATCCTCGTTCAATCTCTTCTGATCACTTTGTCCTCAAAGTACGACCCTAAGCTATCCCTCGTTAGAAGAGTGAGCTTCATTATTCGAGAAAGGAAAAGACTAATTCTCATTTGAGAAAAGAGACATCTGCTCCAAAAAAAAATTCCAATTGAGAGAGAATTTGAACTCCTGACCCAAACAAACCCTCAAGAATTAAATTGTAAACTGAGCTACCTTGGATAAATTGAAATAAATTTCACTTTGGCTCCACTGGTTAAAAAAAGAAAATTCATTTCACGAATCTCAGTTTACTTTTAGCTCATGAAATTGTGCTTATGTAAGATTTATTAATAAAATTATAAAAATAATAAATAATTATATAATGTCATTTTAATTAATATTAAATTATCAAATCATTAATTATATTCTTAAAACGAAATCACAATTAATTTCTAACAATTACCTTGAATGTTAAGATGACACGGACAAATGCAAAACATAACTGAATTTATTTAAAATTCAATCACATCAATTAAGAGCAAATTAAAATGAATAAAAATTTAATTATAAAAAAAATCAAAATAATTAGTGTTTAGTCATCAACTTAACAAGACATAATAACATCAGAGTGTAACAAGATTAGTTCAGTAATTTCAAATCTTCCTACTTGTTGCTCATATGTAAATGGGTTTGACTGGCCTATAAGAGCTTACGACTTAATTTATGTTAGATCAGACTTGGTCTATTACAAATAATCAAATAGAACAAACTTATGTTTTTTAAAAAATCTATTTAGAAAGCAGGTCATGTGTTTTTGTATTACATGTCAGGTCTATAAACCTATAGGCCGACTTATATCGTATTATTTATTTTAAATAAAATAAATAAAATTCTTATTTTAATAATTTTGAATAATAAAGTAATATTATTTTAATTATTTTTTTAATTATTAAATATTTAATAGGCTTAAACAAGCTAATAGGTATAAGTTAAGACTTTTATTTTTTAAATATATGTCATGTAAGACTTGTAATTTGAGTCTACATAGTGTAACGTTTGGCAACTTGCAAGGATCAACGACTGTCCCCACACTAACACGAGACTTTTCAGCATGCTTTGTCCTCACTCGCACACTTTCCGAGAAAACTTCCCAGGAGGTCACCCATCCCAGAATTGCCCCAAGTCAAGCACGTTTAACTATGGAGTTCTTCCGTTTCGGTCTACCGAAAAGTAAATGCACCTTGTTAGTATAGGTAGTACCAATTAATTCTTATAAGCTATTATCAACTGTACCGTCTCATACCAGCACAGTCTCTAGAATCCCTCTCTTTCGGGTGTTGATTCGATTTATTCATGTACCCCCGTCCCTTGAAGCCTGCCAGGAGCCGCTCCTTGTTTGTGCCCTTTCGCATCGACGATCACTCTTCGCCCTCGTCAACGCCCGGGATGTTACATGTCCACCAGCTTCCGCCTGGTTCGTCCTCGAACCACACCGTACTGGAAGAGAGGCTCTGCTCTGATACCACTTGTAACGCCCGACCGCTTCAAGAATCAATGACTATCCCCACATACTAACACAAGACTTTTCATTGTGCTTTTTCCTCACTCGCACACTTCCCGGGAAAACTTCTCAGGAGGTCACCCATCCCAGAATTGCTCCTAGTCAAGCACGCTTAACTATGGAGTTCTTCTGTTCCGGGCTACCGAAAAGAAGATGCATCTTGTTAGTATAGGTAGTACCAATTAATTCTTATAAGTTATCTCAAACAGTGCAGTCTCATACCTGCACAGTCTTCCGTTCCGGGCTACCGAAAAGAAGATGCATCTTGTTAGTATAGGTAGTACCAATTAATTCTTATAAGTTATCCCAAACAGTGCAGTCTCATACCTGCACAGTCTTTGGAATCCCTCTTTTTCAGGTGTCGATTCGATTCATTCATGCATGTAACCTCCCGCTGGAAGCCTGTCAGGAGCCGCTCATTGTCCATGCCCTTTCGCACCGGCGATCACTCCCCGCCCTCGTCAATGCCCGGAATGTTACATGCCCACCAGCTTCCGCCTGGTTCGTCCTCGAACCACACCGTACTGGAAGAGAGGCCTGCTCTGATGCCACTTGTAACGCCTGGCAACTTGCAAGGATCAACGACTGTCCCACACACTAACACGAGACTTTTCAGCATGCTTTATCCTTACTCGCACACTTCCCGAGAAAACTTCCCAGGAGGTCA